TGCACGTGGTGTGTTCTTTTGAGAGATTTTAAATTTGTATTTTCTAAACCCGTGGCGTGTGTTTCGGACCACGTGGTTTAGGTCAGTGTGTTTAGGAGTGTTTCCTAAACTGGTGTGAATGCGTGTGTGCATTTACCTGATTGTTTTATGATGTGTTATTGACTAGGGTTGGCTTAGTCAATAGTCAGTTGTTTTAGACAGTAATTAGATTAGTATATTTTAGTTGCCTCGAGTTTTAGGTTGTTTAAAATTAATGTGTGTGCTGTTTCGTGCAACGTCATATTGAGTATCGCTTGCTTTGTGTCTGCCTTCATTGGGGCCTTAGCGGAGTGTGTTAACTTTAATGTTATCAATATGGATATTGTTTATGTAGACCAATGGCTTCGGGCTTCCTTGTGTAGGAAAGATTGGTTCTACGATGAATTTGTTTACACGTTATTTTTAAGTTGCTAGTTCTTCTTTAGACAGTGGTTAGTTGTTTTTGAGAATTGCTTTTAGAATTGTATAGTAAGGATTAGTTTTACTCGAGGCTTTAGCTAGATAGAAGTAGTAGGTAGCATTTTGAACTTGTGTATATATTTATGTATATATCTGCCATTACCATGCATTTTTCTTATGTTTTCCTTTTCTTTTTCTCTTCCCCCCCCCCTTCCAGTGAGGTTGCTTGGGCAACTTGGCTGGGTGTTTTGTTATATATGAATTGTTTTGTTTGGTGTAAAACGTTTGTTGTGTACGTATTGTTTTCTACGTAATGTATTGTACGTAAGGTATTGTACGTAGTGGTTTTACGTAGTGTTTTGTTTGGTGTGGACTTTTGGATGTCGAGAATGGATGAAGGGAGGTTTCTGTGTGTCAGGGCCTGGACCATCCTAGACATCATAAGTCGGTGCAACACAAGCAAATGGTCAAACGTAAAGTTTTCTTTGCTGTAAAAAGTTTGTTTTGTTACAGTGTTTTGTTACGTTAAAGTTCTATTTTGTTAATCTATTTTTTATTTATATAATTTTGGTTCCATGAAATAAATTTTATTAATTTGTTAAAGTTTTTCTGTTTTTTTAATTTAGACTAAGGTTAGGTTATTAACCAGCCTGGGTTTAGCCGGGCTTGCACTGACCGGACGGTAGTTAGTTAGATAAGCCTAGGGAAGGGTTAGGTAGATTTTAAGGTATCCCCCCCCCCCTAGCAGGGCTTACATATATATATATATATATATATATATATATATATATATCAACTTGAATGTATATGGATGTATATATATATATACATATTATATCCGTGTATATATATATATATATATATATATATATATATATATATATATATATATATATATATATATATATCCGTCCCTTACTCTTTCACTCATCCTCTTTGCTTCCCTCCACCCATCCATCCACCATAATTAGCAATATCAAAGATTTTAGAAATTAGAAAACCACCCCAAAAGAAAACTCAAGGCAAAAACTGCACACTTTTATTTTTCACAGCGAATTTTTTGTGGTATTTAATGTTTACTTATTAAAGATTTAGATTAAAGATATTTCAGCCACGGCTTTTTTTTTTTTTTACAAAATAACAATCAAGGCAATACTGCATGAAAATTATTTTTTTTATAATGGTCGACCGTGGGTCGGCTAGGGGGCATCTTTCACTCCCCCCCCCCCCATATAACGACCGCCAGGTGTGGCGACATGGTAGTTCCATCACTCTTAAGATATAAAGTCAACATCTCAGGCTAAACATACAACTTTATAATAATACATTACGATTAACTTCAACACCAATGACCAATTTACACTGACCAATGACCAATTTACACTGACCAATGACCAATTTACACTGACCAATGACCAATTTACACTGACCAATGACCAATTTACACTGACCAATGACCAGTTTACACATGCGTTTTTTGTCGTGTTGTTGTCAGATTAGATTCATGTTGGATTGTATTATGTGAACTTACTCAGACATTTTATTTGTTAATTAATGTGGCCCCAAATTAAAAGTAAGGGTTGTTGTCAGGTTTAAGGTGTTGGTTCGGTCTGAGTTACGAAACTAACCGTATGCGTCTGTCGAGGTTTTTTTACCTGTCGCACTGTGTGTGGTCTTTGGGTTCACGGACTGTCCACATGCTCTCTCCACATAGACGAAACACAGCAAAATAAGTTGCAGCTTGGTGAACCTTGAGACTTTTGTTGCCATAATCACTGCTGAAAAACTGTCGATAAACAATATTAATTTTAATCTAGCTTTAATCTTAAGAAACTTACCATTGTCATTTTTTAAATAATTTTTTTATTCAACTTATTTAATAGTAACAATAGTAGCACGGGTGCCCTTTTTTCACCTTGGCGGTTTAAAAAAAATAATAGCATTTTAATTAAAAGCAATTTAGTAGTAAAGACATATCAATAACATATTCATGTCGCTATTTAAAGAGTGTTATATTTTATTTTATTTCTCATTAAATTGTTGGTTTTTCCAAATGTCAATTGTGCCCCCCCCCCCCTCACAAACATAACACACACAATTTATGTATTTTTATGTTGGAAGCAACTCAGTCGCACGGCTCAAGACAAGATGGGCGCTTGTTGCACGGGACAAACCGGTTTTACAACTCATAACAAAAGGCCTAACTTAGTAACAAAACTTTGTGTCACCGATTATGTTAGTCTTGTAAAGAAATTATACATTATTTTTATCTTTGTAATGTTCGTCTTTAGTACGGGGCAGTACTTTAAATTTATCATATTTCATTATATAGTTTCATTATTTAATGAAAAGTTATCGTGAGTTTTGTTTTAACTTATTTCTAAACAAAATATGCAACACAATCATATACATGAGTTAAGAGTTATGTTAATTAACTCGTGTTTTTATATTTTCTGACAAGAAAAAAGTCAACCTACCATTCGGGTGAGAGATTCCGTCTGCTTAGTGTCTAGAATAAAAAAAACTTTTGTAAGATGACACTAAAACTAAAGCCCTGTTTCCATTGGCGCCTGTAATCTGGGTCAAATATCACCCCCCCCCCTTTTTTTACGCCAACGCAACTCTCATTCATTATTAAAACTTCTTACAAATTTTAATTTAAAAAAAAGGTGTTGCACCCCTCCCCTTCCACATCCTACCCGACAAATTCATCTTTTTTTTTTTTTACCAAGTGTCCACTCCTGTTTTAAATGTAACATTTTTAAAAAATCTGGATAAAAAGACCTTTATTTATAGGAGCTTGTATGCTAAAGTTGGTTTAATATTGTGTAGGGTAAAGTTTTTCAACAAATAATTTGCAGCGTTTTATTGTGTGTGGGGTTTCGGTTGATTTGCTTTAAATGTGGTCTTTACAGCTTAGATTCAATGGTGGTTTGGGGGGGGGGGGGGGGGGGGTAAACTGGGCGCGTATTGTTAACAAATATTTTACGTCCTTTTCATAAGACACCGCTCTGTACTGCCACAATACCTTAAATAAACGCGACATCGATTTTCGTAAGCCATTAAAATATAACAGCCTGACTGGCGACACATCCACGTAATTGAAACGATCGCTGTACTTGTAAGCTTTTATTTAATGAACACTGTTTGTTAGCAGGAATTGACACATTTTGTATTTCTATTTTAAACCACTTTCATTGCAGCTATTACAGATACATTTGTCTTTGCTGACAATGCAAGAATATATATTTATTAATATAATTTGATGTTAAATTAGTCATTAAATATTAATTTTTTTTTTTAAATTCAAAAATAAGGGAGATAACAAGATTAAGTAGTGACGATTGCTTGATCAGCTTGCTGTAGACAGTGATCAGTTGGTCACGTACAGTTGCTTTCACGAATTTTTATTTTGGTTTTATTATAAGCTTTTATTTAGTTCACAAAGTCTGTCTGTCTGTCTGTTGGTTCGCTTTTTATTGGTTTGTGGCAAATATCGTAACACAATTAAACCCATTTCTAATACACCAACTTAATTCGAACTTTCCAGATACATTCATCTTAAATCTTACCCAAAAGCAATACATAAACGGAGACGTGTTCAATGCGGCTTAAAAACGATCCACAAGTTTATAGGAATATAGCTGATGTTAACAGATTGAAGTTAGAAATGTCTTAAAGGAATACCTGCATGAGATGTTCGTAGTGAAATACATTTAGTCCAGTGTTTCTTCCAGACTTTTACTTCTTTCTCCGGGGGGGGGGGGGGCACTTGAAATTTTCGGGGGGGGGGGGGCGGTAGACTTTCTTCGGGGAGGGGGGGGGGCGGACACTGTTAAAAGTATATATTTTCTATATAAATTATATAAATTTCATTTCGTTCGGGGGGGGGGGCGGTTAAATGGGGAGCTACTCTTCACCCCCACTCACTTCCCTCCCCTTTATGCCTTTAATTTGGTTCACTAAATTCACGAAGAACACAGTTAATTAATTTTCTTAAATTTTATCATTCTTAGCTTATATATCTCAACACAGTATCTCATAACGTATTATTAATACTATTAGTAATATTATTTTTTAGAAAATGTAAGACCAAAGTGCGATTGAGAAATGTCTTAGTGTTTAACGATCCTTTTTTTTTTGTTAATCTTAACTGATGCGAACAACGTCGATCCTATACAAAACTTACAGAGATAAAAGCAATCCAAGTAATATCTTTCGCTATGTTAACACATGTGAAAAGTATATGGCTTTATGTAAACGTCATTAACTTAGAGGGTCACATGGTGACTGTTGTCTACAAAGACTTTTACGACTATACTGGCCAAGTCGTTGACTCCTACACAGGTGGAACCATTTAACACGGGTCTCAAGCCTCAGGTGTTGGACCATATTTTTGTGGTTCAAATTAGATATATTATTATACTTCTAACTATTTAAGCTTGTTTAAGTTTTCAAAAAGTTTTTTTTTTAAATATAAGTATTTTTTTTTTAAAGGACTGTAAAAATGTTAACATGTTTTACAAAACAGACGTGAAATGACTGAAACATGATTTAAAGCAAAAGACATTTATTCCCATGTATAAATACAATAAAAACATTTATTTACAATAGCAAACAATTAAAACATTTACTATGTGCTAACTATTTTTGCGATTAAATAAATTTATAGATGAATCATTTAAAAATATTATAATCAGAAATGTTCCCATATCTAAGCTTTATGTTTGCTAATGTCAAGTGAGAATGTGTAATGACAGTATGCAAATAGGCCAATGTTTAAGTTGTTGCTTTTTTTCTTTTCTAATTGTTATAATAAAATCTTCTAGGCTTGATCAAACAGCTGCAAATTACATAAAATACTGGTGTACAAATTTATTATATAAAAACTAAAACACCTAAAGTGACAAACAGTTATGTAATCTGCATTGAATGAAAACTGATGTGTAGACCTAAATTATAAGCAAATATAAAATATAGAAACCTATATATGACAAAATAATCAATAATATTTGAATATAATATAGATTTTTTTATAATAAAATCTAAAAATGTATATGTAGTCTTGTAATGTATTAAAATATATTGATTTTTTAAAAATCTTTTTATTTGTAAATGGTTTATTGATTTTAAAGGCTAGTATATATAGATTTTAACATGTCAACTGTTAAAAAATTTCCAGCTTTTTAATTTTTATATATGAAAAAAACAAGTCTTGATTGGCCTTGAAAGCTTCAACCAGCGTGTCATTGGTTGTTGTTGGGCAGATAACGCTCTGTCATGGAAAAGTTTAATGTAGAGAAATAAATGCAAACCTCTTAATAAAGTTTTTTAATACATGTATATTATACTATAATGTTAAGAGATACATTTCAACTAGAAATGTTTAAGGTTTCCAATTTTAATGCTTTAAATTTGAAAAAAGGTATAAACATTGGTAAAATAAAATAAAAAGATCTTTACATTACAAATGGTATTGACTACACTAAAAAAAGGCTGCCTACCTCTATACAAAGGTGACTTGAACTTTGCAGCACCCTTTCTACCCGTGTAATAGTAATATGGATTATCTAGACCTGCTGGTGGTTGGTCCATGCTGTTCATGATCAGAAAATATTTTAATAACAATCAAAAATGTTTAAAATAAACTTAACATAATATTATAACGTGGAGTGTAAACATTTCTGTATCCAGCCAGCCTTAACACATGGAGTAACCATCTATGTAACACATGGCCAAAGATAGAGAAGTCAATATCAGCAGCACTTAAAGGAAATATGAATTGTCTTGTGACAACATGGACTGGGTTATCTAACTTACAACATACAACATTTGCCTACTTGTGCTGGGAGCTGGGTTATCTAACTTACAACATACAACATTTGCCTACTTGTGCTGGGAGCTGGGTTATCTAACTTACAACATACAACATTTGCCTACTTGTGTTGGAAGCTGGGTTATCTAAATTACAACATACAACATTTGCCTACTTGTGCTGGGAGCTGGGTTATCTAACTTACAACATACAACATTTGCCTACTTGTGCTGGGAGCTGAGTTATCTAACTTACAACATACAACATTTGCCTACTTGTGCTGGGAGCTGAGTTATCTAACTTACAACATACAACATTTGCCTACTTGTGCTGGGAGCTGGGTTATCTAACTTACAACATTTGCCTACTTGTGCTGGGAGCTGGGTTATCTAACTTACAACATACAACATTTGCCTACTTGTGCTGGGTACGGGGAGAGTTTAATGAGCCTCTCTCTGTGTATGTTGTCTGCTTGTGGGATCTCCTACACATACAGCAGATGGTGATCACAGTGGCAGCACAGAAAACAACAAACAATGGGATTCCAAGACAGAGACCCAAGATAAGTCGCAGAGGATCTAAAACAAAAGATAAGATGTGTTACACTCAATTCTGTGTTAAAGAACAGAAGCAACAAATTAATAAAGTAGCTTTAAACACTTTAAATATTTTTTTAAAATTAAATTTTTTTAAACTCCAACAGTTAATAAAACATTTTTTAAATTATAAATTTTGGGCTGAAAATGTTACTTACATTCATCATTAGACCTAGGATATTAAAAAACCACAGATGAAAACTTGAATAAATAAACGTCATTAAGTTTTTGTAATTGTTACAATATATATAGTTTATCTAGTTTCTTGAATGACCAAGTAGGCTAAAACTAATAAAAAAGTTTTTAAAATTTCTTACTTGCATATTGCAACTGAATCTACAACTTGACAATACTCATTTGATTTGCAGACACTATAAAATTCAGCAATTTTACAAGCAGCATCAGCTGAATTAGACACTGTAGATAGAAAAAAATGTCTAAACTTTTACTTTCAAATTTTATTTTAATTGAGTATAAAACTTTGAAATAAGCATCATAAACCCATCTAAGCAAAAAGAAACATAAATATTGGTACTTCTATTAAGTATTAAAATTGTATTGTTCCACACTATATATTTTTAAAAACTGATTTTGAGGCTTAAATAATTTTACAGCATGTGATTTGTCTATCAGCATCTGTTTACTATGTAGTACAGAACTTACATTTTTGCTGGTCCACTGTGGAAGATAACCAGCTGACTTGTTGTTGTCCAATCATGGTTGTGTTCCCTGAAATCATCATCATCAGTAGTTCTGTGGCAAGTTCAGCTTTTTGTTTGTTTTCGTCTTTCTTCAAAAGCTCAACATTGTATTCCACAATAAGACTTCCAGATCTTTGATATTTAGGTAAGGGAAGTAGAAAATAATTATTGAGAAAATAACAAGCAAAAAAATAAAAGAAAGTTTCTTACATTCTTACATAATCTGGTTGCATTATTAAAAATAAATAGTTATTTATTTTGTTTTTAAAATAATTTTATTTGTTTTCAAAGCAAAGAGTTGTGTTTATAAAAATAGTACAACAGTTTAATAACAAATAAAAGTTACCAAGAAAAATTAAGGCATTTAATTTGTAAACAATTAAATCTTCAACATAAAAGATTAAGGTCATGTAGATTATAAATCTCACCTTAATGATGTAACTTTCACATTAACAATGTTATCTACTCTGGTTTTCATTTCCTTTATAAGCTGAGGATGACAATATGCATTAAATAAATTAAATTATATTAAATTCATAAACGGAAAACAATCAAGGAATATAAACTCACACGATCCAAAAACACAATAGCAAAATTCAATTAAATACAATCCTAAAAGAACAGAGAAAAGCAACAGTATTAAAACTCACAAGATCCTGAACTTCCTGTTTCAGTTTTATATATTCCTGGCTGTTTGTGTCTGAGAGGTTTACACCATTTGTGTTGTACCCAAAGGTTGTGACGGCTGGTATTGTTAGAAGTCCTGAAATACATCATTGTACATTATTAGCAAAATTTAACATCTTTAGTAATTTTCTTGTGTTCACATTACAAACTTTTGGATCTATCACTATTGGCATATGATGAATTATGTGCAGTTAGTAGAGTAAGGTTTACTCTACATATTCTTGCAACTACATTGTAAAGTGCAGACTATCACTGAGAGACTGTTTGAGGATACTAGCATGGAAGCTAGACCTGGATCAGCAACATTAGATTGGTCCTGGAGTGACACTGGAGCTAAGTTCAGGTTCTTTCTGGTGCTGGAGTTAGCTGCACTAGAACACTAGGTTAGTTAATATAGAAAAATTAGAACCTAAAAATATAGAATATATTGGAACTGATGGTGTGGTCAATTGGTAGAGCATCAACTGCTAACCCAAAGGTCTCAAGTTTGGATCTGAGAATCACTTGCCCCATGGACCATAGGGTTCAAAAGGATAGTTTAATTTTATACTGATAAGCATTCTCCTGTATTAGCTCACTAGACTAGACTTTGTCTGTTGATGCTGATAGTTAGGTACCAAGTATGCAAGTCTTACCATCACAAGTATTAGTGACTGGATCAGGTGTGTTTCCTGACAGACAGGTACACAGGTAAGATCCACCTGTATTAGTGCAGACAGAGTTAGAAGGACAAGGTGTTTTTTGGCACTCATCTACATCCTCAGCACACCTGCTGCCCTGCCAGCCATCTTTACATCTACAGGTACCATCAGTTTTGTTACAGCTCAATGTTGTGTTTGTGTTACACTGGCATGTCTGTGAGCACTTATCTCCATACTGCCAGTCAGCACATTCTGAAATAAATTAGCTTTAAGTGTTTATTTCTCTTCATTTCTTTAAATATGTTGAATTATTTTAAAAAATCACATAATGTTTATATAATGTGTGAAATTGAATTAGTATGCAACTATTTGACCTTGACATTTGCTTCTATCAGTGGCATTAACCATGTAGCCAGGTCTGCAGGAGCATGTAGCGCCACCTTCTGTGTTCAGGCAAGTTTGTTGGCATGGGTTGGTCAGACATTCATTTATATCTGTTAGAGGGTTAACATTTTAGTGGTTTAATTTATATTATATCTGTTTGGGTGATAACATTTCAGGGTATTCATTCAGTGATGAAATAATAACTGAAATCAGTCAGTGATGAAATAATAACTGAAATCAGTCAGTGATGAAATAATAACTGAAATCAGTCAGTGATGAAATAATAACTGAAATCAGTCAGTGATGAAATAATAACTGAAATCAGTCAGTGATGAAATAATAACTATCAGAGATATGATACTGAGGTTGACCATAAATATCTTTATGCTATTTAAAAGATATTTGATCTCCCCCATCCCCCACCAGAACCATCCGTAGAAGAACACAAAAGCATCCTACATTACCCCTATACTCTTTGGTAGCCTACATGCCATTTGTGCCCAATCCCACCATAATGTGCTCATTTACACCTATTACATCTGTCTCATTTTCATTCTAGCCAACTGACCTGTTTTTCAAGAATTGTGAGCTTTCTACTCAGCCAGTTGCTTCTGACTTAGCAAAACCATTCTAATTCTTACCCACACAGAGCTGTGTGCTTTCATTTTTCCTAAAGCCACCATCACACACACACTCGTATGTTCCCTCAGTGTTCCTGCACAGTGAATGATCCGGGCATTTGGCCAGTGAGTCCTTGCATTCATCAATGTCAACAGAGCAGGTAGTGCCTGTCCAGCCTTCTCTACACCTGCAGGTCCCAGATGTCTTGTTGCAGGCAGCTGTGTTGGCACTCTGGCACTGACACGTCTGTAAACATTTGGGACCAAACTTTCCATTTTCACATTCTGGGGATACATCATTTCATCCATTCAGTGAACAGTTACATTGTACTTAAGTTATATATCATTTCATCCATTCAGTGAACAGTTACATTGTACTTAAGTTATATATCATTTCATCCATTCAGTGAACAGTTACATTGTAGTGATATATCATTTCATCCATTCAGTGAACAGTTACATTGTACTTAAATTATATATCATTTCATCCATTCAGTGAACAGTTACATTGTAGTGATATATCATTTCATCCATTCAGTGAACAGTTACATTGTAGTGATATATCATTTCATCCATTCAGTGAACAGTTACATTGTAGTGATATATCATTTCATCCATTCAGTGAACAGTTACATTGTACTTAAGTTATATATCATTTCATCCATTCAGTGAACAGTTACATTGTACTTAAGTTATATATCATTTCATCCATTCAGTGAACAGTTACATTGTACTTAAGTTATATATCATTTCATCCATTCAGTGAACAGTTACATTGTAGTGATATATCATTTCATCCATTCAGTGAACAGTTACATTGTACTTAAGTTATATATCATTTCATCCATTCAGTGAACAGTTACATTGTAGTGATATATCATTTCATCCATTCAGTGAGCAGTTACATTGTACTTAAGTTATATATCATTTCATCCATTCAGTGAACAGTTACATTGTAGTGATATATCATTTCATCCATTCAGTGAACAGTTACATTGTAGTGATATATCATTTCATCCATTCAGTGAACAGTTACATTGTAGTGATATATCATTTCATCCATTCAGTGAACAGTTACATTGTACTTAAGTTATATATCATTTCATCCATTCAGTGAACAGTTACATTGTAGTGATATATCATTTCATCCATTCAGTGAACAGATACATTGTAGTGATATATCATTTCATCCATTCAGTGAACAGTTACATTGTACTTAAGTTATATATCATTTCATCCATTCAGTGAACAGTTACATTGTAGTGATATATCATTTCATCCATTCAGTGAACAATTACATTGTAGTGATATATCATTTCATCCATTCAGTGAACAGTTACATTGTACTTAAGTTATATATCATTTCATCCATTCAGTGAACAGTTACATTGTAGTGATATATCATTTCATCCATTCAGTGAACAGTTACATTGTAGTGATATATCATTTCATCCATTCAGTGAACAGTTACATTGTACTTAAGTTATATATCATTTCATCCATTCAGTGAACAGTTACATTGTAGTGATATATCATTTCATCCATTCAGTGAACAGTTACATTGTAGTGATATATCATTTCATCCATTCAGTGAACAGTTACATTGTAGTGATATATCATTTCATCCATTCAGTGAACAGTTACATTGTAGTGATATATCATTTCATCCATTCAGTGAACAGTTACATTGTACTTAAGTTATATATCATTTCATCCATTCAGTGAACAGTTACATTGTACTTAAGTTATATATCATTTCATCCATTCAGTGAACAGTTACATTGTACTTAAGTTATATATCATTTCATCCATTCAGTGAACAGTTACATTGTAGTGATATATCATTTCATCCATTCAGTGAACAGTTACATTGTACTTAAGTTATATATCATTTCATCCATTCAGTGAACAGTTACATTGTAGTGATATATCATTTCATCCATTCAGTGAGCAGTTACATTGTACTTAAGTTATATATCATTTCATCCATTCAGTGAACAGTTACATTGTAGTGATATATCATTTCATCCATTCAGTGAACAGTTACATTGTAGTGATATATCATTTCATCCATTCAGTGAACAGTTACATTGTAGTGATATATCATTTCATCCATTCAGTGAACAGTTACATTGTACTTAAGTTATATATCATTTCATCCATTCAGTGAACAGTTACATTGTAGTGATATATCATTTCATCCATTCAGTGAACAGATACATTGTAGTGATATATCATTTCATCCATTCAGTGAACAGTTACATTGTACTTAAGTTATATATCATTTCATCCATTCAGTGAACAGTTACATTGTAGTGATATATCATTTCATCCATTCAGTGAACAATTACATTGTAGTGATATATCATTTCATCCATTCAGTGAACAGTTACATTGTACTTAAGTTATATATCATTTCATCCATTCAGTGAACAGTTACATTGTAGTGATATATCATTTCATCCATTCAGTGAACAGTTACATTGTAGTGATATATCATTTCATCCATTCAGTGAACAGTTACATTGTACTTAAGTTATATATCATTTCATCCATTCAGTGAACAGTTACATTGTAGTGATATATCATTTCATCCATTCAGTGAACAGTTACATTGTAGTGATATATCATTTCATCCATTCAGTGAACAGTTACATTGTACTTAAGTTATATATCATTTCATCCATTCAGTGAACAGTTACATTGTAGTGATATATCATTTCATCCATTCAGTGAACAGTTACATTGTAGTGATATATCATTTCATCCATTCAGTGAACAGTTACATTGTACTTAAGTTATATATCATTTCATCCATTCAGTGAACAGTTACATTGTAGTGATATATCATTTCATCCATTCAGTGAACAGATACATTGTAGTGATAGATCATTTCATCCATTCAGTGAACAGTTACATTGTACTTAAGTTATATATCATTTCATCCATTCAGTGAACAGTTACATTGTAGTGATATATCATTTCATCCATTCAGTGAACAATTACATTGTAGTGATATATCATTTCATCCATTCAGTGAACAGTTACATTGTACTTAAGTTATATATCATTTCATCCATTCAGTGAACAGTTACATTGTAGTGATATATCATTTCATCCATTCAGTGAACAGTTACATTGTAGTGATATATCATTTCATCCATTCAGTGAACAGTTACATTGTAGTGATATATCATTTCATCCATTCAGTGAACAGTTACATTGTACTTAAGTTATATATCATTTCATCCATTCAGTGAACAGTTACATTGTAGTGATATATCATTTCATCCATTCAGTGAACAGTTACATTGTAGTGATATATCATTTCATCCATTCAGTGAACAGTTACATTGTACTTTAGTTATGTGTCATGATAAATACTCTATCAAACATTAAAAAAGAAGCTAACATAAGTCATTTATAAAACAGTAAGGATAAATTATTTAAATTTCAGTAATAAAATTTATATTTAACTATGATGCATTAAGATATAAACTAAATGTTTTTAAAAACTCCAATTACTAACACATTTTAAAAAACTATTACACCTTCATCTTTTACTAAGCAATAATATTTAACATTCATAAACAAATTTTGTTTATTTCCAGAGATGAACACAATTATGGGGCTTGATTTTTTATAAAATACGTAACAATTATTTTAAAATCTAAATATTTCAATATAGAGAACTAAATTAGAAAACAATTTTAATCAAGTATATATAACATGAAACATTATTCCTAAATAAAAATTAAATCCTTAACTTTTAGAAATATATTTTTTTACCCTGGCATTTGGTTGTGTCTGTTGCCATAACAACATAGCCATCTAGACAAGAGCAGTTGAAGCTGGAGTCTGTATTTGTACAAATCTGCTCACAGGGGTGGCTTTCTACACATTCATCAACATCTGGGGAGGACACAACCAGAACTAACACATTAGAATTAATTTTTTTAAACCAAGTTGAATAAAAGGAAAATATAAATGGAACAAGTGGATGTAAATAAACATGTCTTACCCTGACACTTAGTGATGTTACTGACTCGGTAGCCATCTCTACAAGCACACAAGTAGCTGCCAGCATTGTTGATACAGGTGTCTTGGCATGGTGCGGGGGTGTTTTGACATTCATTCACATCTGTTATTGGTGAAATCAATAGAATGGTTTTATATTAATTTGACATTCATTCAAACATAATCATTCTCTTAAAAATTTAACTCAAATAAGAATAAGAAATTGTAAGATAATAAAAAGAAATATACATATAAAAAATATTATTTGTTAATTCATGTGTAGGCCTACCTTCACAGAGCAAAGAGGTGCCATTAAAGGAGTAGCCTGGATCACAGACACATTGGAAAGACCCTAGAGAGTTGACACAACTTGAATGCGAGGGACAAAGGTTTAAGTCCTGACACTCATCTACATCTGTATCACAAATCACGCCTGTCCATCCCTGTTTACAGTTACAGGTGCCATCAGTTTTGTTGCAGTAGGATGTCTTTACTGAATTACATGCACAGGTCTGGGAACAATCCAAGCCAAACTTCCCATTCTGGCAATCTGAAATTATAAGTTAAATATTACATTTAAATAGATTATTTTTACCTCTGGGACAAAACATGCAACCAGAGACGTGAAATCTTCTTGAGGGTATGTGGCTAGGCATTAGATGAAAAGCATGCTTAGCCCATACATTGTGATGCCTCTCTCTACCTCTGTGGGTATTGTAAAAGATTACTAAGCTTATCTAAGGTACCAAATTTGGTTTCAGAAGCTCCCAAAAGGAAACCAGGGTTGGTAATTCTATTGCTTAAATACATTCAATTTATAAATATTAACAGTTTAATGTTACTAATATCTTGCATGCAATTAAACATGATTTTAGAAAAAAAAAATCTAGGTTTCATAATATATAATACATATTAACAAAAAAAAAGAAAATCTTTTAAACAAAATTTTCTTTCTAAAAGAAAAAAGTTTACATAGTTAGAAAATTTTAAAAAGAGGAGACAGTGCATCTTAAATTTACCTTGACATCTATGTGCATCTCACAATTTATCTCACAATTTACCTTGACATCTATTTGCATCTCACAATTTGTCTCACAATTTACCTTCACATCTATGCAAATCTCACAATTTATTTCACAATTTACCTTGACATCTATACATATCTCACAATTTATTTCACAATTTACCTTGACATCTATGCATATCTCACAATTTGCCACACAATTTACCTTGACATCTATGTGCATCTCACAATTTACCTTGACATCTATACATATCTCACAATTTATTTCACAATTTACCTTGACATCTATACATATCTCACAATTTATTTCACAATTTACCTTGACATCTATGCATATCTCACAATTTGCCACACAATTTACCTTGACATCTATGTGCATCTCACAATTTACCTTGACATCTATACATATCTCACAATTTATTTCACAATTTACCTTGACATCTATGCATATCTAACAATTTATCTCACAATTTACCTTGACATCTATGCATATCTCACAATTTATCTCACAATTTACCTTGACATCTATGCATATCTCACAATTTATCTCACAATTTACCTTGGCATCTATGCATATCTCACAATTTATCTCACAATTTACCTTGACATCTATGCATATCTCACAATTTATCTCACAATTTACCTTGGCATCTATGTGCATCTCCAACTTGTGTCATAAATCCTGGCCTACAGGAACATGTATAATTGCCAACTGTGTTTGTGCAAATTTGTTCACAGGGTGAATTCAGAAGACATTCATCAATATCTATAGGGGAGAATATTTATGGTAAATATTGTATCGTCAATGATCATTACATATCTTGTTTTAATGTTATCTGATGAAAATATGGATTTTTCTTAAATTTCTCATGTAAGAATTAAATTCAAGAATTAAAGAAACAAGGTCTTATTTGCTTAACTAAAATAATTAATTTAGTTTTCCATTTGTGTTTTAAAATGTTATTTTATTGGTTTTAAAGCCTTGACCTTACCATCACAGGTGTTAGCAGTTTTATTGTCTGAGTACCCAGACACGCAGGTGCACTGGTATGAGCCATCTGTGTTGGTACAACGAGAGTTCAAGGGGCAGGGTGAAAGGTTACATTCATCCACATCTACAGAGCAATCAGCGCCAGTCCAGCCATCCTTACATCTACAGGTGCCATCAGTCTTGTTACAGGACAAGGTCGATGCTGTGTTACACTGGCATCTTTTAGAACACTGTTCCCCAAAGGTCCATTCCTCACATTCTTTAGCATACAAATATTCATGTACAGTGGTATAAAATTTAAATCTTCTAAAAATAAAAAATATCTACAAAAATATTCTAAAATATCTAAATTAATATTTCTAATATAAATTAGAAAACTATAAACATGAAAAAAGCTTTAAATAATTTAGAATGATTTATTTAAAAACACAACAGTAAAACTGAGAAGCCAATACCTTCACATTTTTGTGAAAGGGGAGTTAATAGTTTAAATCCTGGTCTACAAGAGCATGAGTAGCTTCCCTCTGAGTTGGAACAAATCTGATCACAAGGTGAAGTACTGCTGGAGCTACATTCATTTACATCTGTTGGAAAATTGTGTCCCCACAAGTTAAACGTGATCCAGTTTCATATCATTGGCTTTATAGTAACTACAAATTAAGGTGTGCCTATAAGTTTAAACTAAATTTTAAAGAAAAGCAATAAAAACCTAAAGATCAATAAATACTGGATAAAATATTTAATTAATTTTTGTAAACATTTGCTTTACAATGTGTTTACCTTGACATTTGCTTGTATCTGTTGTATTGACTGAATATCCTGTATTGCAGGAACATGTAAAACTACCAATAATATTTGTACAGACTTGCTGGCAAGGTAGAGAATCATTGAGGCATTCGTTTACATCTGCAAAATGGAGACGAAGTTCTTGAATAATTTATAAAATCTTTTCTGAATTTTCAAAAATAATAATATTATTTTAAAAATTTGGTAACTATTATTAATTTATTAATATTCACTTGTTGGCTACAGACTAATTTGGCTTCATAACTTGACTTTATAAAAACTTGCACTTAAATAAATAAATACGATTTTCAATTTTTATTTTTGTAAAATAACTTACATGACTAAAAATATTTGTTTTTAAAACAACAGAAACGTGATCCCAAAGATCCCCAAAATTATGTTCTTAATACTATCACAGACACACTGAGTGAAATCTTTCCTTACCTTCACAAAGATTAGTTGAGCTGTTAAAATAAAATCCAAGATCACATACACACTGGTAGGAGCCATCCAAATTCCTACAGAAAGAATGAGCAGTACATTGGACCTGTGAGTCCTTGCACTCATCTACATCCACAGAACAGCTGGCACTGGTCCAGCCTGCCTTACACACACAAGTTCCATCAGATTTGTTGCAGTAAACAGTTGTGCCTGGGTTACACTGGCAAGTCTGTAAACAGCGCTCTCCATATGTACCATTGGGACATTCTGTAATTAGAGTAACAATCAAAAATAAGTTTCAAAATAAAGTTCAATGTCATAAGAAAGATGTTCAAGTGAATAAAAAAAAAATGTAATTTAAGCACTAAAAAACTGATCATTAAAAATTCAATTATTTACCATCACACATGTGAAGATCTTCTGTGTTTACTTTAAAGCCAGGTTTACAAGAGCAAAGATAGCTGCCAATTGTGTTGCTGCAGTCTTGTTGGCAGGGCCGGGTAACATTGAGACACTCATTTACATCTAGGAGGAAGATGTTTAATTAGAATATTTATGGCTTAATGGATGTTTCCAATGTGTCAAAGTTTTAGTAGTTTTTTTATTATGGAATAAAAGAATGGAATATTACCATCACAAGTCTGAGACCCCAAGTTCCACTTGTAACCATGGTTACACAAACACTGGTAGGATCCAGCTGTATTGGTGCAGTAGGAGTTGGAAGGACATGGGTTCCTTGTACATTCATCAACATCTTCAGAGCAATCAGAACCAGTCCAGCCATCTTTACAGGAGCATGTACCATCTGTCTTGTTACAGAAGGCACTGCTGTTTGTTTTACACTGACATGATTGCAAGCACTGGAATCCATATCTCCACTCTTCACATTCTGGGATTTAAAAGTTACATAATTTATTTCATATACATTTTTCATAAATTCTATCAAACTGATAAAATTGAATACACTTTTTATTCCTAGCAAAAATGTTAAGGCAAAATCTGAAAAAGTTTATAATGAACTTAAATATTCATAATAAAACACTTGTGATTGCAAATACAAAAATAAACTATGCATATTTAGATTACCTTGACAATTGTTAATAATCATCCTATAACCAGCACGACATGAACATTGATAACTGCCATCTGTGTTGGTACATATCTGCTCACAAGGGTTGGTAGTACACTCATCACGATCTGTGACATCAATATAAATATTTTTTTTTACATTATGGAATTTTTACTTTTAAACAACCAAATATAAATATACTTTTGAAATTATGGAATTTTTACTTTTAAACAACCAAATATTTTATAAACAGTAAATAGATATCCAATTTAGTACATTTGAACTTAATTTAAAATTAGTAAAAAAGAAAACTTTTGCTGTTTGCTATAACAGAGCCAATTACACAAACGTCTCTTTTTCACGTGCTTATTATTTAACAATAATATATATTTTAACAAATGCAATTGATGCTATCTATATATACCTTTGTAGTCTATTAATAAGTAAAAGATTTACTAAGAAAAATAGTCTACTATGTTATTACCTTAATTGTTATATTTAGAAATGTTAGAAATTAATTACCTAAACACTTTGTTCTGTCTGCAGGATCTATAGTGTAGCCTTCACCACAAGTGCAAGTATAACTTCCTATTAGGTTGGTGCAGTTTTGTTGACATAAAGAACTTGCATTATAGCATTCATCTATGTCTGGGGGAAAATGTATTTAATAAAAATTGATAGCTTTAGAAAAATACTTTATTAATCAATTTTCATAAAATATTGAAAAACCAAAACATATTCTTTTGTCAAATTCAGCTTTGTAGTAGAAATTATTAGATAAAACTGATTTAAAAATAACCACCAAAGTTAAAAAAAAATTCCTTCAACCTTCACAAGAATGTGAAGCTTGACTCCATAAATATCCAGCATCGCACATGCAGTCGTAGGAGCCCATAGTGTTTCTACATGTAGAATGTGTAGGACAGTTATGTTGCATCTGACACTCATCAACATCTGCTGCACAATCGGAGCCTGCCCAGCCAATGCTACATTCACATGCACCACTTATTTTGTTGCACTGACGTGTTGTTGCTTGATTACACTGACAAGTTCCTGAGCACCCTGTTCCAAATGTACCATTGTCGCAGTCTGAAAAAAAATATCTTTTAACATAGACATTGGCAAAATTGCATTGATAGAAACAAACCTTTAAAAGAAAAGCATTGTCAATAAATGTAGACATTTTATAAATGTTGAAATAAAAATAGAATTAACATTTTATTAAAATTTTAGAATTGAACTTATTTTTAAAGTAGACATGAAAAGATTACCATTGCAGCTGACACCATCTGTGGCCAGTTTTTGACCTGCATTACACATGCAATCAAAACTTGTATTGCTTCTGGTTTCTATGCAATTCACTGCACACTTGCTTTTTGCACACAAGTCAATATCTGAGAAAGTTTCAACATTTTTACAAATTTTGACTTACAAAACGAATTTTATTCAAATTCCTTAAAATTTTAGTGAAATTTGTATAATAGCTATGAAAATGTGTTCATGTTTATAATATGTTGATTACTAGATTAGTAATTTGGTTGAATGTATTTTTATTTTCATTATTTCATAATAGAGATTAAGATAAAAAAATTAACAAAGTGATGACAATGATGAAAATGTGTACCTAGACATTGGGAGCTGTTGGTTGAAGACAGGACCATTCCATTTGGACAGTGGCAGATATCTGTGTTGTTAGTGTGTGTGCAGTAATGGCTGCAGTTCTTTGAGGTGCACACAGTTGCAGCTAACCAAAAAAATTATTTGTCTAAACATACTAATAAATCATATATATTATTTAAAAAGTTCAGAAATTTTTTAACACCAAAGCATATAACATTGATAGTGTGAACAGCAATGTTTAGAATATTAAAGAAATCAAAGAAAATATGACTAATTACTGGCAACACAAATCCAGGTTTATTCACTATCTAGGCCTAACTATAATAAATACTTTACAATTTTGTTTAACTTGAAATTTTTGTTCCAAGCCAGAATAAAGTAAGTACTGTGTTCATAGTTTCCAATATTTGCTAGAAAATGTGAGATTATCTTCCAGGTGAATTACCTTTACAAGAAATCCCATCCAGCTGTAAGACAAAGCCTGCGACACATGAGCACCTGTAGCTTCCTTCCATGTTGTAACAATTCTGCTCACATTGTGATATGCCAGACTGGCATTCATTTAGGTCTGAAATTTCATTTGTTTAAATACAAGCTGGCTAAATAGAGATTTTTGTAACATTTTTTTTCTATTATTGTAATAAAGAAACTACACAGGATCAATGTAGTATAAACACACAAAAATTCTGTTGTTGTTTACCTTTGCAAATCCCATTTTCATAGCTGAAACCACTGTAACAGGAACAAACAAAACCTCCATCTTTATTTTCACAATCTTGGTCACAAGTGTTCAGGCTACTAATGGAGCATTCATCAACATCTAAAAATAGGAAACAGAGTGATATATTTCATTCACAACATGAATTTTGTTTAGAAAAAAAAATTATTGCTTTTTTAATCTGTTTTCATTTATTACCAATTATTTTCATTTGGAAATATTTAATAACTACAATTTTCACACAAAAAACTTAGGTTTTAGCACTATTAGGGGACATGGATTAAACATAAAAAAAAAGATTAAAATAAAAAGTTATTACCTTGACAAAAGCCATTTTTGCGCTCAAAACCATTCTTACATTTGCAGACGGCGTTTCCATTTTCATTGACACAAGTTTCATTTAACTGACATGTGACACGGCTGACAGTACATTCATCAACTGAAACCTCACAATGCACTCCTGTGCCGAGAATTTTAAAATTTTATTTTTCTTTCTTTAAAAAACATAATTAATAATAAAATGTGTTTTAATAAGATTGTTAAAAAAACAAAAATAAAATAATTATAAATTTTAAAAATTTTCACTTGCTTTCATTAAGTTAAAACCAATCTGACCTGTATAGCCAGCCTTGCAAATGCATCCTCTGGTATTATCACAGTAGCTGGCTCCTATTCCACAGCTACAATCTTGTAAACAACCAGATCCCCATGTTCCCCCAGAGCAATCTTAAAAATGTTACAACAAGAGGGGCAAGTTTACTTCCATTATTAGAAAATATAAGGAAACAATATTTTCAACAATTTAAAACAAACAGAGCAAGTTTACCTTTGTTATTAGTAAATTAAAGAAAACAATATTTTCAGCAATTTAAAACAAACAGAGCAAGTTTACTTTCATTATTAGAAAATATAAGGAAATAATATTTTCAACAATTTAAAACAAACAGAGCAAGTTTACTTTCATTATTAGAAAATATAAGGAAACAATATTTTCAATAATTTAAAACAAACAGAGCAAGTTTACTTTCATTATTAGAAATTATAAGGAAACAAGATTTTCAATAACTTAAAACAAACAGAGCAAGTTTACTTTCATTATTAGAAATTATAAGGAAATAATATTTTCAACCATTTAAAACAAGCGTGGCAAGTTTATTTTCATTAAAATAATATATATGGTAACAATATTTTCACAATTTAAAATAACAAAAATGGTTAAAAAAGAAATGAACTGACTTGTACAAGTTCTTTTATCATTTTCTAGTTTAGAACCATCTGGGCAAGTGCATGTGTATCCCCCATCAGAGTTGCTGCACCCCTCCTTGTATGTGCAGTCGTTTGTTGAGGCTGCTGCACACTCATCAATGTCTTTAAGAATTTAACATCATCATTAACAAAAAAAATTAACTAGAACCATTTTTACAATGTATTTTTATATTTTAGAATATTCAAATTGAAAGCATGAAACAGTGGACAAACCTTCACAAGTCTCTACTAATAAGTAAGAAACAGTGGACAAAACTTCACAAGTCTCTACCAATAATTAAGAAACAGTGGACAAACCTTCACAAGTCTCTACCAAAAAGTAAGAAACAGTGGACGAACCTTCACAAGTCTCTACCAATGAGAAACAGTAGACAAACCTTCACAAGTCTCTACCAAAAAGTAAGAAACAGTGGACAAACCTTCACAAGTCTCTACCAAAAAGTAAGAAACAGTGGACAAACCTTCACAAGTCTCTCTACCAACCAGACGATACCCCCTGGGACAGAGACAGGTTGTGGTGTTGTCGGAATCTCTTCTACAACCATGGCTGCAGTTAAGGTTCTCTCCCTTACACATGTCTTGCTCTATATTAGCAAATAAATGAATACTTTTATTTTAAAATTTGAAAATACTATTAACTTTTATTGGTGTCTAGCAGTAAATGAAACTTCTGAACATTTATATTGGTAACTAGAAATTCTGATGCTCAGATCTATCAGATATGACACAGTTAATTCCATACTACTTCAACATTTACCACATAATCCCCTCTAATATACATGTTACAGATGTCTATTTCATATGTGCTAAAGACTGAAATGTCATAAAAAGGTACTATAATTTTATCACCCATCCATCTTCCCACCATCCTAAAGTATTTCACAGTTAGATGTGACTTATTACTGTAACCCACCTAAAACATCTCACAGTTACATGTGACTTATTATTGTAACCCACCAAATTACTGTAACCCACCTAATTACTGTAACCCACCTAATTACTGTAACCCACCTAATTACTGTAACCCACCTAAAAGACAACGATGACGGTCATCTCCGAGGACGTATCCTGTCTGACATTTACAGTTGTAACCTCCTGGAATGTTTTCACACACCTGATCGCACTCGTCAGTATGGCTGGTACACTCATTTACATCTGATGGTTGTATCATAGATACATTTTTTTTAAACATTAATTTCGTTTTTATGTTTTTAAATACACCAGAAGTAAAGAGTTATTTTACGTTTTAGAATGGCAAACATGACTTTTTTAATATTAAAAATATTTACTACTTTTCATAATTATTTTTTTTCTATATTCTCTAAAACCTTGAGACTTTGAAAATACTATCAAACTTTCAACACATTGTTTAAAAACTTTAATTTATTTAAACGAGTTTTAATAACAAAAAACTTAAACTTTAAACATAATATTATGTTAATAATGTGATAAAAATTGAAAAGAAAATAGATCTACCTGAACAAAGGAAATTAACTCTGACAAATCCTTGTTTACATTCACACCTGTAGCTTCCCACATTATTGATGCACATCTCAGATGCTGCGTCACATCTGCTGACAGCCTGGGAATCTAGGCACTCATTCTGATCTGCAGATACGTATATTTATGTATTAAAACATTCATTTACACTGAATTGTAGAAAGCTGTATGAATATATTAAAACATTAATTTACACTGATTTAAATTAACTTAGACAATTTAAACAACCTAGACAGGGTAAAATAATAATTTTCAGTTTTTTTTAAAAATAAATACTATGTGCAAATATGACTGCTTCAACTGATGTGTGGTGGAATGAAGCTGCACAATAGTTTCCACTAACCTGTACAGTTCCCATTTATCATTTCAAGTCCAGTAGAACATTGACAGCTGTAGGTGCCTAATCCATTCACACAAGTAGTTCCAACAGGACAAATGTCTGTCTGTAAACATTCATCTACATCAACATCACAGTTGGGACCTGACCAGCTGACGTCACACACACAACCCCTCACTGTGTTGCATGTCCCGTGGTTGTGGCAGTCACACATTGACAGACAGCTGTCTCCATAGTAGGGTGGGCTACAGGCTAGACATAAATAAAACTACATGTTGTCAAAACACATTGACAGACAGCTGTTTCCATAGTAGGGTGGGCTACAGGCTAGACATAAATAAAACTACATGTTGTCAAAACACATTGACAGACAGCTGTCTCCATAGTAGGGTGGGCTACAGGCTAGACATAAATAAAACTAAATTTGTCAACACACATTGACAGACAGCTGTCTCCATAGTAGGGTGGGCTACAGGCTAGACATAAATAAAACTAAATTTGTCAACACACATTGACAGACAGCTGTCTCCATAGTAGGGTGGGCTACAGGCTAAACATAAATAAAACTACATGTTGTCAAAACACATTGACAGACAGCTGTCTCCATAGTAGGGTGGGCTACAGGCTAGACATAAATAAAACTAAATTTGTCAACACACATTGACAGACAGCTGTCTCCATAGTAGGGTGGGCTACAGGCTAGACATAAATAAAACTACATGTTGTCAAAACACATTGACAGACAGCTGTCTCCATAGTAGGGTGGGCTACAGGCTAGACATAAATAAAACTAAATTTGTCAACACACATTGACAGACAGCTGTCTCCATAGTAGGGTGGGCTACAGGCTAAACATAAATAAAACTACATGTTGTCAAAACACATTGACAGACAGCTGTCTCCATAGTAGGGTGGGCTACAGGCTAGACATAAATAAAACTAAATTTGTCAACACACATTGACAGACAGCTGTCTCCATAGTAGGGTGGGCTACAGGCTAGACATAAATAAAACTACATGTTGTCAAAACACATTGACAGACAGCTGTCTCCATAGTAGGGTGGGCTACAGGCTAGACATAAATAAAACTAAATTTGTCAACACACATTGACAGACAGCTGTCTCCATAGTAGGGTGGGCTACAGGCTAAACATAAATAAAACTACATGTTGTCAAAACACATTGACAGACAGCTGTCTCCATAGTAGGGTGGGCTACAGGCTAGACATAAATAAAACTAAATTTGTCAACACACATTGACAGACAGCTGTCTCCATAGTAGGGTGGGCTACAGGCTAGACATAAATAAAACTAAATTTGTCAACACACATTGACAGACAGCTGTCTCCATAGTAGGGTGGGCTACAGGCTAGACATAAATAAATCTAAACTTGTCAACAAAAACATTGAACTATACAAGAAAAAATTTTTCACAATTAACTAATGAAGTAAGAATCATAGCTGTAAAGGAAGTTTAACCTAGCAAACAATAACAAACTAAATGCTCAGTCCATCTAAACAACACAGCTTAAATTGAAGGGTGATAGAAACTATTATATTTACTAGCTATATAGTTATCTTGATTACAAAATTATAGGAATTAGTATTAAAAAATTTGTAGCCAGTGACTTGATGAACTTACGTGAACATGATACTCCGTCTGGTTTCAGATAATATCCAGCATGACAAGAACACTGAAACTTTCCTGCAGTGTTTGTGCAAACCTGACTGCAAGGGTTGTTTTTATACTGACACTCATCAATGTCTATTGAGACAATTTTTAAAAAGTTATAAAATACTTATCAATGTCTATTGACACAATTTTAACAAAACATTTGACAATACTCATCAATATCTATTGATACAATTTAAACATAAAGTTTTAAGGCACTTATTAATATCTATTAAGACAAATTAAACAAAACTCTTCCGTAAAAATTATTCTAAAAATTTATTAACCCAACATTTAATTACCTAAATGTAAAATAAAATGTAATTATTAAAATATATAATGAGGTAAATGACTGCAATAGCATAGAAGTTAGAGTACCACAGTACCTATACATTTGCTTTGATTGTTAGAATCTAGTTGGTATCCTTGATTGCATGTGCATTTTGTTACATTTGTGCCAAAGTCACAAACTTCACATTCCTGGCATGTAAGAGAACTTGAAGAATCTGATTGATTTAAAAATATATTTCATTATGGCATTAAATAATCAGTTTTTATGTGCAACATTACTCACAAATTTTCTCAGCTTATTGTCCCTTAAAATAAATTTTATGAACATTTATGACTAGGCCAGGCAAGTACAAGGAAAATTAACAAAATTTCAAAAGTTTGCTGAATTTATTGACAAAGTGTGAAATGTCTTTACGCTACAACACATGAACAATTGGAGTAAAACTTAACTTTCAGGTTGTATCTTGTAAAAAATTGTCAGTAAACTTACTGGCTGTGCCATGTAAAAATGTCAGTGAACTTACTCAACTGACAGGTTCTTCCATCAGGGTTCAGGTAGTAGCCAGGTAGACAGTTGCATGAATAGCTGCCTAAGGTATTCAAGCAGGTGTGTTGGCAGGTAGATGTTCTTTCTTCACATTCATTAATATCTAGATCACACAAGCATATTAATTCATCCATTAATGTCTAGATCACACAAACATATTAATTCTTTCATTAATGTCTAGATCACACAAACATTAATTCATTCATTAATGTCTAGATCACACAAACATTAATTCATTCATTAATGTCAAGATCACATGAACATATTAATTCATTCATTAATGTCAAGATCACATGAACATATTAATTCTTTCATTAATGTCTAGATCACACAAGCATATTAATTCATTCATTAATGTCTAGATCCCACAAACATATTAATTCATTCATTAATATCTAGATCACACAAACATATTAATTCATTCATTAATGTCTAGAACACACACATATATAGAAATCTTAATCACACAGACATAGAAAATAAACCAGCTAAGTAATAAAGATGTATTATAAATAAATGAAAATCTAACAACAAGAGCAATAATTTTTCAATGTTTATGATAAAAATTGAATGAACAACAACACACTTTTTGAATTTCCTAAACTTGAAATTTTTTTTTATATTGAAACAAAACAGACTTTATTTTTTAAACTTTAAAAAAAACTTGACTTTTCATCTCTAATGTAAAAAAATAATTAAAAAACTCTTTACTCACCCAGGCAAGTGTTGAGGTCAATGGGATCAAGACGGTAGCCATAGCGACAGTGACACGTGTAGGATCCCTCAGTGTTTCTACACTCTTGACTGCAGTTATTTTTGTGTATGCATTCATTGATATCTGTACATTAAGCGTGTGTTTTAAATGGTTTTATTTAGGCATTCATTGATATCTGTACATTAAGTTTGTGTTTTAAATGGTTTTGTTTAGGCATTCATTGTACATTAAGTTTGTGTTTTAAATGTGTTTTGTAAGCTTTAAAATATAAAAGATCCATACATATACATTTTTGTGATAAATAGGTATGTACAAGTATAAGCACAATCAGAGTTTAGTTAGTCGTCATCCACTTACCAACACACTGTTCAAATATTTTCTCAAACCCTGCAGGACATGGACCACAAGTGTAGCCTTTGGTGCTGTTTCCTTGTTCAGCTGCTGTCAAGTCAGTGCATGTCTGACCTTTGGAGCACGGCTGCTGCTCACACGCATCCAGCTCTCTCTCACAGTCTTGGCCTGTCAACAAATATTTACATCAGGTTACCAGCTTTAGGATGATTGCTGAAAATACTCTGATTCAAATGCAATGTACATTTAATGCCTAGTAGCAAACTTTAAGTTGTGGTTCTTTAAGCAAACATATAGTCCTATCAAAATGGCCTGCCAATGAACTACTTTAGATAGATAAATAAGATAAAAATATTTGAATTTGGGAAAAATGTAGAGCTACGTATTGAACATGAGCTAAATCTTAGCAAATTTGTACATTTTATATATTTTATGTAAGATGCTCTGTTCTAAATGTTTTTATGTTTTTTAATTTAGGCGTATATTTATACATCTATGGACATATCTTGTAAACAACTTAAAAGCTTAGTCGTCGTCCCCCCCCCCCCTCGCAAAATATATAGTTACATTTTGCCACAAAAAAACTTGAATGGCTTGATCTGCTTATTTATAACATATCTAATACTAAATTTGAATATTTCTAGAGAATTATAACTAAACTTATAAGGAAAAATTTAGAATTAACTCTAAATAGTTGAGAGTAATATTACAATACTAGTAGATCAGCATGAAGTTTGAATATTACCTGTGTAAGCTGCATAGCAGAGACAAGTAAGAACTTTGTAATAATCATTGTCATTGGTCATCTGTCTTACAGTGTTTTCTGAACAAATGCCATGCTTATTGCAATGTGGGCACAATGTTATGGGAATGTAGAGGACAGAGGAATATGCTCCTTTAGAATCATATGCCCTTATTCTGTTGATATCAAAGTTATTGGAAATTATGAGCAAATTCATTTAAAAGCAAATACTCATTCTTTTCTATATTAAAACAATAACATGAAAAAACAAAATTTATAATTGTTGCACAAAAAAAACAAGGTAGATTCAACAGATTTCATTAAAAAAATAAAAACTTAATAACCCTTTAAGTATTTTCTGATAAGAATTTTCTTCCAAAATAAAAATAAATAACTATCAAAACCAAACTCTCCTTACCCTAAAGGGGAATTATGTGTAAGATTAGGGAAGTAACTGATTGTTCCATTCTGATTTATTGTTATGCCACTTGTGTTATCAAAAACTTCATAAAAGATTTCATCTCCATCTGCATCATTTCCTATTACTTGAATTAGGTTCACAACATCTTGGTAAACCAAAATTTGAGAGTTGCTTCCCATTTCAATGTTTAAAGTTGGAGGATTGTTTTCTAGAAATAGAAATAAGATCAATGTAGATGTATTTATCATATTGAATTATACTTTAATTTATTTTAAATATGCTTATCAGTTGTTTTTATCCATTTCTTAATGATTTTTTTAAATATTATAAATAAATGAACAATTTTCAGCATAAAATTTATAATTACAAACACAGGTTTTTTTTAAAAAAAAATTTTATCTTAATCACTCACTCAAAACATTTATCAATGCATCCATTTGAGTGTTTGAATCTTTTGTTTCTTGTGCAAAAGTTTTGTCATTAGTAGCAGCATAATCAAACAAGCATGCATCATTGTCTGCTCCACATAAATCTTTAGCCCTAGCCAACACGTCTGAAGCTATTTCATCCCTGAACATTGGCAGGAAATCAGGGAGACACTTTCTTGATGTTATCCTGCCATTACCAGAAAACACTGAATCACTTTCTGTAACTTCATCTGTGAAGAGTACAATAATGTTTAGGCTCTGTTACTAAAATAGAAAACTATAAAGTAGTTTACTCTAATGTTAATTACTTCAGCAAGTATTGTTGTAACTAAAACAGAACACTTAACAATATGAGTAATACAGTCACAGGTATGGACGTAATGATCCTACTTACAATAGCGAGCAAACTGCACAAAAATTTCTCTCTCAGTCAGGTTTGCAGGTAGAACTGTGCCATTAGGTAATGTGAATTCATCATCCAATCGATCATTGAAATTTCCTAGCAGACCTCTTGTCTGGGTTTTGACTGACTTGTCAACCTCCATTTCAAGTTTTAGACTTTTGACACCAACAGAAACTTTTATTGACACTCCTAAGATATAGCATTTTTCAATGCAGAAAATAAAAGTTGAACACAAATTGTATGCTCTTTTAATTTCCTTTTAATAAAATACTTTTAAAGTTTTTAAAACTTACCACAGCCAAAGGTAGCCACAACAATGGTTGCATTGTTACTGTTCAATCTTCTAACATCAATAAAATTGTCCATCATTTGGAAATTGTAATCATTGTAGAAATCCAGGGTCAAATCTCTGTCATTAGCACTAATTATCATAGCTGTAAAATCAAATTTATTTCAATATATACAAGAAATCAAACAAACATTATTTTGAATAGGCCTATAAATTTCAACATATATTTTAAATAGGCTACATTGCTAGTAGGTGTAAATTACAATTGTATATTTTTAGCCTGATAAATAATGAGAGAAAAAAAAACTATGTTGACATACATGTATTAGAAGATGCCAGCTCAACTTGATAAATAATGAGAGAAAAAAAACAATGTTGACATACATGTATTAGAAGATGCCAGCTCAACTTGGAATTGAGTAAACTCCCATTCTGTGGCTGCAAACCCCACAAAAACTGTAGCATTTGTCAGAGTACCATTCCCTGCTTCAGCTCTCGCTGTTTGTGCCTTAAAATTAGAGACATTTTCTTTTTTAATGCAAATGTTTTAGAAAATAAAATATTATAGACATTTTGTTTTTTAATGCAAATGTAAACTAAAGTTTTAGAAAATAAATATTATAAACATTAAGTTTTTTAATGCAAATATAAACTGAAGTTTGAAAAATAAAATATTATAAACATTAAATTTTTTAAAGCAAATGTAAACTGAAGTTTTAGAAAATAAAACATTATAGACATAAAGTTTTTTAATGCAAATGTTTTAGAAAAAAAAATATTATAGACATTACGTTTTTTAATGCAAATGTAAACTGATGTTTTAGAAAATAAAACATTATAGACATAAAGTTTTTTAATGCAAATGTTTTAGAAAATAAAACATTGTAGACATTGAGTGTTTTAATGCAAATGTAAACTGAAGTTTAAAAAATCTTACTTTATGATTTCTGAACAAACTAACTTTAAATACAAAAAAATGTTCCGTTGACAAAGAAAAGCAATTAAGTAAAGTATGATTAAAAGTTACATTAAAATCTGTGAAATCAGTATTCATAAAGCTTTATGAAGTTGTTTTGAAATAAATAAATATTAATAACTGCTAAATTAACTAAAAATAACAGAAAAAAGTATGCACTTAAAATCATATATTTAAATTTTTTTAATGACTTATGTATTAAAGAAGAAACAAATGTAAGCACTACCTGCAGTGTGAAGTTTTTAGACCAGACATCCATGAGAGTATAAAATCCACATCCATTCATTGTGTATTTTAATCCATCTAAAGTCAACAAATGTGGGTCTCCTAGTGCTGAAGCTAGAAAAATGTAAACAGAATAAACATTGATTCATTTTAAATGGAAATTAAAAAGCATATTAGTTACACAAATGGGTCCCCTGAAATAATCTCCTGAAAGACATGTAGCTTCATAAATAAAAGCTTGATTAAACCCCTTTCAAGCGTTATTTTTCAAGAAGCATTTTTCTTGGCACAGATTAGCATGTTTTCCAGATATTTTCCCTCCTCTCTGTTACATGTAAACTATACATAACTACCACTCAAGCAAGTTGTAAAAAGGTTTTTAAATTGTTTCTTTAAAATCTAAGATACAATATTAAATGCACAGAAAAGTGAAATCACCTGGAACAAAGGTGACAATATTAGAGCATCCCATATCAGGGAAAACCTTGTAGAATCTGCCACACATGGCTGCAGTTGATGATTCCTTACAGCACCAGCCGTGGGCCTGTATGTTTCTCCACGCTTCCTGGTAAAGGTCGTTCTGGGACCACCATGACCACCAGGTCCAGGGGTCACTGTACAGGATGTGTCCAGCATCGGCCGAAGCTGGGAGGTATGAGGCTTGTTGCATGGAGCTGTAGAGGTTGTACTCGTTTGCCTGCCCAGTCCTCTTGTAACAGCAAAGCTAGAAAAATACAACAGCCATGACACAGTTAATAGAAGTTGGTATGGAAACAAGAGAAGAAAAAATATTAGTAAAAAATATGTGAATATAGTAGGTTTAGTAAGATGGAACTAATTTGTATTGGGAATAACATTATTAGCATCAAATGCAAAACTAGCCTTAAAATTTTCAACAGAAAAATTTTTTTTTAATTATACTATGACAAAATAACTGAGTAATAACAATATGTATTACTTTGTTTTAAATTGAAGAACCATATTTAATGCTTCATTATCTCTTAACTATCAAACAAATGAAGTGTCCTTTTTCAAAGCTGGGAAGAGTAAGTTTAACTGTTTTATTTTCATTTGTTATATTTATTGTTTTATGAGAATTTCTTCTCTAAAAGTTTTTGTTTAATGTGTCACCTTATTTCTCGTATTGCCCTGCAAAAGTCTTCTTTTTGCCACTGAACTAATGGCATAGCACTGTATTTCTCCATACTGTCCTCTGGTTTCATACAAGTTCCATTGAAGACCAAGGCGATCAAGTGAGCATGGGCATTCATACAAGTTTTTTATGTCAGATAAATATTTTGTATTTGACATCAATGATTTATGGTTACAAACATAGTTCTGGCATTTCCTATCTGAAGATGTAGCTCTTCCAATGGAATACGTCATAATGCCATTTATACCTGTTAAAGTAAAAACTCCATTAATTACTGATTGAGTAGCATCTTACCACAATCTACAACACAAGCTGAACATTTTTAGTAGGTCAAAGATTTTAAAGCCATAACGTTTAAGACGTTGCCCGATCAATACAATTTAAACCCAAATATAGCTAACAATTAAGTAGAACATCTGTTGTCTTACCTGTGTTTCCTTTCAAATCAGAGATCATAGCAACCATTTGCGAATTCACAATGTCAAGTTCCATTATGTCTGTATCAGCTACATAACCAATTTTAATTATTCTACCAGGGACATATTTCCAATTCATCAACCCATGCTGGTATACAAAAATTGCATATGATCTTTCTTCATCTAAAATAAAAAAATTACATAAAAAACATTAACCAACAAAACAAAAATTTATAAGGCAATAACAAAATTAGTTTCAGCTGTTTTATTTAAGGATGCATATGTCTTGGGAGCCAGCCAGGTTTTTTATGGGAGGGGGGGAAGGAATTTTGTTTTAATAAATTAACTTAGTTGGAGAATCAGATATTTTATTACAAAATAGAGTACCCATTTAGTTAATTGTGTAATAGCAGTTTAGTGATTTCAAGGGAGCTCAAATCTTATCACCCACATAAGCAAGTTTCATTGTTATTTTTTGAGGAAGACATTAAAAAAAAAAATTAAAAAATAAAAACTACCTCATAACAAATTTGTAGTATGCCAAAACATTTGACAACTTTTAAATTTATTTTATACTAAAAAATAAAAAATAAAAAAACTGTATGAAAGAAAAAAAATTTTTATAATATTAAAAAACAAAAATTATTTAATGCCATATTTAAAAAAATAAAAGGCCCTATACTATGGGAACAAATATAAATAGCAAAAAACAGAATTGATTACTTTCAACTGTCTCTTTTCCATTTAAGAACTTTTTATGGTGTCCAACAACAAAGACAAGCTGGAAAGTATTTTCTTCAGTATCCTATTAGAATATACATCTTATATCAGTTTGTTTAATATAGGCAATTTTTTCAATTTGACTAACTGAATAAATTGTTTTACACACTGAAATTATATTTTAAAGCCAAAGTACAGCACATCCCTAAAAGCTGTATTGATTGTAAAGTGTATGAATTTATTGTCTACACATGGATGCGGATTTTAAACCTGATAATTAAAGCTAAAAATCAAGAGCAGTCAATCCTTCATCAACTGACAAAATAAATTATAAAAGCTTCAGCCATACAAGAAAAATGAATTCGTTGACTTACATTATTTGACTGTGAAAGAAAGTGAACAGCGTCCCAAGTTACTAGGAGAATTGTGTTGGCTACAAATCCATCAAGTTTATAATACTGGGCTATGTCTCGCTCTGCTCTTGTTGTGATATCATACTGCATTGGGCTACTGTAATCATTGACATTGTCAAATGTGGATGAGTCACATGTTTCATATAGATGGTAAAACACAGAACCTTTCCTAGGATCCATCTGGGCCCAGTATGGAGCGATTATGTTATACTTCAACCCAGAGGCTGCACTGATGCTTGGACTGCTCACAATTGGACGTTCTCCAAATCGTATGACACCATTTGAATACACCTAAAAATGGTTGCCAAAACATTCATTTATAAGCATTAAGCATTATTATATTTAAAATTTGATCAATACTATTAATAACAAAAGTTAATTGTTTTAAATGGTTTATCAGCCCTAAACAAAAGTTGTGATGCTTAGTAGTTTAAATAACATAACTTACAAAAGCAACTTTTTCCAGCTGTTGTTTATTTCCAATGGGTACACCAGTGCTAAAGTAAATTGGTTTACTGATCAAAGTTCCATTGAGTATAAAGTCATTGCTTGTATTATAGTTCATAACAATGTCTGCAGCAGCTTCTCCATATGGGTACAATGGAACTAAACATGTCAAAAAAATGTTAAAGTTTTTTAAACATTTAAGAATAATTTGTATTTAAGGAAATTTTCTTTAGGGTCTGTTATTTCCATCTTTTTTTTTCAAATATTTTCTAATATTGTATTATTTACCATTTCCTTGTACAAAAAATATGGGAAACAATTCTCAAACAAACTTGGATCATACAAATCATTGTACAATGTAATGCTTACAAACATACCAACACAGATTAGATTCTCAGCCCTGTCCAGTGTAAGCCCATCTGGACATGCACAGTTTTCTATACCAGAGCTTGTAACATAGCAGGCATGAGAGCAATTCTTTATAACACAATTGGAATATGCTGAAAAGTTTGACATTAAAATTGTTTGAGTTTTGTAAACAAACTTGAGTGAACTATAAATTAAAACATAAACATCAAAATGTATGTTATTTTAAGTTAAAAAAAAGCATTCTGATACAACAATTAGTAAAAACAAAAACCACCACAAAAGCTAGTCATGGTGCTTGTGATAATTTAATAAATATTTGTAATCTGAAAAAGTAAAAATAACCGACAATGTTTTAGCTGGTGATGTTTTAACATGGATTTGGACATACCTTCACATTGGCCAAAACTGTTTTCTTTATATCCACTTTGGCAAACACATTGATATCCACCAGGCTCATTGATACAATCAGTATTTTCTGGGCAGATATTTGTCTCTGCAGCAGTCTCGCATTCATCAATATCTTCTGAGCAATCGTATCCCATAAAGCCAGGCTTACAAACACAAACGCCATTAGTGTTATCACAGAAAACTGTGTTGTTCTTATCACATGTACAGCTGATGGAGCAAGTTTCCCCGTATGTAAAGTCAGGGCAGGCTGGTAAATAGTGAAACATAATTTCTCAGTTACACCATTGTGAAACTGAGATAAAAGCAAAGGTTTTTATTAAACTGAGGAATAGAAAATCTAGTAGTCAGAAGGGGGCCGAAATTTTTTGTTGTATTATAAATAAAAGTTTTAATTTAATAATTTTGTTATCTTTCCTGTTGTTGTTTATTGTAATTATTATTTCAGGATATTGCTATTTTATTATTCAAAACAGCTTAGCATAAGAAATGAAAGTTTACAGTTCATCATGTTGAAGAAATAAGCAAGCCATATATAGCTGTTAATGCAGAGTTTATTTAAATATGATGTTCCAAGTGTTAGTGCATGTCTCATACAAATATATAAGTCTAATTATAAAATTTGAGTTCAAGATATGTGTACCACATACCTTCAAACTGCTAATGAAAATAAACAAATTAAAAAATAGTAATTTTAAAATATACTAACTGAAAAACATATTTTAAAAGTGATTGTTTAAAGAAATGTTAAAGTATTAAATATCCTAAATATTTATAAAATATTTGTAACTCACCATGAATTATGTATGTTCCATAAAATCCACTTCTTGTAATGCTAGAATCTGTAAGAAACTCAAGCTTCAATGTATTTACTGTTGATCTAATTAGACCAGGTATTCTTGCCCCACAATAGGTCCCAAAAAGAATGTCACCATTGTAGACTGATAGAGAGTCATAAGCACATTTTGAATAACCCTCTAGGGAGAAGTTGGAAAAGCTGGAAAAAAAATATTTTTTATAAAGATAGTGTCTGAAAATTACACTGCAAAATCAGGAAAACAATCTAGAGACCCTGGCGTCTTTGACATGAATAAAGTCATAAACTTGATTGTTATTCTACTCTAAACCAAAAAATATGAAAATATTTACCGGATTGAAATGACATTCCCTGGAGTGGCTATGATGGTCCAAGAACATCTAAGATCATTATCATACAATAATGGGAACCTTGGACTACTAATTACTCCTGTAGTGTTTGTAAGAGTCTTGTTACAACCTACCGGGTTGAATTAAAATGTCATTGTAATTTGAGCTTGTCAGACAAGTAACATAATTTTTTTTTTAAATATTGGATTAAATTATTAAACCAGGTGTTACTGAACAGCTGTCACTAGCATAAATCACACTAAATATGATAAGCCCAAGGCTAAAGAAACTATCCTAACTACTAATAGTAAATGTGTTTTAAGATTTATAGCTAAGTTTTTGTTTAAATAATTAACAAATCCTAGCGTAAAACAAAACTGTTGACACTTAAATAAAAACAAACCTTCAGAAATACAATATCCACTGGGACTCTTCACATATCCTGAGATACACTGACACATGTAGCTTCCAATGGTGTTGATACAGATGGAATTAGCACCACAGTATACTTGACTACATTCATTGACATCCATAGAACAGTCATAAGATCCCCAACCAGGTAAACAATAGCAGGATCCATAAGAACACCTGACAGTGTTGTTGGCTACACAACTGCATTGGTACTGGCATTGGGAGCCATATGTCATGTTGGGACACCCTAGGAAAAAAGTAAATTTTAACATTCCTTTGATAGAATCAACCATTGTTCCATTAGTAAACATGAAATTAACTATAATTGTCTTATTTTTAATTTAAACATTTAAATTTATAAAATCTCTGCCTTTTATTGTGTAATTACTATTGTTTGCATTTAAATAACGGTACTTATCAAGAAAAAAACATTTACTAATTCATGTTATCCATACAATAGCACATAAAATTACCAACCAAACCCCTCCCCCCCCCCCCCACCACCCCGCCAGACACACATACACAAGCACTCAACAGCTTATTTAACCAAAATTGTATTTTAAAAGATATTTTTTTTTAGATAAGACAAATTTTAGTATTGCAAAAATAAATGTGATTATTGCTAACTGTTAATGCATGATTGTGGATTAAAATATTCAATTAAATAATAGATACACTTATTGAAAATTGAAAACAAGCTTTTGCATATTTCCTAAATGAAGAAAATAAAATTATTTCCTTAAAAAAGCAAGGCCTGGTCTATGGTGTGCTTAAAAGTAAGCATATTTGTAAACCTACTATGATTATAATATAATATTTTATTTACAGAGTAATATACTTTAATAAATTAAAGCTTTTATAAATTTCAATATTCTCTGTACAAAGTGAAAATGTTTAAAAGAGATTATTACACCTGAGCTCAATTCATTACAATTTTAGTAATGAGAAATAGATATTCAAAATGAACATGAAAAAGTTAATGTTACCTACCTTCACAGTAATTTTCTTGAGCTCTGTACCTTCCATTATAACAGATGCATTGATAACTGTTATTTCTATACCCACAGTAAGAGTCAGCAGGGCATAGTGAGCTATTGTAATAGCAGTTTTTAGAATCAATGGAACAATCTGATCCTGTCCAGCCAGCTTTACACACACAGTCAAAGGTTGTCATATTGCAGAAATCTGTGTTATTTTTGTTGCAACCACATACCTCTGGACAGTTTTCTTTATTAATACAATCTAAAAAAATATATATTGTTATTTTGAAAATAGAGTTTTATAATCAGAAACACAGAATGTATTGAAATTCCTCTCTGGATGACTTAATTTTGGAGCATATAAAATGAGAGTAATTTAATTACACTAATTAATCTTAGCAGTTGGTTTTTAACAACCAGAAAAAACATTCCTGTTTTAATAATCAACAGCACTAACAGTATGAGCTGTGAAAGAGTAATTGCTTTCAGTGGCGTAGCAAGGGGGGGGGGGGGGGGGGGCGGGGGTGCGGACCACACCGGGTGACACCATTTAGGGGGGGGGGGGGGACACCAAGGCAAAACAAATAGCAAAATATATAGAAAAAAATGATAATTCCACTTAATTATGTGATTAATTTGAGTCTTAAATAGTCTTTTAAGAGCAAATTTGACAAATCCCCACAAGGGTGGAGGGGGGTGAAAATTGAAAGTTTGAGGGGGGTGCAAATAGAAAATTGAAAGGTTGATCCAGAGAGCGCTCTAATTGAAAGTTTGTCCCCGAGCGCTGGGAAGGGTCGCTACGCCTCTGGGAGGGTGACACCATTAATTGCTGCATCGGGTGACACCCGACCTTGTTTCGCCACTGATTGCTTTAATACCAAAATATCAAAAACTAAGAGAAAGTTAAAACTTGTTTGTTTACTGAATATTTAAAATTGATCAAATTCAAATAGAAAAAATGACTGTTTATAGAAAATATTGAAGAAATTACATTACCATATGACTGATAAGAAGAATATAAATAACTCCAATATGTAGGCACATTGAGATGGTATACAATGAACATTGTATTTGATGTAGATACAATATATCTTGGTGCATTTGTGCAATAATGTCCTAAAAGTGGAGCATTTGTGCTGTTGCCATCATAAACTTCAAAATAATTATCTGGACAGTATGTATAGTACAAATTTGGGCTGAAAAGTGTAAAATTAATGTCTAGTTAAAATGTTTTCTATATATTAAAAATGACTTGATCATTAATTGCACTTAAAATTTAAATGTTTTCATTCTTTTCTACTACAAGAAAAGCCATATTGTACAAATTTATAATAGATAATTAAATTATAGAACTGGTAGTTTTAAAAACAAATTCAATTAAAATGTTTTAAAGCTCTATAAAACATGAAAATTACCGCAATGCTATGATAGAGCTTTGATTGGCTATAATTGTCCATGAACATGAATGATTAAATCCTAGAAATGCAGAACTATAAAAAAAACCTAAAGAATCTGTCAAGGTGTGTACACATCCTGGGGAAAAAATGTTTACAATGTCAATGGCACTTAGAAGAGAATAAACTGTGTTAATTTGAAATGTGAGTAGAGCAACTTGGTAAAAAATAAGCCTTTGTTTATGTTAACTCCATAAATGAACCATATCTTACTATTCCAGTTCTAATTATAGAGTTTAATAGGAAAAGTCTTTCTAAAATTCAAGAAGTTACAAATATGCTAAAGGAATACTCCAATACAATTTTTTTTCTTAATTCGACAAGTGTAATGATGCATAGTATTGATGAAATTTTAGAAGTCAGAGAAATTTTGTATTATTTTAGTTACAAAATTTCAGAAGCAGATTGAGTGATAAATCTTATAAAAAACAACTTCATTAACTCTTAAATAAAAGTGGAAACAGTGTGTGCTGGATTATGTCCTTTTTAAATATATTATAAACCCTTCAATAGAGATTAAAGTTTCTAATAACACAAAACTATCTAACCTGAGAATATGGAATATTAATGCTATTAATTTGATTTCAAATTAATTACATTTAACTAGTAAGATACAAATAGATAGACAGGATTATAGAATTATTTTGCTTTAGTTTTCTTTTTAAAATGAAAGCTAATATTCTAAAATAAATATTTATAAAACTGCAAATATTGAGTTGATAGATCTATTTAAATATTTTTAAATTACACTTTTACCTTCCCAAATACAAATGCCATTGACTCCCAATTTAAATCCCTGCTGACAAACACATTTGTAGCTTCCAGGTGTGTTAACACAGTATCCATAATCTCCACAAACTATAAAATATGTGTAACACTCATTGATATCCACTGAACAGTTCTCAGACTGCCAACCAGGCAAACATGTACAGTTTCCTGTCTTGTCACATGATGAGGTACCAACAGGGTCACAGTCACAACTCAAGCTGCAGTTCTTGCCATAGGTTAAGTTGCTGCAATCTGAAATTATAAAAACAATAAATCTCAGATATCATTTCATTCTTAAACTTGGTCTTAAGATCAGTGTTTTACAGTTTATGTGTAATAGAATGCTCGTACCATAATGAAATCAAAGAAGTGATTTAGATTAATGATGAATATAATGATGACAATTTAATTAATGCAGAAATTATTTTTTCATCACACTAACCCCGACACATGTCCCCATCTAGAATGGTTCCAGTAGGACAGTAACATTTCTCAACAGCTGTTTGATTAGCAAGAGTAACTCTGGTACACACATGGGAACAGTTTCTCTCAGTACACTGGGAATCAGCTGTTAATGTATCATGTTGAAAATTCTATTATTGTTTAGCAATATTTGTAAATACAACAAAAATTTAATGATGTCAAAGCAGTGCTTTTTTGTCAGATTCGGCATACCAGCACCTTTTTCAATGTGGGGAAAGAATTATTACTTTTCTTGTATTTTAATGTTTATTATTAATTTATTATAATATTAATTTGTTAATTATTAATTTAGTATATTTGGAGTTGTGATTCTGCTTGCATGGATGTGCGAACTGGTAGTTGAAAGTTAGGCAATCTATTACTGAGTACCTAAACCTTTTTTTATGAAAAAAGCACTGTGTCAAAGTACTCTAAATACAGTTTAGTATCAAACTACACATTATTTTACAGTCTGCTCTGTCTTGCCCAGAGAAAATTTGGCTTTGTACCCAAAGCTCACATGGTAGAAAAAAAATATGTAGTATATTTTTACATTCTAGTATACAGAGTGTAGAGAAAGTATTGTAAACAAATATTTTAACAGTCATCACAGTTTTATACCTCCCTACTTAACCATTTAGGGAAAATAAATGATGCATTGTAATCATGCAAAAAATTTAAACAAATTTTGAAATTTTTACATCCTTCCAAGATAGGAAAACCTGGTTTTGCAATTTTGTCTGTTTGTCTGTCTGTAAACTCAATATCTTTCATATATTTCATCAAATTTGTGGTTCGGTATCAACTTTTGAGCAATTTCCAGTAATGGTAAGTGGTACATACTCTACTTCCGGTTTCATAAAAACCAGTAATAAGAGCGCCATTTAAGTTAAGTAAAAAGAAATTTCCTATATATTATATATGCATTAAATTGATGTGCAATATTTATTAACTTTATCAATGATTTTCAGTAAACAGATGTGGTATTTTACTCTATTTTCATTTGAACACTAACTTGAGTATAGTTTCTATTAGGTAGAAGAAATTTCATTTATAAGTATAGGATCTTATACTTAAATTATTTAAAATTTTTGAGTAATCGCCAATAACCTGAACTGGTAATTTATTCTAGCTCTGGTTTTTAAAATAGGGGGTAACATAAAAGCCATTTCTTTTTGGTGAACAAAATGTCATACATAATTTTAGATAGGTAGAAAATCTCATTATCTTAAATCTGTCACATTTTGAGTACTACTTTATGATAAAAATATTACTTCTACTTGACCAATTTTTTTCAATGAACCCTGACATAAAATGTGACGTAACTAGATGTTTAATTAACTTTTTAAAATAATCAATGTTTCTTTTATAAATTAAACATTTTACACGCTATTATACACATATTGTATGTGTTTATTCACTGCACAATTGTTTTTAAGTATCTAAAATGTAAAAAAGTAAAACATTTCTGTATCCAATAAGAATACATGAAAAAGTTTAGGGGAGATCACTCACACTTTATTTTATTTTTTCAGAAATTAAGTGATGAATTGTAGAAAATTATTGGAGTGGAGTTCAATAGGGATGCACAAATATTGGATGCTAATATTTTGATTTAACTGTGGTAAATATTATATTCAATTCATTTATGTTATAAATCTTTAGACCTAGATTTCAATAAGTCAAAGTCATTAAATTATGTAAACTGACCATCAGATTCTTCTAAATGTCATTAAACTTTTAATTTTTATAAAATTTCTGCCTGTTAAATCCCAATCAATGAGCCTCAGCTGACAAGACCAAGACAGATAAGCATGAAAAATCATTTTTTAAATACACACAAAACACTGAAAGAAATTGTCAATTTTTGTAAATTAAAAATTGAGATAAAGTTTGACAATTCCTCTTGCAAACAAATTCAAATTTATGTGGAGGGAAATGTAAAGGGAATCCAAAATGGAAATGTATGGAAATGTAAAGGGAATCTAAAATGGAAAAGTATACAACTAGGCATAAGAGAGGAGAAATGTAAAATGGATGTTTGGATTAAAATGACTTCTACATAAATAAAAACTTTATCTCATTGTACAAAAAGCATCAACATCTTTAAATAAATAGGTGAATTTAAAAGATAGGTTATAAATGTACTGACCCGGATTTGTACAGGTTCCATTTGCAGTTTTTTGCAGCCCTTCATTACAAATACAGTCAAAGCCTCCATTAAAATTGTGACAGTCTGAATAGTCAGGGCAGACAAATGGTTGTAGCAGACATTCATTTACATCTACAGAGCAGTGCTGTGATGTCCACCCATCTTTACAAACACACATCCCATCACTTTTATAACAAAACTGGGTGTTGTTTTGTATACAAGGACAATGGCTAGAACAGTTTTCTCCAAATGTAAATGGCTGACATGCTGAAATTCAAAGTTTTTCAAATATAGGTTAAATAAATAGATTTTAAATATAATTTGATATCTTTAAAACCATTTTTATTTTAGATGTAATGGGAAAAAAATGGAAACTTTAAATCAAAATGTTAAAAATTGAAAACTTTACCATAAGAAGTGTAGTTGGCAATAAAGCCTTTTCTGGTTATAATGTTATCAGATCTAAATGTAAGATGTAGTGTATTGGCAGTTGATATGATCTTAGGCAGAACACTATTACAATATTTTGCAATATATCTTGCAGATGAGCTATTTCCATCAAATGCTTCAAAGTAATCATATGGACATCCCTCAATTAAGAATTCAAGAAACCTATAATATATGATTTTTCTTATTAATAGCAAATATAATAAAAGAAAAGTAAATTATAAAAATTTTAAGCAACAGCAATTTTTCTTAATGTTTGTTTATGTCAGCTTTTTTACAATTATTAGTGAATAAAGAGTAATTATTGCTAATGTAATAAACTAAAACTTATACTTTGAATTTGTGTAGTTTAAAAGTTGAATTAAAATAGTAAGCAATGCAATTTCAACATTCTGAGAAAATTATTAAAAATCTTTAATTGTTTATCAGATTTTATAATACTAAATAGTTTTCCAAATATAGAGTCTCTAAATATTATTAAAGCAAGTTGCTAAATTATCAATACCTTAATGAAACAGAATATCCTTCAGTTACAGTTATTGTCCAAGAGCAATTCAAATTGTTGAAGTAATTGGCTGGATAGTTAGGGCTCATGATTGTACCAGAATTACCAGTCATTTCAAAAGAACAGGCTAAAAAGTAAATATTTTATTTAAGAAATGATCGAACTCGTCCCCGCTTGTTGCCGCGGGAATAGAAGAAAGTCCGACAAAATATATAAGAAGGGTTTAATCTATGCATTACCAATCCTATATTCTTAGACGCATGACCTTGTTTTCTAAAGGTGAGTTATTTAAATGTAAACAATGCCTGCGCTTGGATCATAAATATTGGGACATGGGTTTACCTACACTACCGCATGAAAACCGCACATATACCAGGGAAGTAGAGGGGCGCTCTCAGGAGTCCCCCCCCCCCCCAATTACACTACCACATAGTCACCACGTACGGCCCCTGGCTCCTTAAAACCAACAGGCGCCATTGTGCCAAATAGCATCCTGTTAACAATGATGCAGATTGCATCATTCGCTAAAGTGACACAAATGAACAGGATTTTTTTCTTTAACACGTAAAATTATTATTTGACGTGTTTTAAACATCAGTGTGACTGATGCAATATGTTAGTGTTACTAATGGTCTATTATTAGATGCTAGATCTCAATTTCTGATTGGATTGTCTAAAAATAGATGCTAATTGCAACATTCGCATAGTGACGAAACTGTTTGGATTATTTTACGGACACAAAGAGAAATCCCAATTAATAATCTAACCTAAGTTAATTTTTCTTATTATTAAAATAAAACATATTACATGGCCCTCAGCGGACCATGTGAGCCTTTGGGGGCTGAAACTGAAATTTTTGTTTGCAGCCAAATTGCACCCTACCAGGGTGCCAGTGGACACGCATGATTTAATTTAATGAGCGTTTGTATCGCCCCATCCTATCCATTTGTCTATCACAATGTTTAGACCAGTGGTTCCCAACCTTTTTCGAGTGGAGACCCCCTTTAATAAAACTTAAGTGACCCGCGACCCCCATATAATTAACAAGTCGAAATTAGTAAAGAAAATAATAAGCACTAAATTAGTATTTACTAGTAGACTTTCAATATGAATTATTCTTGATAACTGTTTTAATACGATGAGCAAAATTACATCCTATTAACAAGCATTAACTAGCATTAACAATTAAATTTTGCAAATTTAAGAATTCATCTTGTTATTCATCGGCAATGCTGGTAACATCAAGGAAAGCAGAGATTGGGTAACGAATCAATGCAGATTCTTCTTCTTTCAGCTCGGGGAAAATAACGCCGCAGTTCGTTGTCAAGAGATTCAAGATGCACAGAATCCTTTAAAAATTGATCTATCACACCACACTGCAGAGTTTCTCAAACATGGCAGTATTTCAAATATTTATTTTTCCTCGCCAATTTTGTAGCTTTGATAAAAATGCCAAGAGATTATCATGAAAAGAGATAATATTCGTTCCTTTATCAGGTTAAACTTATGTTGATGTTTGAATATATCTGCTAGGTATGATACTCTCTCCAACCACACCATGTCGTTAAAGTATATCAAAAGGTCTTGTTTCCTTGCACTTCCAAGAACATCTTGATTTCATCTTTCAATTCAAAAACACGATGGACATTTCCTATTGACAGCCAGCGTACTGAAACATGACGCACCATCCGTACAAGCCCCACAGCCGCTTTCCCATTTTAATCCTCCAGTTTCAAAAAACGTATTTATTTTCTCCAGGATATCTTCACAAAACATCAACTCTTATTTGCTAACATCTGAATGAATATATTTAACAAAGACAAGCAACGGCGAACCAACACGAACTCACGTCTGTCGATTCGTCAACTTGAAAATCAAACAATGGGTGAAAGCTTGATTTCATTCTAAATTTGTCTTTTAACATAAGCCGCTGCATAGTATTATTAGACAGAGATATTTGTTGCATCTTTACTGCACTGGAATCCCCAAGAATTAATTTTACCATCTTCAGCATACATGGTTTGATGAGATTTTCTCCTTTGTGTGAGAGGTTTTTTGCTGTGCAATTTCTAATACTACTTCATATGATGATTGCACTAATGCTGTGTTTTCTTGGTGAAAACGTTCTGTTCGATCAAATCTCTGACGTTTGCAACTAGCTTCATGCCGACGAAAGAACTACATATCTTTTTGGTGTGTTCCGAATGACTCGTCTCAAATTGACGTTTGGAAGTTTTCATAGACTCCTGACTAAGAACACCTTTGCACAGTACAAATTGTTTATTCTCTATTCCATTTCCAGTGATGTTAGTAATTCATTGCTAGAGTTTAGTCTACCAGTTGGCGACCCCCCAGAAAGCCCTTCGCGACCCCCATGGGGAACCGATGGTTTAGACCTAACGTAGTCGCCATAGCGCTCACAAGAATGAACAGGGCGCCAAATCGCATCCTGCCGATGGGCCGCCCATGCAAAATTAAATTCACCCTCCCACCACCACCCAGCCACCCCCTCTCCCACTTCAGAAACCTTCTTGGGAGTATTCATCAACTCCCTAAAAATTTATGGCACCTGGATAAACTGTGTCGAACGGCAATCGTCTTTTATTTTTATATACCGTATACAGAGAAAAATCGCACCCTCCCGTGGCGCCGCCCTTGAGAAATAAAACAAAAACATTTTGCAGAGCCCTTCCAGGTAGTGTTCTAATCCACTCCCAAAAGCCTCATGCCTATCTGATGAATGGTGTCATACCAAAATCAACTTTTATTTTTATATACAGTACATAGAAAAAAATTGCACCCTCTCGTGGCGCCGCCCTTGCGAAATTAGAATTGTTTTTTTTACAAAACCCTTCCTTAGAGTGTTCGAATGAACTCACCAAAGTTTGATGTCGATCGGATGAAAAGCGAGAAACCGAGATCGACTTTTATTTTTATATACAGCATATAGAGAAAAAACAAATTGCGCCCTGCCGGGGTGCTACCCCTGCATATTTGAAATTTTTTTCCACAGAAATCTTTCCAGGAATATTCTCAACAACTTCCCAAAATTTCACGGCAATGTGATAAGAGGTGTGGTAATGCATAAAAGACACACAGACACACACACATACATTGCTTTCTGTATATATATATATATATATATAGAGTGATTATATTAATGATAATTCACAATAGAAAATTTAAATATTTATCTTCAACAACAGGCTTTTTGCTCAACAGTAAGAAATGTTAACTTTATTTTTAATATAATTTTGTAATTGTTTTTACCATAAGTACAAGATCCACTGGGGCCCTTTACATATCCTGAGATACACTGACACATGTAGCTCCCAATAGTGTTGGTACAAATGGAATTGGCACCACAATATACTTGGTTGCATTCATTGACATCCATAGAACAGTCATAAGATCCCCAACCAGGCAAACATGAGCAGGACCCACTATAACAGCTGGCAGTGTTGTTGGCTACACAACTGCATTGGTACTGGCATTGGGGGCCATATGTCATGTTGGGACAAACTAGATCAAAAATTAATGATAGAGTACATGTATGTTAATATGAAATTATAATTACTATATCTTTATCAAAAATAGTAGCAACAATATGTATTCCAGGCAGAGATTTCAATACTAAAGTTTTTCTACTACTTACTATCACAAGCACCTTCCTCAGTTCTGATAAATCCATCATAACAAATACAACCATATTGGCCATTGCTATATCCACAATAGGAGTTAGCAGGACATATAGAGCTATTGTAGTAACAGCTGTTTACATCTGTAGTACAATATTCTCCTGCCCAGCCTTCCTTACACACACAAACACCAGTTGTTATGTTACAGAAGGCTGTGTTGTTTACTTGACAACCACAGACCTCAGGACAGTTCTCTTGCCTGCCTAAATTAAAATATTTAAATGTAAGATCATTACTGGTAATACAAAGTCCAAACGTTGCCAAGGAACATTTTTAATGAACATTAATCAACATTATAATGAAAACTAAAATTACACACCAGATATGAATACTTTTTTCACAAGGGGTCATCCATAAATGATGTCATGCTTTTTTTGATGATTTTTACCTCCCCCCCCCCCCCCCTTTGATCCATCACACATCGTCACAAAAATCCAGACCCCCCCTAAAATGACGTCACACCTCAACCTACAACACCCTTCAAAATTGCAGTTGAATTTTTCTTTAATCATCGATATTTTTCCAAAATCTTGTCTGAACTCTGTCAAAATAGAGTATTTTAATCAATTCCCATTGCAATTTATTAAATCAGTTTTCTAAAACGCGAAATAACGTCTAAAATTTGTTTTCTAACATTGCTTTTTTATAATGCAAAAGTGTGACGTCGCACCATCTGAAACCCCCCCCCCCTTCCCTCGTCACACATCGTCACAAAATTACGGACCCCCCCCCTTCCCCCACGTGAGTTTGACATCATTTATGGACGACCCCCCAATCACAGTATGGAGTTTTAGATGTAAATGATTGGGAAGTAATGATCAATATTTTAAGTATTTGCTTTCATATTAAAGTCAAACCTACTTACCACAAGTTTTATACTCAGCAAAGAAGTACATCCAATATGAAATTGATGAATAGGACATAGTGATGTACATTGAGTTTGATGAGGATGCAATAATTCTTGGTAAGTCTCTACAGTAGTGTCCTAAAAGTGGAGCACTTGAGCTGTTGCCATCATAAACTTCAAAATATTGTGTTGGACAATCTCCATAAAACTGAGTCCTGTAGTGCAATGTTATCAACTTTTGGTTTAAATTTTATATATAAAGGTATGTTTAAAATAATTGAAATCTATTAAGTTAGGTTTTTTTTTTAATTTTGAACATAATGCAAATTAAATAACTCTGTCAGTTGGTATAATATTTTGTGTGTAGAATTCTACTTGATATATAATGATGTTTCCAAAATTTAGTGCAGTCAAATTAATTTTGAATCTATACCTGAGAAAGATATTAAAGTTTTCTTTTGCAATTATAGTCCAAGAGCATGTGAGATTCTGAAGACCATATAGGCCCCAGTAGTCAAAGTAAAATGAACCAGCATCATCAAACAATGAGTATGTACAATCTGTAATGATATATTAATAATAAAGGATGTTGTTCACATTAATGAACAAATAAAAGCACTGTGTTGCAACGCCAACATTTTATTTGCATGATCAAGATTTTTAATAATACAAACATAAATTTATGTTCAAGAAGGTCTATGTTAACCAATTATTTTGCCAGGGTTGGAAACCTGTTTTATGGCTTCTACACTTACACAAATTATCCCTAATAAAATTAAAATAGCTACAGAAATAACTCTAAACAGAATATCATTTATAATATTTTTAATGATTTTAAGATATTTAAAGTTCAATTTAATGGTTGAAACATTTGCTGTGATCATTACAATTCCGTAACTCTAATTCTATTAATCTAACTTTACCAATATGTTTTATTAAGCCCTTTTTCCAAATTTATTTTAAAACAAAACGGACTAGATTTTGTCAATTAATCTATAATTTAAAATTCTGTGGTCATGTTTCTATCTCAAAACTGCAAAAAATCACAAGACTCCCCATCATTATGAGTCTGCATTCCAATTGTTATATCCATCTAACTATGCCAATAAATTTTACTGTGCACAGAAAAGTATGCTGTGTGTGTATATGATGAATACATAAAGTTGGGTGACTATTTAATTCATTTCTTATACACATTTTCACTGAAACCAATTTTTTAAACTATTGTTACTGAACGAGGGAAAAAGAGACATGCATAGTGTAAAGACTAAATTGTTTTGATAGTACGTTATGTTTTAAATCAAGGTAAGGCATGTAACATGATACTTGCCATTCAAACATTTTTTAGTTTTATGAAGCAAAACTAGCTTATAAATTGTTTTAGAAGAACAATATAGTTACTTCATGATAGGACCACAGGACTGGGTGGCCTAGCGGTAGAGAACTAGACTGCTAACCCGAGGGACTTGAGTTCAACTCCTGGTTCAAAAAAGATGAATGTCCCTGAGTCCAACCAGCTCTGATGGGTATCTAACTTATGTTAGGGAAACAAATGTGGCTGGCTAGACTATCCCTTCATATGCAGAGATTTCTGAAGCAGATGAACTCTACTTCATCTGCTCCATGTGTCTTGGGCAAGAACGGGGAAATGATGATGGTGAATGGAAGGACCAGAAATATTCACTAACTCAAAGAACAACATACCTTTACACTCTCCATCTGAATTTTGTTTAAGTCCACCATAACATTTGCATTCATACTGACCATTGCTATATGCACAGTAAGAGTTAGCAGGACATAAAGAGCTATTGTAGGAACAACTGTTTACATCCATAGTACAATATTCTCCTGCCCAGCCTTCCTTACACACACAAACACCAGTTGTCATGTTACAGGAGGCTGTGTTGTTTACTTGACAACCACATATTTCTGGACAGTTTTCTTGGCTTGCACAATCTAAAAAATGTATATTCTTTTCATCTATAATATAGATATGGGATAAGTATTCATTTTTGCTTGATTCTTTCAATTAAAAAATGTGAGTAAGGTTTGAAACAAATATACTTTAAAAATCTCATTGTAGAGAAAAAAAAATATGTTTTAGTTAAGATTTCTGTTATTTTAACAGATATTTTAAAATATATACCAAATGTTTCGTATTTGGCCTCAAAGTAAGTGGAGTAGTCATTGCTGTATGTAATGTACATTGAGTTGGATGTAGACACAATGAACCTAGGTACATTGTTACAAAAATAATCTCCTAAAAGTGGAGCACTTGAGCTGTTGCCATCATAGACTTGGAAATAGTGTGATCCACAGTAACCATACAGAGTAGTCCTGGGAAAAAACAGTTTATCGAAAAAATAATTAAAGAAACTGATCTTGTTTTAGGTACAAATTGTATTTTAATTTAATCTCTAAAATGCTGAAACAGTTTTTATCAATTTAAATGTAGCTGTCACATAAATATTAAAGTAAGTTAGTCAGTAAATAGAAAATTGTTCAAACTAAAATTTTACAAAAGTTCAATATAAGCAAATTTTCTTTTAAGAATAATAGGATTTGATTGCTTTCACTAAAAGAAAGCTTAAACTTAAATGCACTAGACTTTTAATTATATTCTTTACCTTAAAGATATAATAAAACTTTCATTAGTGATAATAGTCCAAGAGCAGTTGGTATTTGGATAAAACACTGATCTAGTTAAATAACCAGAAGCGTTGTTAAAAGAAAAATCACAACCTGAAAAAAAAATTGAAAATATAATGATAATTAAAATGTGAGTGGCTGGAGTGTTATTATGATTATATCTGTAACTTAAAAAGGTGAATGTATCGTTTCGTTTTATGTGGTAAACTGTTCGTGCTTTTTAGTTATGTAGTCCTGTATTATGGCGCCATTGTATAATTTTTTATGACTCTGTCTACGGCTAGTCTGTGTATATTTTGTTTATATTGTTGTCAATGTTTATATTAAGTGCCTTTGTATCATTTCTGTCTCATGTTTTAGGGCGTGTTGTTTGTTATCAGTGAATTGGTGACCATTTGTTTACGTGTAGTGTGTGAGGTGTATGGAAGTCAGTGCCCGGCAGGATGTGTCTAGTCACTTTTGTATGTCAAGGGGATAGGAAGGTTGTCTGTGTGTTCAGAGCTTAGACTAGTATTGGGTACATCAGAAGTCAGCGCAGCAGGATGTGTCTAGTCACTTTTGTATGTCAAGGGGATAGGAAGGTTGTCTGTGTGTTCAGAGCTTAGACTAGTATCGGGTACATCAGAAGTCAGCGCAGCAGGATGTGTCTAGTCACTTTTGTATGTCAAGGGGATAGGAAGGTTGTCTGTGTGTTCAGAGCTTAGACTAGTATCGGGTACATCAGAAGTCAGCGCAGCAGGATGTGTCTAGTCACTTTTGTATGTCAAGGGGATAGGAAGGTTGTCTGTGTGTTCAGAGCTTAGACTAGTATCGGGTACATCAGAAGTCAGCGCAGCAGGATGTGTCTAGTCACTTTTGTATGTCAAGGGGATAGGAAGGTTGTCTGTGTGTTCAGAGCTTAGACTAGTATCGGGTACATCAGAAGTCAGCGCAGCAGGATGTGTCTAGTCACTTTTGTATGTCAAGGGGATAGGAAGGTTGTCTGTGTGTTCAGAGCTTAGACTAGTATTGGGTACATCAGAAGTCAGCGCAGCAGGATGTGTCTAGTCACTTTTGTATGTCAAGGGGATAGGAAGGTTGTCTGTGTGTTCAGAGCTTAGACTAGTATTGGGTACATCAGAAGTCAGCGCAGCACCATCTATATTTTAAACCTTGTCAAACTATTTCTATTAAGCCTGGTAAGTTAGTTACTCATTTTATTTGAATGATTTATAGTTTGTTAGCCGTGGGCTTTTTCTGTACATGTATATTTTCTTGCCACCATTGTGGTTTTGCCAGACCACGTGGGGCAGCCAGACTTTATCTTTATTGTAAAGATAAAGTCAAGCATTGATTTTTATTAGATGTATGCCTTGGGCTTGTGTTAAGCCATGGTTAAGGTTCATTGTTGCCTGACCCACAGTTACGGCCATTCCTGATTTGGTTGTGACTTGTAAGCTGTTTTATACTATTTGTATGCCATTATAGTAGACTTTCACTTCCTGTGGTGATCTTTGTTGATCCCTAGGAGAGTGTTTATTCAAAGTCACTATGGATGTATATAACCTTTTTTACATTTTAAATGATTCTTGTCTATTTTTTTTCTCTTTCTAGGATGGTGGTCCTAATTTGGGTGTTTTGTTTTGTATGTTTTGAGTGTTTTGGTTTTGTCTCATCTTGTTTTTGTCTGGTTTTTTATTTAGATCTAGGTCTATATTTTTTTTATTTAAATTTTGGTTACACATTTTTGTAAAATAAAGTTTCTTAAATTGTTGAAGTTTTTCTGTTTTATTTTTAGCAGTTTATCTAGTGTAAGGTTAAGATTTAACCACTGTGAGTTTTACCACAGTTGCACTGACTGGAGAGTTATTAGATAAGCCTAGGAAGGGTAGATAGTATAGTTATCCCACCTAGCAGGGCTTACAAAAATAATATTATATATGCTTTAATGTTTAAGAAACTGCAGAGGAACTGAGCAGTAACCTGGGGCTCATTTTCATGTAGCATGCCTTTATGGTTTGCAAATAATAAGAATGAAAAGTTCCAGAAATAGGCAAAGAATATAAAGTTACAGTTTTTAAAGTGTATAGGGTTAGTGTTGTATTTTTAATAAATTTTAAGTCTAATGCAATGAGATCATAGGTCATCAGTACATTTGTGGGTTGTTATTTTTTTGTCATCACTGGCTTCAGTTCTTAGTTGCTAATGTAACAGTCAGTGTACACCAATTTAGTTAAAACTATCCTTAAAGAACATCTGCAATTGTTTGGTAGTAACTGTGAGAAATAATTATAGGCCTCATCTGTTATAAAAATTATTTGATACTACCATTTAACCCTTACAGCATGCCAAGCCACAATTGTGGCTCTACTGTTACATAACTTATAACGCTTAAGGCTACATGGCGCGCGCTTTAAGGGTTAACAGAGATAATAGTTAGTACATACATTTCTTAAATTTATTTTTACCAGCAAATAAACACATTGTGTGACTTTTCATGTGGTTTTTTACATTACTGATTTCCCTTTGACTTCCTTTTTTTCTCTAACAATTGGTCCAGTTTGGTCACAGAATGTAAGAGAAAGTCTGATTATTGTTTTGTTGGTAAGAGTTCCATGTTAATTTTATATTAAAAAAAATATTTTTATAAAGAAAACATTTTATAAATAAATATTGAATAAATAAATATAGGACAAAAAAATCTAACAAAAAAAAGTTTTAATTATAAGTTTTTATGTAATAATGCACTAAAAATTAACAATTATTTTCTTTAAATTTATAATCAACAACTACTATTTCAATAACTAAAAAGTTTATGTATTGAATACCTCTACTAGAATTTAAAAAACAACCCCACAATTTGATTTTTAGTTATTTAAATAGTAGTTCTGAGATAGATTAAGAATTACACAACGGAGACAGAAGCCCTTAACATGTAAACAGCTTTTATTGTTAACCGGCAAGACGGAAGTGACGAGAGACACAAGTAAGGGACATCACTCAAGATAACAATATAAATATAATACCAATACAATTATCTCAATCTATTACATCCCTTTACCCTTAGAACACAATAACACATCTCTCAATAGAACAATTGATAGTATCCTAAAATCACCAATTATATTGTAACATGAACACTATGGTAGATTACATCCTTACAAACAATGCACAATATGCCACAACATAATCAAGATACAAAACAATGATGTCAAAGTCTTTTTGACCTTTAAAATCATAGGTCTAACTTATTTGGGACTTTGATTGTCCTGCTTGACCTTCTCAGTGGCTTTTGATTTGGTGACTCAAGATTCTGACCATTTGGATTCTCTATCTCAGGAGGTCTAGGATTTAAATCATTAACTCCAGAATTTACATTTTCTGACTCCAGACAACTTGGTTCACTCATATCAACAGAACTTGGTTGTAGAACAAACTGAGTTGGTGTGAACTGATCAGACTTGGTGGGATTGACAGATTCACACTTATTATCTGCACAAGTTATTTTTAACTTTATAAGGCACAGGTCCTGTACATTGAACAATTTGACCTGGTATCCATTTTTCCTTTCTCCCATGATTTCTTAGATACACATTCTTATTAACACCAAATTCTCTTTCAATGCATGAGTTGTCATGATTTAATGGAACTATTTTTGAATTGGCATCTGAAAGTATTATGCTGTTATTCAGATCCTTGACTGACATAGATTTCTTTGATTGATCAATTTCCTCATGTAATCTGATAGTGCTTTTTGGTAACCAAAAATACTGTTTAAAAGTAATATCCTGGACTATATCACTTTGCAACTGTGATCCAGTATTTGAAATGGGTGCATTAAATGGCAAAAATCCTTTTTCTTTTCTTTTGATGTTACCCTTTTAGTTTCTTTTAGTTTCTGTAAGTGCTAATGATGTTAGCAAAGTTGTTTGATGATCACATTCCTTCTTACTAATGTATTCTCTTTAAAACATTTGAAATTGCCATATCACCATAATCATTTATTAAGTTACAAATACTTTGTTTAGGCAACTCTGACTGATAATGGACTGCATCTTCTCCATCTTTTATATTATCTTCACAAAGGGTTTTATTTCTTATTTAATATGGCCTTAAGTCATCATTCACAGACTCTTCAGGCCAACCATTCATACAGTGCTCATATACTTTTATTAAGCACTCATCTTTTTGTGTTTCTCTTTTAATATCATTCACATTTATATTGGAGTTATCCATGATAGTGAAGAGAACAAATACATCTTCTGGTACATAGCTCAGGCTTTGGTTTTTTAAAGGTAATCTACTAAGACTATCTGCACTATTCTCAGATCCAGGTTTGTATTTCAATTCATAATTGTATGCAGTTAGTGTGATAGCCCATCTTTGAATTCTTGGTGAGGCATGCTCAGGTAGGGTTTTGTTTTCTCCAAATAAACCTAGCAATGGTTTATGATCTGTAAAGATGGTGAACTTCCTACCAAACAGAAACTTATGAAATTTCTTAACACTAAAAATGATGCCTAAGCCTTCCCTATCTAACTGAGAATAATTTTTCTCAGCCTGGTTCAAAGATCTACTGGCAAAAGCAATGGGTCTGTCACCCTTCTCATCCATGTGGGACAAGACTGCTCCTACACCATCTGGTGAAGCATCACATGTCAATACAAGTCTTTTCCCTGGGTCATAGTGAGTTAGTAAGGTGTCAGCAGACAAAGCCTCTTTTGCTGTATTAAAAGCAGTATCTTGTTGTTTACCCCAGTGCCAAGTTGCATTTTTCTGTAGCAGCTTGTACAGTGGTGATAGTTTACCAGACAGATTTCCTATGAACTTTGCATAGTAATTTATTAAGCCCAAAAAAGCTCTTAGTTGTTGGGTATTTTCAGGTTTGGGTGCTTCTTTAATGGCTTTTGTTTTCTCAGGTTGAGGTCTGATACCTTGTTTGCTCAATATATAACCAAGAAAACTAATTTCTGTCAGCATGAATTGACATTTATCTTTGTTTATCTTTAAACCTTTTTCACCAATTATTTTCAATACTTTATCAAGTGTTTTAAGATGTTCAGTGTCATTCTTACCAGTTATGTACACATTGTCAAAGTACACACAAACATTTGGAATATCCTTAAAAATACTGTCCATGACAGCTTGGAAAATTCCAGGGCTAGATGATATGCCAAAACATAGTCTTTCATATTGGTAGAGTCCTTTATGTGTGTTTATTGTCGTATAGACTTTTGAATCTGGATGCAGTTCTAGTTGAGTGTAAGCATGACTAAAGTCTAATTCAGTGAATTTGTCTCCTCCTGCCAAATTCAAAGAAATTTCCTCAATGTTAGGTATAGGGTACCTATTTAGCTCTATTTGCTTATTCAGTGTAGTTTTATAATCTCCACAAATTCTTATAGAACCATCCTTCTTTAACACTGGCACAATGGGTGTCGCCCAATCGGAATAGTCTACCTTCTTTATAATGCCATTAGATTCCAATCTACTTAGCTCATTTTCAATTTTATTCCTCATTGCATAAGGTGGAACTCTAGCTTTGCAGTATCTTGGATTTGTATCTTTAATGCTTAACTTCACTGTTCTATCATTTAGTAAACCTGAGTTACCAAAAACACATTTATTTTCAGATATAACTTTATCTAGTGAAGTAAGACTAGATTCTTTTACATTCTTCAATGAACAAATACTCTCCCAATTTAACTTAAGATCACTTAACCAGTTCCTACCTAGTAATGGCGGTCCATTTCCTTCAACCACAAGAAGAGGAAGTTTAACACTTTGACCATTATAACTTACATGAACCATACACTCTCCTATTACCGGAACATTGTCACCAGTGTATGTTGTTAGACACTTGTGACATGGCTGTAGAGGCACTGATCCTCCTGTGACAGCGTCAAAATCTTTCTTTGTTATGACTGTTAGAGATGCTCCAGTGTCAAGTTGGAAGCTTATGCTCTTACCGTTGATATTAACTTGTACATTGATGGGAGCATGACTTATTGATTTCACAGAGAACAGGTTGAAATCCGGCTGCGAATCAGTTTGAGCATTTTCACAGGTAGAGTGGTTCATTGGTTGGGTTAGGTAGTCTTGGTGAGAGTTAACATAGTGCTGCCTTTGGTTGCGGTACTGTCTTGACTGGCTAGATTTAGCAACAGACGAAGACTTTGCAAAGCAGGCCTTGGCAATGTGACCTTGCTCACTGCACTTATAACAAGTTGCAGACTTGAACTTGCACCGATGAGATGCATGGGGACCTTTGCATCGATGACATTTTTGATAATTATCACTAGATTTAGATCTAGGATTTGAACGTGCAGGCTGTTTAGCATAAGTTGAAATGCTCTGATGGGGTTGATGTTTGTTGACTAACCTGCTGTTTACTGCATGGATCTCTAAAGGCGTTAGAGATTTCGCCACATCTGATGACTGCTGGAATGAAGTTGCAAGTTGTATTGCTTTTTCCAATGTTAGATTTGACTCGAGCAGCAACTTTCTTTGAATATCAGGGCTGTTTACACCTGTCACAAACTTTTCACATAGTCTGTCAGACAGCGTATCGCCGAATTCACAAAATTTACTTAGATGACGTAAAGCAGCAACATATTCTGATATTGACTCGTTTGGTTGACGAGTCCTACTGTCAAATCTAGCTCTACATAGAAACTTTGATGGGGTAGGCGCATGGTGGTCTGTTAGCAATTTGCTCAGCTCGTTAAAGCTCTTGGTAGTTAGACTAGCTGGTGCGCATAAGTCCTTTAGTAGCCTAAATTGTTGAGGCCCTATGACTGTTAACAAAACAGCTCTCTTTTTGGCTTCTATCGTCACGTCGTTAGCTTCTAGGTAAAAGCTTAACCTCTCTAGGTAATCTTGAATGATTTCATCATTCGCATCAAATTGATTTATTTGGCCATACAGCGCCATAATCCTAGAAATAATTAGCTAATAAGCTCTAGCAAACCTCTTTTTTGCGTAAGTAGGTGCTCTTTCTAGTAGATGTTTATCCTTCGTCGCCAGTTATAATAGATTGAGAATTACACAACGGAGACAGAAGCCCTTAACATGTAAACAGCTTTTATTGTTAACCGGCAAGACGGAAGTGACGAGAGACACAAGTAAGGGACATCACTCAAGATAACAATATAAATATAATACCAATACAATTATCTCAATCTATTACAAGTTCTTATTAATATATTTAAAGAAAATAATTTACTTCCTTCTTTTTAATACATCTAATATATAAAGTTCAAAAGGATTTTGTGTCTCTGTATGTATGTAGCAGACCCGTGATAGACATGCATATATTAAAAAACTCGACTTAATCGCCATTGTGCAATATTCTTAAAATATTTATTATCTAAATATACGATTAAAAAAATTAATATTGACCGTTTAGAAAAACAAGTTTCATTTTCTAAAATTATCATTTTAATTAACGTCATGTTAATGTGGTTTGAACTAAATAAAAAAAGTTCTTTAAAATTCTTTAAAATTTTAATACAATAGAATAATTATTGCATGACTAAAATCTATTGTGCGCCAAATGATCAGGAAACAATGTGTGTATAATAGCAAGGGAAATAGTACTTTATATAGGTAACTTTAATTAATTCATAAAAAATTAATTAGCATCCAATTAAGTCAAGTTTGTTGTCAGATTGCTTTGTCATTGAGTCTTGACCCACATGCCAATTTTGAAACGATTCGGTCAGATCGAGGTGGTCAAAATTTTGCTCAGCATTATTGATCAATGACGGATGACAGAAAAGTTAATAGGATATACATTCATCCTACAATTTTTTCAAAGGTGTATTTTTTCTGCAAAATTAAAAAAGGATTGTATGTGGGCTGCTATTAGGACATATACTTTTTAAAATTATGTTTGTGATCCAGCAGTAAAGCACCTGATTGCTAATTAGTAAATCTGAAGTATGTTAGATGGCTCTAATATATGTTAGTAAAAAGAAAAGTTCCCTTTTCAAACCTGACGATCCATGGTGCAAGTGAAGTTGAGTTTATCTGTTTCTGTGACCTTGGAGTATGAAGGGATAGTGTGCTCAGCATTATGCCCAGCGGCCTTTACTTTCCTTTATGTGAGTTAGATACCCATTAAAGCTCAGTGGACTCAGGAAAGATCTACTGACTTGAACCCAGATTTGAAGTTAAGACTTTAAGGTTCACAGTATAGCAAGCTACAGCTAGTTCATTCCATCCCACTCGAATATATGACCTCCCTGAATTAAATTCTGAAGACTAGGTACTAACCGCACTATCCCACCATATGCAGAAGCCAGAGATGCAGATGATGTCTACTTCTACTTACAAGGATGTGTAATTTTTGTCAATAATGTGTAAACAATTTCAGTTTAAAATTCAGCAATATCATACACAAGTTAATTGTAGTTTTTTCTCAAAATGTATTGTAAAACAGATTTGTAATACCAATGTCTAATAGTGCTTTGTGTAGTGTGAGGGGGGGGGGGGGGGAATTTCTGGTTTCCTGGAATGTAATATGTACAGATGATATAGATTTTGGTGGCCTTTAGAAATGTGTTATTTGGGGTACACTTGGAGATATTTTAAATGACATATTTTTGTGCAGATAATGTGCAGCTTCCTTGTTAATGTTAGTGGTTTATCCATTCTATGGTAATAAAAAGAACTTTTGTGAAATGTCATCAGCATCAAATATATGTTCAGATTTAATGTTGAATGTACATGTGCACAAAAAATGGTGTGCACAGCTATATCATTCAGAAGGCAGGCATTCCAAATAAAAATATAAAATTCAAGAAGTTTCAAGTTCCATTTTTTTAGAGTATCCATCATATGTTATATTGATGTAATTATATTAATTATTTACCTTCCCAAGTACAAGTGCCATTGACTCCCAATTTAAATCCCTGCTGACAAACACATGTGTAGCTTCCAAGTGTGTTAACACAGTATCCATAATCTCCACAAACATTATATGTGTAACACTCATTGATATCCACTGAGCAGTTCTCAGACTGCCAACCAGGCAAACATGTACAGTTTCCTGTCTTGTCACATGATGAGGTACCAACAGGGTCACAGTCACAACTCAAGCTGCAGTTCTTGCCATAGGTTAAGTTGCTGCAATCTGAAATTATACTTTTAATTAGTACACTTTGTATTGGTTCAAAAGCTTCATCAAACAACACCATTCACTGTTGAACTGGCTGTTTTTTAACACATTCACTAAGACAGTCTTGGATGTTTTAATAAAAGTTAGATGGAAATTCTTGTACACATTTACTGACAGACTATCTAGCTAAAAAAACACTTGCCATTATTAATCCTCCCAAACCTTTAAAACTAGTTCTTTACTTCTGTTGTTTTGGATGTTTAAATCAAATTGTGACATAAATTCTTGTATTTCACTAACCTCTGCACATGTCTCCATCTAGAACAGTTCCAGTAGGGCAGTAACATTTTTCAACAGCTGTTTGATTGGCAAGGGTAACTCTGGTACACAAGTGGGAACAGTTTCTCTCATTGCACTGGTTAATTGCTAAAACAAGAAGAGGGTAAAAAAGCAATTGTTTACATACACTTGATATTTAATATTGAAGATATTAAATTAAAGTGTAATGTAATAAACATATTTTGTTGTTTAACATAGGTCTACTTTCTAATGTTATGAAATATAATAAAATTTTCAAATTATATTAAAATTCAACACAAAATATTTCACAAGAAGACTGTTCATATCTCTATAAACTATTAGTTAAATTCAACTTTTGTATAAAAAAATAAGGTACCTTCACAGGTGCTGTTAGCAGTTTTTTGCAGCCCTTCATTACAAATACAGTCAAAGCCTCCAATAAAATTGTGACAGTCTGAATAGTCAGGGCAGACAAATGGTTGTAGCAGACATTCATTTACATCTACAGAGCAGTCCTGTGATGTCCACCCATCTTTACAAACACACATCCCATCACTTTTATAACAAAACTGGGTGTTGTTCTGTATGCAAGGACAATGGCTGGAACAGTTTTCTCCAAATGTAAATGGCTGGCATGCTGAAATTAAAAAATTGGTTAAATATAAATTTAAAATCTATATATATAATTCTGTACATGGGGGTCACGCGAGACATGACCAAAGACATAAGCGTGCCTAGCAGCCCCCTCTCTTTGGGGGGGGGGGGGGGGGGGTGGTTATCGTCCTTAACAAGCTTCTGATAGTGTTTTAAAGCAAATATTTTCAGTGGCAGCATTGGTAGTGTCGAATTCAAATATTATGAATTACTGAAAAGTAAAAAATAAAACAACTAAATAGCGGCGTATAGTACGCAGCGGGTGGGGCTCGTATAATATAAAATGCAAACTTTTAAAACCATTTTCTTTTTAAATTTATAGTTAAAAGCAGAACTTTAATTCACAAAGTTAAAACAGTGAAAATGTTTACCATAAGAAGTGTAGTTGGCAGTAAAGCCTTTTCTTGTTACACTAGAATCAGTTCTGAATGTAAGATGAAGCGTATTGGCAGTTGATATAACCTTGGGCAGAACACCACCACAATATCTGGCAATGTATCTAGCAGAGGAGCTATTTCCATCAAATGCTTCAAGGTAATCAAATGGACAGCCTTCAATTGTGTACTCTAGAAATCTAAAGACAATTTTTTGTTCAGTTATTTATAAATACAAATTTAAAAAAAGAACATACAAATCTTGAACAAAATATTATTTTTTCCAACTTTGTAAAATAAAAAGTAATAATCTATATATAATTCTCTTCTTGGATACCCTAGAAAACACCATGCTGTAAGTGCGCCTAGCAGCCCCCTCTCTTCCTCTCTAGGCATATCCCTACCACCCCCACATGGTCTGGTGAGCTGTGGTTCACGCTAAATGTTTACAATTGTAGAGCCGGGTTTAGTGACGGTTATTAGGAGCAAATAATTTAGTTTGAAACCATTTTAAACTTAGGGGAGGTAACTAAGAGGAGGCTGCTTTCACGGGAGGGGGGGTGTAGGGTAAAGGTTGGGGGAAAGGAGGGTGGGGGTAGTATTGTCCTTAATGACCTACTGATAGTGTTTTAAAGCAAATATTTTCAGTGGCAGCATTTGTACTGTCGAATTCACAAATTATGAATTACTGAAAAGTAGAAAATAAAACAACTAAATAGCGGCGTATGATACGCCGCGGGTCGGCTTGTAGCTATTATAACAGACTATTTCTTGTACTTTAAAATTCATGTAGGTTAAGAGCAGAACTAATTATAAAATGCACTAAGATACATTCAATATATTTTGTGAGAAAAAAGTAATAAAGAGTTTGTCCTATATCAATCATTTTAGAACCCTTCATAGTTTTTCATATATTTTCATTCTCTGTATGCAATGACTATTGTCTAAAATAAATTGATGATTCCAAAGCACTTATTTACAATTACCTTAGGCCTTCCTACTTTCCTCTTTTCATGGGAATTCCAATCTAATGCCAGACTGGTAAAGCTATTTATGGTTTATGAATTGTGCCTACCTTACAATAATTGAGTATCCTTCAGTTACAGTGATTGTCCAAGAGCAATTCATGTTGTTTAAATAGTTCGCAGGATAGTTAGGGCTCATAATTCTACCAGAATTACCAGACATTTCATAAGAACAATCTGAACAGAAAAAAATTCCTAATAAGAATAATAGTATATTGATGATTTACAATAAAAACAATATATCTATTTACTAAAAATGGCAATTCTTTGTCAAAAGTAAGAAACTAAAAATAAATTTTCTGTTACAGTTTTACCATAAGTACAATATCCACTGGGGCTCTTTACATATCCTGAGATACACTGACACATGTAGCTCCCAATAGTGTTGGTACAGATGGAATTGGCACCGCAGAGTCCTTGACTACATTCATTGACATCCATAGAACAGTCATAAGATTCCCAACCAGGTAAACAATAGCAGGATCCATAAGAACAACTGGCAGTGTTGTTGGCTACACAACTGCATTGGTACTGGCATTGGGAGCCATATGTCATGTTGGGACACACTAGGGTAAAAATGTTAAATATAAAAAATCTTACCGTTACACTTGTCATTAAGTTTACTTTATATGAACTTTGAAATGAAAAAGCAATAACATTTAATTTCAGATACAAATGAATGAAATTTATAATAGTTTTTAGCTAACTAACTGGTAGCTGTTAGATCGCTGGATTGAACATTTGATATTATTATTAAATTAACCTTTTTTTATGTTAGAATATCTGTACAGAATAATTATGTTCCTAATAAATTTCCTTTTTTTTACACATAGCTATTAAACGTTTAGAAAAGGCAATAAAATTGTATTTAATAAATGCACAAATCAAATGATAAAAAACCAAAGGGAAAGTTCTTTTATTCTTGAATTGTATATTAAAGAAGAAATGCTATGCTTTTATCTAATTAGTCATTACAATAGTTTGCATTTATATATATATGTGCTTATCAAGAGATAAACAATACTACTTCATATTTATGTACACTACTAGCCGTCGTTACCCGTTAAACGTGAATTATAGGACTATATATTTTTAATGTTATACATTTTTTAGAAGAATATTTTATAAAATGGTCATCGGTCAAAACGCAATGTGCTTTACTATAGGTTTAACAATATTAGTGACAAAGCAAAGAAATAACGAAATAGCTATAAGTCTAACAAATTTAAAATAACGTAGGCTGCTATAACCTATTAGAAAAAATAAAACCAAATTATATACATAATTAGATAACACAACACCATAATAAATGCACTCATTGATGAAAAGACTTAAATGACTCCGTTAGATACCCGGTTTTTCAATGGTATTTATGTTGTTTTTAAAGCAATTTGTATTAGTTTTGGCAGAGGAAATTGTTTAAATTACCTCTCGATAAGTAAATCTATAGAACTAAATCAAACTCTTAGGGGACTTCCATAAATGACGTCAAGCTTTTTTGACGATCTGAACCCCCCTCCCCCTCATCACACACAATCACAAAATTATGGACCCCCCCCTCCCCCCTACGAGTGTGACGCCATTTATGGATGACCCTTTAATGAAATAGTTCATTTCTTCCTTTTCTAAAATTGGAATATGATGCTATTGGTTTTGTGTACTTTCCGTACTCCAAACGTATGACATGTGACGTCATCCATTTTGGAATTCTTGTCCCAACTATAAACGCTTTTCCGGTTGTATAATTAAAACCATTTTTCTACATTCGAATATGCCTTTATTTTTTATTTTTATTTTTTAAATAAAATTGTGTTTATACATTTAAAACATCTACCATATTATTTTCAACAAAAGTCTGTATCAAGTTCTCCATATATCGCTGAAGATTCTGATGTGATATCCTGCGAAAATATTTTGCGGACAGAGAGAGAGAGAAGTGTGCACATGGGCTTTTATATATTAGGATATAGTGGGTTTTTTTCCGTGTTATATAGCACACAACATTACCTCCCCCCACCCATACAACACTGTACTTTAAGCCCACCTTTGCTACCACTTGCATCCACCCAACATCTTAAAATTAACTAAAATGTGTTTAAAAGACATTAAATTTATTACTTTGAGATAATACTTATCTAAGTATCAAAATAGAAATATGCTAACTATTTTTTACTGACCATATTGCAGAAAAATCAAAGTATATGAGTAATTAAGTAGGTGGTAAAACAGTTAGTGAAATTCCAATTAAACAAGCCTTTATATATGCACTAAATGAAAGAAATGAAATAACTTCTTTAAAAAGTTAGCATATTTGTAGGCCTAGCGCTGAAAATAAACAAGCTTGTAATAATAAAAAAAATTTAATGTCCATAAGGACAGCATTTATGGTTAAGGGAAAGAGGTGTAAGGGGGTTTTCTATTTGAAATGAACATGAAAAAGTTAAAGTTAATTACTTTCACAGTAGTTTTCTTGCGCTTTATACCTTCCATTATAACAGATGCATTGATAAGTGTTATTTTCAAATCCACAGTAAGAGTCAGCATGGCATAGTGAGCTATTGTAATAGCAGTTTTTAGAATCAATGGAACAATCTGATCCTGCCCAACCATCATTACACACACAATCAAAGGTTGTCATATTGCAGAAGTCTGTGTTATTGTTGTTGCAACCACATATTTCAGGACAGTTTTCTTTGTTAAGACAATCTTTAGAAAAATAAATTTTACTTGAAAATATGATTGCAATTATCAGCAACAGATAATAAATGGAACTTAATTTGAAGCTTTTTAGACACTAGTGTAGAAAACAACATTCTAGTAGCCTACATAATTTTTAGTACATAAAATGAAAGTAATTTATTTTTAAAAAGTAACACTTTATCTTACTTGGTTTCCCCTCCCCTTCCCAATAAAGGAAAAATAATTACACTGCTTTCTTTAAAAAGCAAAAATAAAGTTTATAATGAAAGGAATTTTAAACATTAACCTTTTAATCTAAGCTTACACCAAACAAATTAATAAAATACCACAATAATCACAACTGAAAATGGTTTACCATTTGTCTGTTTACTGGATACTTAATACTGATAATTATGAATGTAATCTAAAAAGTATTTTAAAAACAAATTTGTAATCATCACTGTCAATTGAAAATATGAAATCACATTACTTTACCATATGACTGATAAGAAGACCCAAAATAGCTCCAATATGTGCTGCGTTGGTAAATAATGAACATTGTGTTTGATGTAGATACAATATATCTTGGTAAATTTGTGCAATAATGTCCTAAAAGTGGAGCATTTGTGCTGTTGCCATCATAGACTTCAAAATAATCAGTAAAACAGTATGCAGAGTAAAAGCCAGGGCTAAAAATTGTAAAAATGAATGTTTAATAAAAAAGGAGAAAAGGTGTTAAATAAATAAAATAAAAACATCCTTATAATTATGCTAAAATCAACCTTTAAAAACTTTTAATATTACAAAACAGCTTGGATTATGCCAATTCACACAAGTGAAATTTCATCTATATTTTAAAGCAGTTCAAATATATTGTTTTTGTACATTAAAATACAAAATGTAAACAATCTGATAGTAGTGGCAAAAAAGTAAATTAGGCCTACATAATAAAATATATAAAAAACAAAATTCAATTCAATTTTTTTAAACAGCTGTAAACTGTTCAATGTTATATAAGTAACAATAAATGGTTGAAACATTTTTCTTAAATAAGATCATAATTTAAAAAATTATTAACGTATTACTTATCGTGTTATATAAAAATGAGAAAAGGCACTTATTCCCACTGTCTTTTTAATAAAGAGATTAAATTTTAATATATATTATCTATGAAATCAATGCTTCTAGACATTATCCCTTTTTGTTTTAGTTCAATTTAAAAAATTAAATTTAACTAAAATTTACCGAAATGCAATGATAGAACTTGTATTGGTGATAATTGTCCATGAGCATGAAATAAGTCCAGAATATCCAGGGTCATACAAAAAACCTGAAGAATCTGTCAAAGTGTGTTCACATGCTGGAAATAAAATATTTACGATGGGTTAGTCATCTAAGAGGATAAACATTCTAGTTTTGTAATTTGAGTAGAGCTATTTTGTAGTAAGGTGCTGTTTTCTTAGTTTTTCAATCAATAAACAAACCATGTCTTTCTAAAATTAGGTACTGCTTATAGAGTAGCATAGATTTAGTCTTTCTAAAACTCAGCAACAAAAATGAGCTGCCAACGATTCACTAACACTATCTATTTACTACACTAATCTACTAAGTACAAAGATTATTGTGGAAATTACAATTGAAATTTTAAATAGTACAAAAATTACTCTGTTGTTGAAGATATCATAATATTCTAGATGCAGGTAAACATAAATAATTAATTTTTTAAACTATTTTTACCATAAGTACATGATCCACTTGGACTTTTTACATATCCAGTAAGACATTGACACTCAAAACTTCCAATAGTGTTGATGCATATAGAATTGGCATCACAGTATCCTTGACTACATTCATTGACATCCATAGAACAGTCATAAGATCCCCAACCAGGTAAACAATAGCAGGATCCATAAGAACACCTGGCAGTGTTCTTGGGTATACAACTGCATTGGTACTGGCATTGAGAGCCATATGTCATGTTGGGACAAGCTAAAACATAACAAAGATTAAGAATTATTTTAAATAGCTTTAGATCACCAGCTCCTGGTCACAGCATTAAATAATTCAATGACACAACAGCAGACCACATCTCAAATTTAAAATTCAGTACTGGAAGATAAAAGAGAAACACGAATGTTTATGTGAAGTCAACTAACTTCAAGCTCTCTCAGACTTGACATTTGGCTAGAGCTGCACTAAATTTAAAATTCAGCATGTACCCAAGGTCTGAGAAAAAAAAAACAAGGAACATAAAGAGTGGATGACACTAGCATCATGGACTACAATAGAAATAACAAGATAATTTAAACTGAAAATCAACGAACATGGAAGGAAGTCCTCATAATTTTGAATTTAGAGGGTAATTACAATTTAAAGAAGAACACAAAAGGCAACAAAAAAACAATTCATTGAATGAAAGAAGTAGCAGAAGAAGCTGCATAACAAAGAAGTTTAAACAGTTGTATGATCGAGCAAGAGTAACAACACCAGTAGGCCTGCAAAGGACAAGCAAAACAATTACAAAGCAAAACAATTACAAGTGAAGTAGCTGTTTTCAGAACTTCAATACTGCAGCAGGTGAATATAACTCCACCAACTAAGTCTGAAGACAAGGCATTTAAGACAAGACACAATGAAGCACTTAAGGCATAAAAGACAAAATTTAAGATTAACTGGAAGAAAACACATGTGTTGAACACAGATGCTCCAACGTGACCTAACAGGAATGACAAATTTGGAGCTGGATTGCTTCATATATGTAGCAAGTGTAGTAAGCAAGGATAGGAGAGCAGGTAAGGATATCAAAGCTACATCAGCAAGGCCAGGTATCATCACCCTCTTCATAATCTAGCCTAAGAAAATTACCAACAGTGAAGTATGGGGAAAACTGGGCAAAGCCCCACTGACAAAAAAGAAAGAAATACTAATTGGGATTGATTTGACACACCTTGTTCAAACCAACAAACATCACTAGAGGGCCATTAAATTTGAATCTCAGAGGAATGAGAAAAGTGGGTACGCCAAACAAATATGGAACAGATCAATTTTCAGTGAAATACAGCTGGAATGTCATAGACCTAACAAAGAAATCAAAGAAAAACATGTTCAAAGGTGTCTTTGCATCCCTAGCCTCCAAAAGTCATCTACGGGAATGATGATGATTTTAAATATCTTTGAACTTGCATTCAGCCATTCAAAGAATTGTTTATTACAAAAAATGGAAAATTGAATTGAAAACCATATAACCAACTCAAAAATAAATGTTATCTACTGCTGAAATGTTATTTGCTTTATATTTTTATTTTATAACAATTAATATACATATAGGATAAGGTAAGCCATTGTTATAAAAAAAATAAAGTATTTTTTCTGTACTAATTTTGTAAATAGAGAAAAAATGTAAAAAAAAAAAAGATATTCATAAAAAAGAATATTCATGAGATACATTTGTTTTTTATTTTTTATTTAGATTCTAAAAAAGTAACTTACTATCACAAACTCCTTCCTCAGTTCTGTAAAATCCATCATAACAAATACATTCATACTGGCCATTTCTATATTCACAGTAAGAGTAGGCAGGACAGATAGAGCTATTGTAGGAACAGCTGTTTACATCTGTAGTACAATATTCTCCTGCCCAGCCTTCCTTACACACACAGACATATGTTGTTGTGTTGCAAAAGGCTGTGTTGTTTACTTGACATTCACAAATGTCAGAATGGAATTCTTGGCCATCTAAATAAATAAAAGTACATTTATGTAAGATTTACTATTGCAACACAACTTTTCATTTTTAAATATTAAAGACAGTGGCCTCACTTGAAACTTTCTTCCTATTTTAAAACTATGCAGATTATTTAAGATGTTAATACTACATTAGGATATGAACATGTTGTCTACAATCCTTACACATACTATTTGCATTTTTATACCCATATTTTAATTTTTATCTCTTATGATAATAAATTAATTAAAATTAAAACCATATTTTAATTTTTTAACCCCTATGATTATAAATTAAATTAAATATGCTCTTATTAATGTCAAACAGAATTACCAAATGTTTTATAATCAGCAGCTAAATACAACCAGTCCCATGTTTGGAAATAGGAAATTGAGATGTACATTGAGTTTGATGAGGATGCAATAATTCTTGGTATGTCTCTACAGTAGCGTCCTAAAAGTGGAGCACTTGAGCTGTTGCCATCATGGACTTCAAAATATTGGGTTGTACAATCTCCATAAAACCGAGTCCTAGGGTATAATTGTTTTTTTTTTTTACAATAATAACATTTAACTTTTTAATTCTGTGGTTTAAAAAATGTAACAAGATTAAAAGTTAACATAAAATATATACACTAAATAAAAACAGAAACTATTAGTGTTTGTATTCATTTGTAAAGTTGTAAAATAAATGTTTCCATAATGTTTTGCATTTGTATTTGCTTTGAGTCTATACCTGAGATAAATAACAAAGTTTTCTTCTGCAATTATAGTCCAAGAACAAGTGACATTCTGAAGATCATTTAGGTGCCACGTGTAAAAGTAAAATGAACCAACAGCATCAAGTAATGTGTAAGTACAGTCTGTAATTAGATGATTAACAGCACATGTGTTATTCTGTTATAAACCTTAAAACATTTTGTAGCTATACATACATTTATAAACTTTTGTATAATGTAAATTTTTAATTAGGCTTAGAAAATTAAACATACCTCTGTGTCTTATCAAGGCTATTTGAAATTTTATAAAACACTTAACATTGCTTCTGAACATCTATCAATTACAATTGAATACACAAAGTTTGGTAATAAATTACTACTTTTGAACCATTTAATTATTTTAAAATGTACAAAATAAATTCAAACAATAAGCAGACTTTATTGCTTAGAGTCTTCTTTTGTTTCAGATCATGATATTAACAGAGGTGTAACATATGCTTACTTGAAGAAAAAGTTGAGATATATTTACATGGGTGGGTTGACTTTTTTTTGTGGTATTTCTGTTTTAAAACATTTCAATGACTTTTTTGTATTAATCATTTATTCTATATCATCAGATAGATGTGTTTATATTGAGTTGTCTTTAGAGTTATGATACAATCAATAGCAAAAAAAAAACAAGTAAAGTACCCAAACATTTGGCTGACCCAAAGAAACCAAAACATCCACAACATACCTTTACACTCTCCATCTGAATTTAGTTGAAGACCATTAGAACAAGTGCATTTATATTGGCCATGGTTATATTCACAGTAGGTGTTAGCTGGACAGATTGATCTATTGTAGACACAGTTGTTTAGGTCATTGGAACAGTCCTCTCCTCCCCATCCTTCTTTACATACACACACAAATGTTGTCGTATTGCAAAAGTCTGTGGTATTTGCTTGACAGCCACACATCTCTATATAGCTTACATTGCTAAGAGATTCTAATTTAAAAAAAAAAAAGATTGTATTGCCAAAATGAGTATGCCATTACCAGCTATAAATATAAAGTGTATTTCTTAGTTATTAACATAGATAGGGAGCTAAAATGGGAGGAGGTGTAGGCTGTTCTAGTTAAGGGTAGGAGAGAAAGATTTATGCTTGCACATATGTGTAGGAAGAAACAGGATGTAGGATATAGTCACTGGAGAGGGTTCAATTTAATGGTGCTGTTGGAGGAACCTTCAAATGTAGGAATAAATATCATTTAAGTATCCCCAGGACATCATAACAAATAACTATGCCAATTGGAAAGCAGGGTTTATTTCTGACATTTTTATCTTTAGTGGGGCTCTTGAAACTCAGGGTGGATGGACACTGGCTTATATATAATACTTTTTTTCAATTTTATCTATTGGGGGAGAGGGCAGTGGATGTGCTCTGGCAGGAGGGGGGGTGACCATGACCCCTTCAGAGATACCTGAAAGAAACACGGTTTACAACATTCTATTTAACTGTAATTTGAAAAAAATTAGTGATAAGTGCGTAGGGCTTTTGAGTTTATTGTGGGTAAGCATTGCCTTATGAGTGTAGCATACACATTTTAAACAATTTATTTTGAATATACAACACATAAAAAACAATGCTACACTTTAAAAAAAAAATTACCAAATGTTTTATAATAAGCCTCAAAGTAAGTGGAGTAGTCATTGCTGTATGTAATGTACATTGAGTTGGATGTAGACACAATGAACCTTGGTACATTGTTACAAAAATAATCTCCTAAAAGTGGAGCACTTGAACTGTTGCCATCATAGACTTGGAAATAGTGTGATTCACAGTATCCATACATATAAGGTCTGGGGAAAAAAATCTTAATGAAAAATAATTAACTAAACAAATAAAGCTTTACAGAAGCAGTAAAACACATTGAGCTCACCTTTACTTTAAAAATTTATGTTTTTTTTTCTATTCAAATCCAATGCTTTCCATCAAAATTGGAAAATCTAACATAATATAATCTTTTAAATTTCAAACTAACTGTTACTCAAGCACCATTTAGATATACAATAAATCAGAGAGAAAGTTTCTCTAACTACAATTCAACAAAGATTTAATTTAAGAAATATCTGTTTAGTAAATAAAACTTAAAAACATATTAGATTTATATTTATTTTCATTACCTTATTGAGATAATATAGCTTTCATCAGCCAGAATAGTCCAAGAACAGATGGTATTTGGATAAAATCCAGAGCTAGTTAAATAACCAGAAGTATTCTTAAAAGAGAAATCACAACCTGAAATAAAAAACATTTTAAAAAAACGATAATAATAATAAAAAAAACTTCAAAGAAAATATACAGGAATTGAACAGTGTGTAACATCTTCACTAGCTGATTTTCCTATGATTATTCTAGTTTATATTAATGTTAGTAGCATCCTTTTTGGTTCAGAATATGACCAAAACAGAAAGTCACAGGAAAAAAGTCACAGAATAAATCATCAATGTTTTCTAGAATAAAAATTACTGTAAAAAATGTTTCAAAATAAGTTGTCAGTAATTATTGTTGATTTGTTTTTTATTTATTTTGATGAAAAAACTTTATTACATTTGACTTAGGCTGAATTACAATACTTAAAATTTTGAAAATTACTTTTTTTCAAGATAGTTTAATAGGACAGTGTAATCCAGCAGTAATTATATGATTACTATCTGAAATTCTTGTTTGGTACATGAAGCAGTCTGTAGGATGTCTCTACATTCAACCAACAGGGTAGCTGACTTTAAATAGAGAAATTAAAGACCACTGGTTACAGTGTTTACCAAAAACACTATCCATTCATATGCTGAGGTCAGAGAAGTAGATGAACTCTATTCCACCTACTTTAAAGACTGTCTGGTCTGAAAGGGTACTTAATGCAAATGTATCCTAAAAAAGTCTTCATTATAGTTCTAACTGCAGATTATGTTCATAAGTTATATTTATTATTTTTTACCTTCCCAAATGCAAGAGCCATTGACGCCCAATGTAAATCCCTGCTGACAAACACATGTGTAGCTTCCAAGTGTGTTAACACAGTATCCATAATCTCCACAAACATTAAATGTGTAACACTCATTGATATCCACTGAGCAGTTCTCAGACTGCCATCCAGGCAAACATGTACAGTTTCCTGTCTTGTCACATGATGAGGTACCAACAGGGTCACAGTCACAACTCAAGCTGCAGTTCTTGCCATAGGTTAAGTTGCTGCAATCTGAAATTATACTTTTAATTAGTACACTTTGTATTGGTTCAAAAGCTTCATCAAACAACACCATTCACTGTTGAACTGGCTGTTTTTTAACACATTCACTAAGACAGTCTTGGATGTTTTAATAAAAGTTAGATGGAAATTCTTGTACACATTTACTGACAGACTATCTAGCTAAAAAAACACTTGCCATTATTAATCCTCCCAAACCTTTAAAACTAGTTCTTTACTTCTGTTGTTTTGGATGTTTAAATCAAATTGTGACATAAATTCTTGTATTTCACTAACCTCTGCACATGTCTCCATCTAGAACAGTTCCAGTAGGGCAGTAACATTTTTCAACAGCTGTTTGATTGGCAAGGGTAACTCTGGTACACAAGTGGGAACAGTTTCTCTCATTGCACTGGTTAATTGCTAAAACAAGAAGAGGGTAAAAAAGCAATTGTTTACATACACTTGATATTTAATATTGAAGATATTAAATTAAAGTGTAATGTAATAAACATATTTTGTTGTTTAACATAGGTCTACTTTCTAATGTTATGAAATATAATAAAATTTTCAAATTATATTAAAATTCAACACAAAATATTTCACAAGAAGACTGTTCATATCTCTATAAACTATTAGTTAAATTCAACTTTTGTATAAAAAAATAAGGTACCTTCACAGGTTCCATTTGCAGTTTTTCGCAGCCCTTCATTACAAATACAGTCAAAGCCTCCAATAAAATTTTGACAGTCTGAATAGTCAGGGCAGACAAATGGTTGTAGCAGACATTCATTCACATCTACAGAGCAGTCCTGTGATGTCCACCCATCTTTACAAACACACATCCCATCACTTTTATAACAAAACTGGGTGTTGTTCTGTATGCAAGGACAATGGCTGGAACAGTTTTCTCCAAATGTAAATGGCTGGCATGCTGAAATTAAAAAATTGGTTAAATATAAATTTAAAATCTATATATATAATTCTCTACATGGGGGTCACGCGAGACATGACCAAAGACATAAGCGTGCCTAGCAGCCCCCTCTCTTTGGGGGGGGGGGGGGGGGGGGGGGGTTATCGTCCTTAACAAGCTTCTGATAGTGTTTTAAAGCAAATATTTTCAGTGGCAGCATTGGTAGTGTCGAATTCACAAATTATGAATTACTGAAAAGTAGAAAATAAAACAACTAAATAGTGGCGTATAGTACGCAGCGGGTGGGGCTCGTATAATATAAAATGCAAACTTTTAAAACCATTTTCTTTTTAAATTTATAGTTAAAAGCAGAACTTTAATTCACAAAGTTAAAACAGTGAAAATGTTTACCATAAGAAGTGTAGTTGGCAGTAAAGCCTTTTCTTGTTACACTAGAATCAGTTCTGAATGTAAGATGAAGCGTATTGGCAGTTGATATAACCTTGGGCAGAACACCACCACAATATCTGGCAATGTATCTAGCAGAGGAGCTATTTCCATCAAATGCTTCAAGGTAATCAAATGGACAGCCTTCAATTGTGTACTCTAGAAATCTAAAGACAATTTTTTGTTCAGTTATTTATAAATACAAATTTAAAAAAAGAACATACAAATCTTGAACAAAATGTTATTTTTTCCAACTTTGTAAAATAAAAAGTAATAATCTATATATAATTCTCTTCTTGGATACCCTAGAAAACACCATGCTGTAAGTGCGCCTAGCAGCCCCCTCTCTTCCTCTCTAGGCATATCCTTACCACCCCCACATGGTCTGGTGAGCTGTGGTTCACGCTAAATGTTTACAATTGTAGAGCCGGGTTTAGTGACGGTTATTAGGAGCAAATAATTTAGTTTGAAACCATTTTAAACTTAGGGGAGGTAACTAAGAGGAGGCTGCTTTCACGGGAGGGGGGGTGTAGGGTTAAGGTTGGGGGAAAGGAGGGTGGGGGTAGTATTGTCCTTAATGACCTACTGATAGTGTTTTAAAGCAAATATTTTCAGTGGCAGCATTTGTACTGTCAAATTCACAAATTATGAATTACTGAAAAGTAGAAAATAAAACAACTAAATAGCGGCGTATGATACGCCGCGGGTCGGCTTGTAGCTATTATAACAGACTATTTCTTGTACTTTAAAATTCATGTAGGTTAAGAGCAGAACTAATTATAAAATGCACTAAGATACATTCAATATATTTTGTGAGAAAAAAGTAATAAAGAGTTTGTCCTATATCAATCATTTTAGAACCCTTCATAGTTTTTCATATATTTTCATTCTCTGTTTGCAATAACTATTGCAATAACTTATTTACAATTACCTTAGGCCTTCCTACTTTCCTCTTTTCATGGGAATTCCAATCTAATGCCAGACTGGTAAAGCTATTTATGGTTTATGAATTGTGCCTACCTTACAATAATTGAGTATCCTTCAGTTACAGTGATTGTCCAAGAGCAATTCATGTTGTTTAAATAGTTCGCAGGATAGTTAGGGCTCATAATTCTACCAGAATTACCAGACATTTCATAAGAACAATCTGAACAGAAAAAAATTCCTAATAAGAATAATAGTATATTGATGATTTACAATAAAAACAATATAACTTTTTACTAAAAATGGCAATTCTTTGTCAAAAGTAAGAAACTAAAAATAAATTTTCTGTTACAGTTTTACCATAAGTACAATATCCACTGGGGCTCTTTACATATCCTGAGATACACTGACACATGTAGCTCCCAATAGTGTTGGTACAGATGGAATTGGCACCGCAGAGTCCTTGACTACATTCATTGACATCCATAGAACAGTCATAAGATCCCCAACCAGGTAAACATGAGCAGGATCCACTATAACAACTGGCAGTGTTTTTGGCTACACAACGGCATTGGTTCTGGCATTGGGGGCCGTATGTCATGTTGGGACACACTAGGGTAAAAATGTTAAATATAAAAAATCTTACCGTTACACTTGTCATTAAGTTTACTTTATATGAACTTTGAAATGAAAAAGCAATAACATTTAATTTCAGATACAAATGAATGAAATTTATAATAGTTTTTAGCTAACTAACTGGTAGCTGTTAGATCGCTGGATTGAACATTTGATATTATTATTAAATTAACCTTTTTTTATGTTAGAATATCTGTTCAGAATAATTATGTTCCTAATAAATTTCCTTTTTTTTACACATAGCTATTAAACGTTTAGAAAAGGCAATAAAATTGTATTTAATAAATGCACAAATCAAATGATAAAAAACCAAAGGGAAAGTTCTTTTATTCTTGAATTGTATATTAAAGAAGAAATGCTATGCTTTTATCTAATTAGTCATTACAATTGTTTGCATTTATATATATGTGCTTATCAAGAGATAAACAATACTACTTCATATTTATGTACACTACTAGCCGTCGTTACCCGTTAAACGTGAATTATAGGACTATATATTTTTAATGTTATACATTTTTTAGAAGAATATTTTATAAAATGGTCATCGGTCAAAACGCAATGTGCTTTACTATAGGTTTAACAATATTAGTGACAAAGCAAAGAAATAACGAAATAGCTATAAGTCTAACAAATTTAAAATAACGTAGGCTGCTATAACCTATTAGAAAAAATAAAACCAAATTATATACATAATTAGTCAACACAACACCATAATAAATGCACTCATTGATGAAAAGACTTAAATGACTCCGTTAGATACCCGGTTTTTCAATGGTATTTATGTTGTTTTTAAAGCAATTTGTATTAGTTTTGGCAGAGGAAATTGTTTAAATTCATAAATTACCTCTCGATAAGTAAATCTATAGAACTAAATCAAACTCTTAGGGGACTTCCATAAATGACATCAAGCTTTTTTGACGATCTGAACCCCCCCTCCCCCTCATCACACACAATCACAAAATTATGGACCCCCCCCCCCCTCCCCCCTACGAGTGTGACGCCATTTATGGATGACCCTTTAATGAAATAGTTCATTTCTTCCTTTTCTAAAATTGGAATATGATGCTATTGGTTTTGTGTACTTTCCGTACTCCAAACGTATGACATGTGACGTCATCCATTTTGGCATTCTTGTCCCAACTATAAACGCTTTTCCGGTTGTATAATTAAAACCATTTTTCTACATTTGAATATGCCTTTATTTTTTATTTTTATTTTTTAAATAAAATTGTGTTTATACATTTAAAACATCTACCATATTATTTTCAACAAAAGTCTGTATCAAGTTCTCCATATCGTGCTGAAGATTCTGATGTGATATCCTGCGAAAATATTTTGCGGACAGAGAGAGAGAGAAGTGTGCACATGGGCTTTTATATATTAGGATATAGTGGGTTTTTTTCCGTGTTATATAGCACACAACATTACCTCCCCCCACCCATACAACACTGTACTTTAAGCCCACCTTTGCTACCACTTGCATCCACCCAACATCTTAAAATTAACTAAAATGTGTTTAAAAGACATTAAATTTATTACTTTGAGATAATACTTATCTAAGTATCAAAATAGAAATATGCTAACTATTTTTTACTGACCATATTGCAGAAAAATCAAAGTATATGAGTAATTAAGTAGGTGGTAAAACAGTTAGTGAAATTCCAATTAAACAAGCCTCTATATATGCACTAAATGAAAGAAATGAAATAACTTCTTTAAAAAGTTAGCATATTTGTAGGCCTAGCGCTGAAAATAAACAAGCTTGTAATAATAAAAAAAATTTAATGTCCATAAGGACAGCATTTATGGTTAAGGGAAAGAGGTGTAAGGGAATTTTCTATTTGAAATGAACATGAAAAAGTTAAAGTTAATTACTTTCACAGTAGTTTTCTTGCGCTTTATACCTTCCATTATAACAGATGCATTGATAAGTGTTATTTTCAAATCCACAGTAAGAGTCAGCATGGCATAGTGAGCTATTGTAATAGCAGTTTTTAGAATCAATGGAACAATCTGATCCTGCCCAACCATCATTACACACACAATCAAAGGTTGTCATATTGCAGAAGTCTGTGTTATTGTTGTTGCAACCACATATTTCAGGACAGTTTTCTTTGTTAAGACAATCTTTAGAAAAATAAATTTTACTTGAAAATATGATTGCAATTATCAGCAACAGATAATAAATGGAACTTAATTTGAAGCTTTTTAGACACTAGTGTAGAAAACAACATTCTAGTAGCCTACATAATTTTTAGTACATAAAATGAAAGTAATTTATTTTTAAAAAGTAACACTTTATCTTACTTGGTTTCCCCTCCCCTTCCCAATAAAGGAAAAATAATTACACTGCTTTCTTTAAAAAGCAAAAATAAAGTTTATAATGAAAGGAATTTTAAACATTAACCTTGTAATCTAAGCTTACACCAAACAAATTAATAAAATACCACAATAATCACAACTGAAAATGGTTTACCATTTGTCTGTTTACTGGATACTTAATACTGATAATTATGAATGTAATCTAAAAAGTATTTTAAAAACAAATTTGTAATCATCACTGTCAATTGAAAATATGAAATCACATTACTTTACCATATGACTGATAAGAAGACCCAAAATAGCTCCAATATGTGCTGCGTTGGTATATAATGAACATTGTATTTGATGTAGATACAATATATCTTGGTAAATTTGTGCAATAATGTCCTAAAAGTGGAGCATTTGTGCTGTTGCCATCATAGACTTCAAAATAATCAGTAAAACAGTATGCAGAGTAAAAGCCAGGGCTAAAAATTGTAAAAATGAATGTTTAATAAAAAAGGAGAAAAGTTGTTAAATAAATAAAATAATCTAACATCCTTCTAATTATGCTAAAATCAACCTTTAAAAACTTTTAATATTACAAAACAGCTTGGATTATGCCAATTCACTTAGATTGCAAAACAAGTGAAATTTCATCTATATTTTAAAGCAGTTCAAATATATTGTTTTTGTACATTAAAATACAAAATGTAAACAATCTGATAGTAGTGGCAAAAAAGGTAAATTAGGCCTAAATAATAAAATATATAAAAAACAAAATTCAATTCAATTTTTTTAAACAGCTGTAAACTGTTCAATGTTATATAAGTAACAATACATGGTTGAAACATTTTTCTTAAATAAGATCATAATTAAAAAAATTATTAACGTATTACTTATCGTGTTATATAATTAAATGAGAAAAGGCACTTATTCCCACTGTCTTTTTAATAAAGAGATTAAATTTTAATATATATTATCTATGAAATCAATGCTTCTAGACATTATCCCTTTTTGTTTTAGTTCCATTTAATAAATTAAATTTAACTAAAATTTACCGAAATGCAATGATAGAACTTGTATTGGTGATAATTGTCCATGAGCATGAAATAAGTCCAGAATATCCAGGGTCATACAAAAAACCTGAAGAATCTGTCAAAGTGTGTTCACATGCTGGAAATAAAATATTTACTATGGGTTAGCCATCTAAGAGGATAAACATTCTAGCTTTGTAATTTGAGTAGAGCTATTTTGTAGTAAGGTGCTGTTTTCTTAGTTTTTCATTCAATAAACAAACCATGTCTTTCTAAAATTAGGTACTGCTTATAGGATAGCATAGGTTTAGTCTTTCTAAAACGCAGCAATAAAAAATGAGCTGCCTAAGATTTTCTAACTTTATCTATTTACTACACTAATTTACTAATATCAAAGATTATTGTGGAAATTACAATAGAAATTTTAAATATTATGAAAATTACTCTATTGTTGAAGATATCACAATATTCTGGAAGCAGGTTTTAACATAAATAATGAATTTTTATAAATTATTTTTACCATAAGTACATGATCCACTTGGACTTTTTACATATCCAGTAAGACATTGACACTCAAAACTTCCAATAGTGTTGATGCATATAGAATTGGCATCACAGTATCCTTGACTACATTCATTGATATCCACTGAACAGTCATAAGACCCCCAACCAGGTAGACAATAGCAGGATCCATAAGAACACCTGGCAGTGTTCTTGGATACACAACTGCATTGGTACTGGCATCGGGAGCCATATGTCATGTTGGGACAAGCTAAAACATAACGAAGATTGAGAATTATTTTAAATAGCTTCAGATCACCAGCTCCTGGTCACAGCATTAAATAACTCAATGATATAGCAGGCAGACCACATCTCAAATTTAAAATTCAGTACTGGAAGATAAAAGAGAAACACGAATGTTTATGTGAAGTTAACTAACTTCAAGCTCTCTCAGAATTGACAGAAGAAAGTGTAAAACATTTGGCTAGAGCTGCACTAAATTTAAAAATCAGCATGTACCCTAGGTCTGAAAAAGAAAAACAAGGAACATAAAGAGTGGATGACACTAGAATCATGGACTACAATCGAAATAACAAGAGAATTTAAACTGAAAATCAACCAACATGGAAGGAAGTCCTCATAATTTTGTATTGGTAGGATAATTCCAATTTAAAGAAGAACACAACAGGCAACAAAAAACAATTCATGGAATGACAGAAGTAGCAGAAGAAGTTGCATGTATGCTTAAGCAAGAGTACCAACACCAGTAGGCCTGCAAAGGACAAGCAAAACAATTACAAGTGAAGTAGCTGTTTTCAGAACTTCAATACTACTGCAGGTGAACATAACTCCACCAACTAAGTCTGAAGACAAGGTACTTAAGACAAGACCCTTAAAATGAAGCACTTAAGGCATAAAAGACAAATTTAAGAATAACTGGAAGAAAACATGTGTTGAACACAGAGGCTCTAACTTGACATACCAGGAATGACAAATTTAAAGCTGGATCGCTTCATATATGTAGCAAGTGTAGTAAGCAAGGATAGGAGAGCAGGTAAGGATATCAAAAGCCACATTAGCAAGGCCAGGTATCATCGCCCTCTTCATAATCTAGCCTAAGAAAATTACCAACAGTGAAGTATGGGGAAAATTGGGCAAAACCCCATTGACAAAGAAAAAAGAAATACAAATGGGGATTGATTTCACTTTGTTCAAACCAACAAATATCACTAGAGGGGCATTAAATTTGAATGAGAAACCAAAGTGGGTTCGCCAAAAAAATATGGAACAGATCAATTTTCAGTGAAATACAGCTGAAATGTCATAGACCTAACTTGAAGAAATCACAGAAAAACATTTTCAAAGGTGTCTTTGCATCCCTAGCCTCCACAAGACATCTGCAGGAATGATGATGATTTTAAATATCTTTGAACTTACATTCAGCCATTCAAAGAATTTTTACATGACTGTTTTCTTTCAATACACTTTTTTATTACAAAATTGAAAATTGAATTGAAAAACATATAACTCACTCAAAAATAAATGTTATCTACTGCTGTTATGTTAGTTGTTTTATATTTTTATTTTATAACAATTAATATATTTAGGATAAGGTAAGGCATTGTTATAAAAAAAGTTCTGTACTAATTTTGTACATAAGAAAAAATGCAAAAAAAAAGATATTCATAAAAAAAGAATATTCATGAGATACAGTTGTTTTTTTTTAATTTAGATTCTAAATAAGTAACTTACTGTCACAAACTCCTTCCTCAGTTCTGTAAAATCCATCATAGCAAATACATTCATACTGGCCATTTCTATATTCACAGTAGGAGCCAGCAGGGCAGAAAGAGCTATTGTAGTAACAGCTGTTTACATCTGTAGTACAATATTCTCCTGCCCAACCTTCCTTACACACACAGACATATGTTGTTGTGTTGCAAAAGGCTGTGTTGTTTACTTGACAATCACACATGTCAGAATGGAATTCTTGGCCATCTAAATAAATAAAAGTACATTTATGTAAGATTTACTATTGCAATACAACATTTCTTTAAATATTAAAGACAGTGGCCTCACTTGAAACTTTCTTCCTATTTTAAAACTATGCAGATTATTTATGATGTTAGTACTACATTAAGATATGAACATGTTGTCTACAATCCCTACACAGATTATTTGCATTTATTTATACACATATTTAAATTTTTTTAACTCGTATGATTATAAATTAATTAAAATTAAACACATATTTTATGTTTTTAACTCTTATGATTATAAATTAAATTAAATAAAACAATATCTTATTAAAGTCAAACAGAATTACCAAATGTTTTATAATCAGCAACTAAATACAACCAGTTCCATGTTTGGAAATAGGAAATTGAGATGTACATTGAGTTTGATGAGGATGCAATCATCCTTGGTAAGTCTCTACAGTAGCGTCCTAAAAGTGGAGCACTTGAGCTGTTGCCATCATAAACTTCAAAATAGTTTGTTGTACAATCTCCATAAAAATTAGCCCTAGGATATAATTGTTTTTTTTAATTTAACAATCATAACATTTTAATTTTTAATGTGGTTTAAAAAATGTAGCAGGATTAAAAGTTAACAAAATATATGCACTAAATTAAAACAGTAACTATTAATGTTTCTATTAGTTTGTAAAGTTGTAAAATAAATATTTCCATATTGTTTTGCATTCATATTTGCTTTGAGTCTATACCTGAGATAAATAACAAAGTTTTCTTCTGCAATTATAGTCCAAGAACAATTGACATTCTGAAGATCATTTAGGCGCCAGGAGTAAAAGTAAAATGAACCAACAGCATCAAGTAACGTGTTAGTACAGTCTGTAATTAGATGATTAATGGCATATGTGTTATTTTGTAATAATATTTGAAATATTGTGTAGCTATACACACGTTTATAAACTTTTGTATGCAGTGGCGAAACTACCATAAAGCTAGGGTAAGCAAGGCATAGGGGCCCAAGGCAAATAGGGGTCCTTTTCCCTCTTTAAAAAATTAAAACTTTTACATTAGAATTTTAATATTTGTTTTATGTAAATAATTTTAAAAAGAAAATGGAAATACAGTGTTTTCTAATCTAAAAGTAATTAAAAGTTCCAAAAAGGTCCCCAGTCCTTTCTTACTGTACAGGCAGTGGCATTCTGTGAGGGTGGTCAAACTGGGTGCATTTGTAATAATAACACTACAAGTATGGTCGCTTTGTCAGGCAAGCCATTGAGAGAATTAGTTTATAATAAAACTTGAACTTTGACTCTTTAGTAAGATTGGCATCTGGCACCCATTAATTTACATGTATCGCTATGTACCTCAACTCACTGGGAAATTACTTACACCTCTCTAATAACTGTCTGCCCTCCCTGTGTAATATAGTGAGATTTGTGAAGTCAAGGGAACTCACTCGTCTTGTATTAGTATTATATTTATACTGTTATCTTGAGTGATGTCCCTTATATGTTTATATATATTTGTGTCTCGTCACTTCCGCCCTCTCTCGTTTCCATCATGTAGTTAAGGCCAATAAACGTTTTATATACAATCACATGCTTCTATCGTCAACCCATTACACCCTGAAATTCCATCCTACTAACATCCTTGATAACAATTGAACAATTTTAAAAAAAATAACAAACATGGACAGTGTTTTCACAACAAGCTAAGTCCAACATTTGTCAATGTTTTTCAACCAATTTTTACCTTAATGAAATTTTATTTGTTGATCTAATATGGTGCCTATATTCGGTTTAATGAGCACCATCCACTAGGTATACAGAGTGCTACTAAAATCGATTACTAAATCGAATAAGGGGTGTCCTCCAGCGCATCAGCAGTAATAATTTAATAAAGGTTGGGTGCCCCGAGATAGCCAGCGGCTACCTGAGAAAAAGGGATCCGTTGATTGCACATCAGGGGCAGCCTTTGATGGATGACACCAAGCATAAGAGCACCCTACACTAGTGGGTCTCTACATTCGATGATTAATCCGAACCAGGGGTTGCATCCGGCAAGTAACAAGTAACTCCAGCGACGTTCCTAGGCGGTCAGCAAAAGGTGTTCAACCTCACTATTACATAGGATGATTAATGTAGACTCAATGCTTTCATACAGCACACCAAAGGGTGTCTGAGCGGTAGTGTGGACAAACCCACACCCCAGCAACAAAGATCAGCAAAAAAAATTGCAGTGGCATTGTTCACATTTCAACTATCTCAGTTTTAGAAAACAAGGTCACACGACTAAAAATAAGCAATTGGTAATACGTTGATGAAACCATTACAAATTGTTTCATTTGCCTGGTATGTGGGACTAGCAACATGGACAGGTATGCTAGTTAAAGATAAAAAGATTCTTTAACATTCCACCGTGATCGGGAAGGAGATTTTGATGTCTATGATGGAAATTTTAAATCTCATTATTTGTCCATTTAGATGCTGTTAATGTGTTATAAAACAAAATGTAGGTATTCCTATTGGGTCAGCAGCTTGACCATCTTAAGTATAAAAAATACAGAAGATGCTAAAATTGGTCTCAAAGTTAAAAGCCTGAAAAAAAACCCAAATCTAAATAAATCATGAGCCATTGTTTAAAAACTGTTTGGTTAGTGGTGTCACAAGATCGGGTGTTACCCTGAGCATTTACTTTGCACTTTAGGTGGGGTGCCCTCTAATATACGCTATTTCCGATTTCTCAAAAAACGAATGTAAATTTATAAAGGACTAATAACATTCCGCACTATTATGCACATTTTTTTTTTGGCTTTCACAGATGTACAATTCTTTTTTCTACGAGATTTTATTCTATTTTAAAAAGTTTAAGTATTTAAAATTAATTAAAATTCATGTCTATACCCCGAGTTCCCATCCCCTGTTTTTTTATATAAGAATATTCGAGAAAGTCTAGGGGAGATCGCTCCCGCTTTATTTGTATTAGGGGTCATCCATAAATGACGTCAAGCTTTTTTTGATGATTTTTACCTCTCCCCCTCCCCTCCAACACGCCGTCACAAAAAGCCAGACCCCCCCTAAAATGACGTCACACCTCAGCCTACAACCCCCCCCCCCTCAAAATTGCAGTTGAATTCTTTTTAAAACATCAATATTTTTCTAACATTGCTTTTTTATCATGCAAAAGTGTGATGTCGCACCATCTGAACCCCTCCCCCCTCCCCTTCATCACACACTGTCACAAAATTACGGTACCCCTCCCCCTACGAGTGTGACGTCATTTATGGACAATCCCTTAATCATTTAATTGTAAATTTAAAAATGCATCAGATAGATGTGTATATACTGAGTTGTCTTTAGAGCTAAGATAGAGTCAGTAGAAGAAATACAAGGAAAGGCGTAGCGGTGGGGGGGGGGGGGGGGGGTTGAGACCATGAAGTGGCGCACCAGATGATTTTGACCTAGTGACGCCACTGAATACAAGTAAAATACCCAAACATTTGGCTGACCCAAACATCCACAACTTACCTTTACACTCTCCATCTGAATTTAGTTGAAGACCACTAGAACATTTGCATTCATATTGGCCATTGTTGAATTCACAGTAGGTGTTAGCAGGACAGATTGAGCTATTGTAGAAACAGCTGTTTAGGTCACTGGAACAATCCCCTCCTCCCCATCCTTCTTTACATACACAAACAAATGTTGTCGTATTGCAGAAGTTTGTGTTATTTGCTTGGCAGCCGCACATCTCTATATAGCTTTCACTGCTAAGAGATTCTAATTTGTAAAAAAAAGATTGTATTGCCAAAAATTGTATGCTGTTACTAGCTATAAATATAAAGTGTATTTCTTAGTTCTTAAAATACATAAGTAGCTAAAATGGGAGTGGGAGGAGGTGTAAGGTGTTCTAGTTAAGGGTAGGAGAGAAAGGTTGTAGTATATAGTCACTGGAGAAGGTTCAATGTATAGGTGCTATTGGAGGAACCTTCATATGTATGAATAAAAAATCATTTAAGTATCCCCGGGACTTCATAATAAATAACCATGCCAATTGGTAAGCAGGGTTTATTTCTGACATTTTATCTTTAGTGGGGCTCTTGAACCTTCAGGGTGGTTGGACACTGGCTTATATATAATACTTTTTTCAATTTTATCTATTGGGGGAGAGGGCAATGGATGTGCTCTGGCAGAGGGGGGGGGTGACAGTGACCCCTTGAGAGATGCCTGAAAGACACACAGTTTACAACATTCTATTCAACTGTGATTTAAATAATTAGTGATAAGTATGTTAGGGCTTTTAAGTTTATTGTAGGTAAGCATTGCCTTATGAGTGTAGCATACACATTTTAAAAAATTAATTTTGAAAATACAACACATAAAAAACAATGCTACACTTAAAAAAAAATTACCAAATGTGTTATAATAAACCTCAAAGTAAGTGGTGTACTCATTGCTGTATGTAATGTACATTGAGTTGGATGTAGACACAATAAACCTTGGTACATTGTTACAAAAATAATCTCCTAAAAGTGGAGCACTTGAACTGTTGCCATCATAGACTTGGAAATAGTGTGATTCACAGTATCCATACATGTAAGGTCTGGGGAAAAAAATCTTAATGAAAAATAATTAACTAAACAAATAAAGCTTTACAGAAGCAGTAAAACACATTGAGCTCACCTTTACTTTAAAAATTTATGTTTTTTTTCTATTCAAATCCAATGCTTTCCATCAAAATTGGAAAATCTAACATAATATAATCTTTTAAATTTCAAACTAACTGTTACTCAAGCACCATTTAGATATACAATAAATCAGAGAGAAAGTTTCTCTAACTACAATTCAACAAAGATTTAATTTAAGAAATATCTGTTTAGTAAATAAAACTTAAAAACATATTAGATTTATATTTATTTTCATTACCTTATTGAGATAATATAGCTTTCATCAGCCAGAATAGTCCAAGAACAGATGGTATTTGGATAAAATCCAGATCTAGTTAAATAACCAGAAGTGTTCTTAAAAGAAAAATCACAACCTGAAATAAAAAAACATTTAAAAAAAACGATAATAATAATAAAAAAAACTTCAAAGAAAATATACAGGAATTGAACAGTGTGTAACATCTTCACTAGCTGATTTTCCTATGATTATTCTAGTTCATATTAATGTTAGTAGCATCCTTTTTGGTTCAGAATATGACCAAAACAGAAAGTCACAGGAAAAAAGTCACAGAATAAATCATCAAGGTTTTCTAGAATAAAAATTACTGTAAAAAAATATTTCAAAATAAGTTGTCAGTAATTATTGTTGATTTGTTTTTAATTTATTTTGATGAATAAACTTTATTACATTTGACTTAGGCTGAATTACAATACTTAAAATTTTGAAAATTACTTTTTTTCAAGATAGTTTAATAGGACAGTGTAATCCAGCAGTAATTATATGATTACTATCTGAAATTCTCGTTTGGTACATGAAGCAGTCTGTAGGATGTCTCTACATTCAACCAACAGGGTAGCTGACTTTAAATAGAGAAATTAAAGACCACTGGTTACAGTGTTTACCAAAAACACTATCCATTCATATGCTGAGGTCAGAGAAGTAGATGAACTCTATTCCACCTACTTTAAAGACTGTCTGGTCTGAAAGGGTACTTAATGCAAATGTATCCTAAAAAAGTCTTCATTATAGTTCTAACTGCAGATTATGTTCATAAGATATATTTATTATTTTTTACCTTCCCAAATGCAAGAGCCATTGACGCCCAATGTAAATCCCTGCTGACAAACACATGTGTAGCTTCCAAGTGTGTTAACACAGTATCCATAATCTCCACAAACATTAAATGTGTAACACTCATTGATATCCACTGAGCAGTTCTCAGACTGCCAACCAGGCAAACATGTACAGTTTCCTGTCTTGTCACATGATGAGGTACCAACAGGGTCACAGTCACAACTCAAGCTGCAGTTCTTGCCATAGGTTAAGTTGCTGCAATCTGAAATGTATACTGTTAATTAGTACACTTTGTATTGGTTCAAAAGCTTCATCAAACAACACCATTCACTGTTGAACTGGCTGTTTTTTAACACATTTATTCAGACAGTCTTGGATGTTTTAATAAAAGTTAGATGGAAATTCTTGTGCACATTTACTGACAGACTATCTAGCTGAAAAAACACTTGCCATTATAAATCCTCCCAAACCTTTAAAATCCAGTTCTTTACTCCTGTTGTTTGGATGTTTAAATCAGATTTTGACATAAATTCTTGTATTTTACTAACCTCTGCACATATCTCCATCTAGGACAGTTCCAGTAGGACAGTAACATTTTTCAACAGCTGTTTGATTGGCAAGAGTAATTCTGGTACACAAATGTGAACAATTTCTTGCACTACACTGGTTGATGGCTGAAATAAGTTGAAGACAAACACATTAAAAAAACCTATTTAAATATAGGGCCTACATGTTGATGTTTAAACTTTTGCCATTTGGTTAATCCAATACTACACTTGACAACATAAAATATAATTAAGTTTTTCAAGGCAAATATTTTAAATAATTAACATTTGTGCAAAGCAAATTTTTAAAAATACAAATTCATTTTAGTCCTCATGAAATGAGAAAATCATTGTAGGTCTGTTATTATTTGTGAAAGTGCTTATAATGGCTATGATTGTGTTAAATATATTTAGTAAACTCACACCATCCCAGAACTTTAACTCACTCATCTGCACTTATATATAGATTCTCTAATGTAATTTATTAAATATCAATATTGTGACTTAGAATTATTATCAGGCTTATGGAAAAGATTTAGAAAATAAATTTAAAATGAATATAAAAACATTGATAAACTCAAAGCTAGCAAGGACACATAGACAAGGGACTTGCTACTGCCACTTACGTGTAGTGCAGAACTGGCATTCTGCTAGTTAGCATCTAAAACTTTATATGTAATGACTTTATTTTCAAAATACTTTAATATTCAAATACTAAATATTGCACTGAAAAGCAAGGCCTTATTTAAATAAGATTTAATTAGATTTTTAAAAAAAATATGGTACCTTCACATATGCTCTCTTCAGTTTTTTGCAGCCCTTCATTACAAATACAGTCAAAGCCTCCATTAAAATTGTGACAGTCTGAATAGTCAGGACAGACAAATGGTTGTAGCAGACATTCATTCACATCTACAGAGCAGTCCTGTGATGTCCACCCATCTTTACAAACACACATCCCATCACTTTTATAACAAAACTGGGTGTTGCTCTGTATGCAAGGACACTGGCTGGAACAGTTTTCTCCAAATGTAAATGGCTGACATGCTGAAATTAAAAAATTGGTCAAATAAATTTTAAATATAATTTGAATATCTTTAAAACCATTTTTATTTTAGATTTAATGGTAAAAAAAGGAAATGAAATCACAATGTAAAAATAAAAACTTTACCATAAGAAGTGTAGTTGGCAATGAAGCCTTTTTGTGTTATGCTAGAATCAGTTCTAAATGAAAAATATAGTGTATTGGCAGTTGATATAACCTTGGGCAGAACACCACCACAATATCTGGCAATGTATCTAGCAGATGAGCTATTTCCATCAAATGTTTCAAGGTAATCATAAGGACATCCCTCAATTAAGAATTCAAGAAACCTAAAGGAAAAGATTTTTCTAATTAATAGTGAATATAATAAAAGAAAGTAAAATCTAAAAATATATAGCGTAATTGTAATTTTTCATAAAGTTTGTTAATTCCTGATTTGTATACTAACATTAATAAAATAAATTATAATAACTTTGAATTTCTGTAATTTAAAAGTAGAAATAAAAGTATGCAATATATTAAAGGTTTTGAAAAAGTTATATATAAAGTCTTTCACTTGTTTCACAGATATAATAATACTTAGCAGTTTTTCATGATTTAGTCCTTATAAATTAGCAACACAAAAATCTTAATTCTCATTACCTTAAAGAAACAGAATATCCTTCAGTTACAGTTATTGTCCAAGAGCAATTCAAATTGTTGAAGTAATTGGCTGGATAGTTAGGGCTCATGATTGTACCAGAATTACCAGTCATTTCATAAGAACAAGCTAAAATATTTTATTTAAAAAACTATATTTTAATGATAATTCACAATTGAAAATTTAAATATTTATCTTCAACAACAGGTTCTTTTGTCAACAGTAAGAAATGTTAACTTTATTTTTAATATAATTTTGTAATTGTTTTTACCATAAGTACAAGATCCACTGGGGCCCTTTACATATCCTGAGATACACTGACACATGTAGCTCCCAATAGTGTTGATACAGATGGAATAGGCACCACAGGGTCCTTGACTACATTCATTGACATCCATAGAACAGTCATAAGATTGCCAACCAGGCAAACAATAGCAGGATCCATAAGAACAACTGGCAGTGTTGTTGGCTACACAACTGCATTGGTACTGGCATTGGGAGCCATATGTCATGTTGGGACACCCTAGGAAAAGCAGGTACATTTAGGATTTTAAAATAATATAATATTTTTACAAAAAGGGATTTTTAAGACCAAAGTTACAGTTTTTAAATCACAAATCTGTTTCTAACTCAGATTTCAACTTGTCCCTTCATTCATATAGATACAACAATAAAAGTTTTGCATCATTTGTGCCTTAAGTTAACACTGAAAGCTTTATGTTGGCTGGTTATAGTGCTAAATTAATGTTTTAAATGTAGCTTGTAATGACATTATTGCTACACCTGATTTAGTGTTCATACCTTCTCTTTAAATGCAACATTGTGGAAATGCTGTTTTTTTACTCCAATACTTTTCCCTGTTTAGCATCTTAACTGATAGTTTTGTTATATTTCTGGTAATGCAATTTGAATAACTATAACTTCCATTTTAGTTTCTACTAATATTGCTTTACATAAAATTTTTGCAAGCACACTTTGGTTAGTTCTGATCATTTGTTTTTTTTTTTTAACTAAAATATGATTTTTTGAATGCCCAAACATCTATATATAAAGGAGACTTTAGATTTGTGATTGATTTGCTCAGGTATCCTTTAACCAAAAAGGATGCTCAGATAAGTGGTTCTAACCAATTCAGGCTATCAATAGTAAAATATTGGTGAATGGGAAACAGTAGTTTTGTATTTATTTCTATTGGTAGGGATTTAACTGAACCAAATAATTTTCTACTACTTACTATCACAAGCACCTTCCTCAGTTCTGATAAATCCATCATTACATATACAGTCATATTGGCCATTTCTATATGCACAGTAAGAGTTAGCAGGACAGATAGAGCTATTGTAGTAACAGCTGTTTACATCTATAGTACAATATTCTCCTGCCCAGCCTTCCTTACACACACAGACACCAGTTGTCATGTTACAGAAGGCTGTGTTGTTTACTTGGCAACCACAGACCTCAGGACAGTTTTCTTGGCTGCCTAAATTTAAAAAAAATTTATGTGAGATCTACATTGTTGGTAAAAAGTGAAAAACTTAAAGAAAAATTGTAATGATATCACTCAATGCATGGTAAACTGTATTCCCTAATAAAGAAAAAACAAAATAATATGCAAATTAAAAAATTCAACACCAAAATATGAACATGTTAACTCAGATCATTGTTATTTTGTAATTTAAATTGCTATTTGTAATTTTCAACATCACAATTTATGTGTATGGGTTTAATGCAAACCTTGAAATTCAATTCTGACCCATTTCTAATGAAGTGATTTTTCTTAAACTTTCTGTGTGCATTCACGAAGGAAAGCAAGTTTATTTTAGATTCTTATTTTCAGCACATTTAATAGGTTATTATTATAAAGGTTTTTTTTTATATCTATTTTATTAATATTTAAGTAAAACAGAATTACCACATGTTTTATAATCAGCAGCTAAATACAACCAGTCCCTTGTATTGAAATTGGAAATTGAGATGTACATTGAGTTTGATGAGGATGAAATCAACCTTGGTAAGTCTCTACAGTAGCGTCCTAAAAGTGGAGCACTTGAGCTGTTGCCATCATGGACTTCAATATAGTTTGTTGTACAATCGCCATAGAATTGAGAACTGTGAGATAGTTTGTTTCTTTTTTTTATAAATTTGCCAGTAATAACATTGATTTAATTTTTAAATTTAGTGTTTTAAAAAATCTAACTGGATTAAAAGTTAACATTACATTTACACCCCGAAATTAAAAGGAAATCACTCTATTTGTTAATACAAATATATCACACGTCTGCGCTGTGTGAACTATGCTTGAGTGCAGCCAAGCATGTCAACAAGGTGCCACTTACACAAAGGTAGCAGGTACAAGTACATGGTAATGACTTAAGTACTTTGTACTTAGATACTTAGACTTGGACTATAAAGTATTTGGATGTTTACATTGACTAATTGACATATAGACTAAGGAACCAATGGACATTATAACCCTACATAAGGGCTATACTTGCTACCTCATGCCACACATACAAAGTGCTCTTTAAGTGCTCACTACGTCAGCCATGTTTCTGATTGTAGAATAATCCCCCCCCCCCGGCTGGATATCTCACAAAATAATGTTTACCTCTTATTTACACAAAAACAGCTTTACAAAACAAGATGTAAAATATAAACAACAGTATTAGTATTTGCTGACCCATAGGGACTAACACAGATTTTAACAGTCATGTCCCCTTTTACTACCATTAGTAACATTACTGTAAGTCTATGTACAATGTTACAATACATTCATATTATTTTGCCATCACAATGATACGGAATCTATACCTGAGATAAATAATAGAGTTCTCTTCTGCAATTATAGTCCAAGAGCATGTGAGATTCTGAAGATCATTTAGGCGCCAGGAGTAAAAGTAAAATGAGCCAGCAGCATCAAGTAGTTTGTAAGTACAATCTGTAATTTGATGATTAACAGCATATGTGTGGTTTTTATCAGACTATTTAAAAAATATTGCAGCAAATATACACATTGATAAACTTCTGTGCAAGATGAGGGTTTCCCATCTTGGGAGGCGCAGATGAGTGGGGGGGGGGGGGGGGTGAGGTAGAAACCTCAGATGTATTTGGGGGTGTGTTGGATTTAAAGGTGAAAGGATAAAGGTGGGACCCATCCATGGTCTCCTGTAACAAACAAAAACATGCCAGCTTGTGTTACAATTACATCTTTACTTGTAAATATTTAGTATAATTCTAACATATTAGAGATTGTGTTTTACTTTTTTTGAAGCAAAACTAGTGGTGGATTTTCGGCTTATAAATAAGTTTGCTTTAAAATAACAATGTAACCAAAACATCCACAACATACCTTTACACTCTCCATCTGAATTTATTTGAAGACCATTAGAACAAGTGCATTCATATTGGCCATGGTTATATTCACAGTAGGAGTTAGCTGGACAGATTGAACTATTGTAGAAACAGCTGTTCAAATCATTGGAGCAATTCTGTCCTCCCCAGCCATCTTTACATACACAGACACCAGTTGTTACATTACAGAAGTCTGTGTTTTTTGCTTGACAACCACAGGCCTCAGGACAGTTTTGTTTGCCATGACAATCTAGAAACATTTTGCGAAAAACAAGTATATCATTATCAGCAATTAATAGGATATATTTTATGTTTGTTACATTTTATGCTTTTACAAAAAATATAATATGCCATTTATTAACATACAAATAAACGTTTTGATGTAAAACACTTGTAAAAAGTTTTGTTTTTTTAAATATTCCATGTAGACTAACTAGTTTAATATATTTAACACTGCATTTTCTATCATTTCAAAAGGTTGAAAAATAAAAAATATGTCACTGAGCTTTCAAATTTATAAATATAATTTATTGGTTCAACAACAAAGTTGAACAATTTACATTTTCTATGTGTCATCAAATACCCTATTTGTCAAAGACAGCCTATCTTTCAAAATTAAATGTTGAATGTTGATATGATTTATGTGAATTCATATAATTCATAACATATATACAATTCTAGACATTTCAAATACATTTTTTATAGTAATCACTAGATGTTATTTTCATGAATGATATTGAAAATATACTTTCCCAAATGAAATTGACCACTATATTTATTAAAAAATAACTCTATCTACGCAAGCTCATAACAGTTGAGAAATGACCAAAAAAACATTAGGTGATTTGAGTTCCTTGGTTTATACCAAACAACTGATGTTAAATTCAAGTATTTTGAGAATTAATTGAAGAGATGTTTGCAGAAACAAAATCAGAGTTTGGGCTATGTATATGAAAACCGTAGCAGTTGCTTTTGAGATCATGATTTTTGTGGAAGTTGAATAAGAAGTATCATTTAAATTTGCTTAAATTGTTGACTAATAGAAGCAGCCTTTACTGCCTGTAAGATATCATATTAAAAACAACAGTACATTTTTCTACTCATTCATACAAATGTACAAAATAAAAACAAAAATTAAATTTTAAAATAAACAACCAATTTAAATAATGTTTGTTCACTCATGTCTATTTCAATGATGCTTATAAATTTTTAATCTGCTCAAAAATAGAAAATGTAAAAGTTTGTTATAATACATCTCAAGGACTCACTATATGAAGTATATGTAGCACTAAATCCACTATATGAGACACTCCCATCTGTTTTAAATGTAATGAGCATTTGGTTTGACGTGGAAACAATTAGGATTGGTGTGCTGGCACTGGTGCAGTATTTTCCAATCAGCGTATCATTTGTACTTTTACCATCAAATACTTGAACAAAATCATATGGGCATCCTTCAACAGCATATGAAAAGAACCTTCAAAGAATAATTTTATTTAAATTTAAAAACTAAACTGCTCAAATAAAATGTTTTACAAATTCTAGGTTAAAAAAAAATTATCTGTAAAAAAAACCTAACTATATTCAACTATTAGAACTAACATTTGAAAATAATAAATAAATAAAATAATCTAAACTGCAATATATGTCTTAGAAATTACACAAACAATGATAAAGATGTAGCTTCTTTGCAAATAAAAAAAACCTTATGAATCAATCATGCTAATTTATATTTACCTCAAAGATATAACATGATCTTGTTCTACAATGATAGTCCACTTGCACTGGAGATTATTATCATAATTATAAGGATAGTTAGGACTTTGAATGACTCCTGTAGAACTGTTTAGAGTTTTGTCACAACCTTTAAAAAAAAGTTCTTACAATGTAAACACTCTCAATCAATAGATTAATTGTTGATAAAACAGCAGACAATATTGTAAAATATATTCAATGAAGTAATATAAATAAAAGCTTTTCTCTATTAATAGCTCAAATAAAAATTCTAAATAAATGTTGCTTCATATTTCACAAGACAATTTAAAATGTAAATTGAAATGCTAACTTGCTAAGAAAATTGGGAAATTAAGTAAAACAGGCCATGAGAGATAACCATTCTATTTTGTATTCATAAGTTACATACCTTCACGAACACAATACCCTGCATCATTCAAGAAATACCCAGACTGGCAAGTACATATGTAGCTGCCTGGAGTATTTGTGCAGTAACTGTTTAGTCCACAGCTAGTATAAAAACATTCATTAATATCAACAGAACAATTTTGTGATGTCCATCCAGGCAAACAATTGCAAGTTCCCATCCTGCTGTCACAGCTTGCTGTATTGTTTGATATGCAGCTGCAACTTAATGCACAATTTTTTCCATATGTCAGATTCCTGCAGTCTGGGGATAGAAAATTTAAATGAGACAACTTTTTTGGCTATCATCACAGCTAATAATTACTAGATAGAAATGTTTATAATGAATTGATTTATAACATTATAAATGTGGGCTGATAATCTATTGCTTATTTTTAATTAAAATTGTTACTTGGGTGCTTATTTAAGGGGCTAAGGAGACTAGGACTAGTTATAGAAACCCAAGGGGTTAATCTAAGATATTGGGGATGAGCAGGCCAGGGGAAATCTAAAATTTAATTAAAATGTTGTCGGCTCATTCTGGTCATTAAGGGCTACAAGCTCTATATAGGTGCATGAGTGAAAAGTAATTGATGGGAAGACACCTGCATAAACCGCTAAAGTGCATAGTGACTGGCATTATTGCAAATGTCAAGTGACGGTACGAGCCCGACCCGAATCCTATGGCTCTTGGGAGATGGTTAAAGGTGGGCAAAACTAGTCTATATATGAGGAAGTGTGGCATGGGGAACACACATAGCTGGCGCTAGATACTAAGGTATAGGCCCTGGATGGTGGCAGCCCTAAGGCTGGCTTATTGGCCAAGCCGATGTCTTGTTTCTATGGCCTGATGTTAATACAAGAGGCCAAAAGTCTTGTTCCTGTAAAAAGGTGCTTTGTTCCTATGGCCAGAGCTTTGTTTCTGTGGCCTGACCCTGTTGTTTATACATGTGGCCAGATATTTGCATCTGTGGTCTGATTTTTATACATGTGGCTGATGTTCATACCAGTGGCCAATATTTTCCTGTTGCTAGAAATCTTCCTGCCACTTGTGCGTCAAACTAGATCATTGTGAGTACTACTGAGTATTCATAGAAGGATTTAACCGTGTTTGAACTAGTGAAGTTAGAACCAGGGATGATAACATTTACATGTGTAATTCTGAGTTGTGTACATACAAGTGTGCTACTCACACTTATATATATATATAGTTCTAAATCAAAACAATGAATTAATATTAGCAGCCAAGGTGAATACTTCCGCATTGAAATGTAAGTTTGATTATTTTTGTCTTTTTGACTTGTATTCAAGTGATTTTTTTCTTGAATATGAAAGATGGGCCATGTCTTATTTGTATTGTTTTCTTTGCTTTAGAACATTTATTTTATTTTTATATTAATGTTTGTGACATCTAATCAATGTAAATAAATGTATTGAAATGTGTGTTAATAAGTTTTATTTTTAGTTTAATATTTATGTTGTTTAAGTGTGTAGAAATCAGTTTGCTCAAGTCTGGTAAACCTCCTTGTACCAACGGGGATGCATGGATGGGAAAGTATAAGACCACCAACTCACTCTCACCTCTCTCTCAGCACTATCTGTAACCAACCGACCAACAAACCACTTACATAAATTAAGAATTTGTAGGTTAGTATCTCTATCTGGTTAATGATTGCCATTAAATACACTTACTAACTAAAATCAGGAACTTCTAAAAAGTACTGCAAAAAACAACAATTTACATATTCTGCAAATTATGAATTATTGCGAGACACAGAATTACCATTTTAAAAACTTTACTCAGTTAAAAAAACATGTATGACTTCCTGCTTTATCTTAACTTAAAAGTAACTTACAAACATTTTCAAAAGAGATTGGTAGATCACACTAATATTTCCAAATACTATGTAAAGTTAAGTTCTTGCAAAACACTGTTAACATTTCAGAGGTTTAGCTGACTCCTGAATTCAAAGAGCCTCTTAATTTAAAACTAAATACAATCTTCCGGAGATAATTGATGAATGATCTGTAACTTTTTAGAAGCAGGTATCATCTGACTAACCTTGGCAAATGTCTCCACTTAACAATGTTCCAGTAGGACAGTAACATTTTTCAACAGGTGTTTGATTAGCAAGGGTAACTCTGGTACACAAATGGGAACAGTTTCTCTCACTACACTGGTTGATGGCTGAAAGAGAGGTTTTATAATAGTTTTATGCTAAAAGAACTTTTGTGTTTCCTAAACAAACTAATTAAAATTATGTCACTATAAAATTTTGGTTTTTTATTTTATAAGTTGTACATTATGGTTGTCATCTGTCCAGGATTACATAGCATATTGTCTGCAGTGCAGGCAGTAAATTATTCAGGATCTAATAAATAAGACTACACAATACTGATAATATGTAGGCTAACAGAATGGACAACAGATAACTGATACTGTGTACTCTAAAAAAAGTAGTAAGTAGATTATTGATGTCTATAGGGTCAATTGGAGAATAGAACTTAATAGATAGTGCATGTGTGAGTTGAATTAACCCTGTTTGTTTATATATTGTTATCCCAAGGTTAAATGTGAATATAAAAATGGAGTGAATGATTGTTATGTTGTTTAGTGGAAAAACGTGACCTGAATAAACCAACAAGAAGTGTGTAGCCATTGCTAAGTGGAATGAAAGTGAGGCACAACAGCTATGTTATTTTACAGAGTAGACAGTATATTAATCATTTTGTGTCATCTAATAAAGTAGGCATTTGATTATTATTGGAGTGGCTCGTAACATATAAAACATATTGAAAAAAATAAAAAATTTAAGATCTGTTCATAATATTTTGAAAAAAAAAACTTAAATGAAAAGCTATTTCTCAAAGGAAAATATGTTTTACCACTGCACGTTTGATGGTCAGATGATGTCAGACCATCATAACAAACACACTCATAACTGCCATTTAGATTTACACAGGTTGAGTACTCAGGACAGATCAGTGGGTCAAGTTGACATTCATTTATGTCTATAGAGCAGTCATTTGATGTCCAGCCAGGTTTGCATGTGCAGGTTCCATTGATGACATTACAACTTTTGGTGTTGTTCTGTGTACAGTTACAAGAGTAGGAACAGTTTTCTCCAAATCTGAAAGCTGGACAACCTGGAAAGAATTCAGTTTCGATAACTTTTCAAATGTTATCACTGAAATGGGTTTTTTAAATAAAAGTTTGCAGAAAATTAAAGACAGGGTTACAATTTATATTAATATAGGGACTACCTGTAAAGGACAAAAAAAAAATTAAAATCAGAAATGAATAAAGAATTAGTAGAAAATGCAAAAATATTCTTCATTTCTTAATAATTCAAATAACATAAATGAATTTTAATTTAAATATGATATTTTAATTTATATTATGTGTGCAGTTGTAGGTCTGTTACCATTTTTTCATCTATTACCAACCATATTTCATGTTAAATGTTTTCCTTAGGCTTACCAAAAGAAGTATAGGTAGCATTAAATCCTTTATCTGTGTAAACGCCATCTGATACAAATGTAATGTACATCATGTTTGATGTGGACATAATTTGGTTTGGTATGCTTGCACTGGTGCAGTATTTTCCAATTAGTCGATCACTGGAACTTTTCCCATCAAATACTTGAACAAAATCATATGGACATCCTTCAACAGCATATGTAGAAAACCTTTGGAGAAGAAATCCAATGTTTTTACTAAATAAGCGTGTTTTAGAAACATGTAGATTGAAAACTACTTATCAGCAGCGCTTTGTTCTCAGAAAACAGAAATATTATTTTTATTAAATTTTAATTGTTTGTAGAGATTAATTTGAAAGTATTCAATGTTTGTTTTGAGGAGTCAATAACATTAATTAGATTTTAGACCTATTTTTTCAAAATATATTATTCCATAGCAGGTCTGTCTACCCCAATATACTTTTTCAAAAACAAAAGTATAGATTTTTCATGATAATATCCTTTTTTAAATAACTTTTTTAAGAATACACACATTTCTTTTTCTCAAAATTGACATTTTAAATACTACAATAAATATTGCTATAAATTTATTAGAATACTAGGCTAGATCACACATTAAAAAAAATAATCAACAGATTGCAATAAAGACCAAACCAGTATTTTTTTTAAAAATAGTACCGAACTGTTCATGGCCTGTATTTAAATGAATAAGAATCAACACCTTTGTTGGAATAAAGTTAGTTCAAACAAAAGACATAGCTAACAATCCTTCTTGACAGAGGCGTTTACAGGTTTTTGGGTTAGGGGGAGTGGCAATTTTAGAAAAAGATGCCATATATATACATATATATATATATATATATATATATATATATATATATATATATATATATATATATATATATATATATATATATATATAAATATATATATATATATATATATATATATATATATATATATATATATATATATATATATATATATATATATATATATATATATATATATATATATAATTATGTATATATTAATACTAATAGTTTTGCTGTCTGTGTATGTATCTATCTGTCTGTGTATTTATCTATCTGACAAGAACGCTATAGAGAAAACACAAGCAAAATAAAAACTTTCACAGTAAAACGGAAACGAAACATGAGGTCACATTGGAGCATATAGTAGAAATTAGTCTACAGCCGGAGAGTGCACACAGTAAAATGACGTCATTGATTCTCGAGTAAACATTGAATTAAAAAGCCAATTTTGTCTAATCTTAAAAGTGGTTTGCGTGAAGAGTTTCTTTCATACAATTCTTCGGGTAGGGGCGAAGCCCATCCCCTGCGTAAGAACGTCTAAGCTGAACCCCCCCCCCCCCCCCCCCAACTCAAAAGAAATGTTGTCATCGATACTCTATAATAAAATTACAGCCTAATTCATGTGTTTAATGTAAAAAGTGGTTTAGTGGTTTGTGTGCAGAGTTTCCTTCATGCAATTCTTCGGGTAGTGGCTAAGCGCGACACCAGTGTTTCTTTCAGACTTTTTCCTCCCCAGTGGGAGGGGGCGGACACTGGAAAAAGTAGATAATTATATTTCGTTGAATGGGACGGTAGACATGTTTTGGGGTGTGTGTGTGTGGGTGGGGGGTTGGTTTTAGTTTAGAGCAAAATAGACAGCACTATCAACCTAGCGCCCGTTGTATCCTTCCTCAACGGGTCATATATATATATATATATATATATATATATATATATATATATATATATATATATATATATATATATATGCTGTATGACATTGTTTCACAAAGGTTAAAAATACATCTAAATATTGCTCTGTAGAAAACAAAAGAACAAAACACCATATAGGCCGACAACACAAAACAATTTATCACACAAAATAAAATAACATAAAATATACACACAATACAACCAAAAACAAGAAACCCAACACAACCTGTTTTGTACTCCTTGCAAAAAACAATTTGACATTAGGGAATATTAAGACAAGCAAATTACAGTAGGGGAAATAATCACTCTCTTAATATAAATATGTATGGGTCTACACATTTAATTGTTATTGTCAAATTCAACTAAATCAACAGTTACTTCACTATTTAATATAGTAGCTTAATACTATTTGTTTTTTTAAATATGGTCCACAATCTGAATTAAATAAATTTCATTAAAAATGCAAAAACATCCCAGCATAAAGAATGTTTGTAAAAGTGGAGTTGGTATAAAACCACGCTTTAAATTGCAGAGAAAACCAAATCTTATAGGTGCAACATTCTGTATAATAGCCCACAGTATATTTAATTTTAACTAAATTATTGGTCTTGTATTTCAAATATGTACATTTTTTTTAATTAGCTTCTGCTTTTTGTGTTCTCTAAAGATTATTTTTAACATTATGATAAGGTGTGGGTTAGATCACTATATTGCTCACACACCTCTTTACTGGTAACTGTAAAAACAAGGTTCATATAGCATTACATGTTTCAAAAGCTATGATTCTGACTGAAAAATAAACAACTTGAATTTAGCTTATTCATCTTTGTAAGCAGTTTTACTCTTATCCACAGTGTTTTTTCTATTGTTTTAATTAAATTTACCCAAGCTGTTCATTAAGTGCATCTGTACGAGCTGATCATCTTGACTCATACTAAAGTTCTTAAAGTTATATGAGAATGTGTTTATTTTCTGTACAATTAATCAGCTCCCCCCCCCCCCCATATAGTTGCATAGAGTTTTTAACACAATCCAGCTAAAAATATATGCATCTGTACAAGATGCTTTTGGAAAATATTCTAGATCAGCTGACAGACAAGAGACCTGCAGTTTCCCTTGACATGTCAAAGATAAGCAAATTCTTATTCTACAGGTCACACTTTAGGTAAACAATTACCCTACGTTTCTAGACTGATCTTAAAACCCAAAGTTAATAGGCCTCCCATTTAAAGAGGGATGGCTGAATTGAACCTGTCAACTCAAGCAAAATCTACACTTGCAAATAAGTTGGTGGTTGACGGTTCACATCCAGCAACGATAACACAAACAGCAGATGTACAGGCGCTAAAGTGGACAGACCTCACACATGCCTGGCACTGAGCTAGGGGCCGATAAGTAAGCCAAGAAGTTGGATATTGATCTAATTGCGATGAGTTTTTTAAAATGTGATATTTAGAGTACATAACATGACAGTTTTTAATTTGTAGTTTCAGTAATGTGTTTGCTAGTATTGGTGTTTTTTTTTATTATAAGGCGCCACAATCCCTAAAATGGTCATTGGGGAGCTGCCGCTGCCCCTGTGTCCCCCCCCCCTCCCACTGCGTATACTACTGCTTCTAGAGTAAGGCAGTAGAAACTGAACCAGGAAACAAGGTACCACAAACATACTTGGAATTTAAATTGATAATCATTTAATTTGAAATTTTGAAAAACAAAAGTTTATTTTTCATAAAATTATTTTTACATGCTTTTAAAAAAGTTGACTTATATGGAAAGGACATCCATAAAAGTTTCAAACCATGGGCGTCAAAAAAATAAAACAACTAAGGAAATCACACTAGTAAACAGCACATAATAGAAGTTTTAGAGACATCAGAATTTTTCTGGGTTTAAAATATCTTTTTACCTCAGTGATATTATGTGATCTTGTTCTACAATGATGGTCCACTTGCATTGGAGATTAGTATAATAATAATTAGGATAATTAGGACTCTGGATAACTCCTGTAGAACTGTTCAAAGTTTTAATGCAGCCTATGAGGGAAAAAAAAATCTCTAAGTCACCAAGTAAGGTATAAAGTTAGAAGCATTTAAAAAAAAATTAATACTTTTAAACAGATTTAGGAGAAAAAGTAGCTTACTTTCACGGACACAATACCCTGCATCATCCAATATGTATCCTGAAGAACAAGAACACTTGTAGCTCCCTGGGGTGTTTGTGCAGTAACTATACAGCCCACAGCTAGTATAAAGACATTCATTAATATCAACAGAACAATTTTGTGATGTCCATCCAGGCAAACAATAGCAAGTTCCCATCCTGTTGTCACAGCTTGCTGTAGTATTTGATATGCAGTTGCAACTTAATGCACAATTTTTTCCATATGTCAGATTGCTGCAGTCTGGGGATAGAAAATGTAAATAGACAATCGCTTTTGGCTATCTCAGCAGCAAAAATTACTTCAGCAATTTTAGCAAGCATTCAAAATATAGACATCAATCAACATTATTTCAATGTGGTTATTTTAGCATAATAAAATCTAACTTACTTTGGCAAATGTCTCCACTTAACAATGTTCCAGTAGGGCAGTAACATTTTTCAACAGCTGTTTGATTAGCAAGGGTAACTCTGGTACACAAATGGGAACAGTTTCTCTCACTACACTGGTTGATGGCTGAAAGAGAGGTTTTATAATAGTTTTATGCTAAAAGAACTTTTGTGTTTCCTAAACAAACTAATCGAAATCAGATTACTTTATTTAATGTTATTTGTTTATCAATAGAATCTGTCGTCGATTATGTAACATAGAGTCTTTTGAATAGATAGTAGATTATTAAGTAGTCTCATCTAATAAAGTAGACAGTAGAGTACTGATGGTATGTATTATAACAGACTGAACAATAGATGATTGATAGCTTGTTGTCTAAAAATTATAAAGTTAATTATAAAAGGAGTAGGATCTAATAAAGTAGACAGTAGATAATTGAAGGAGTGTCAAGTAACATAATTAAAAGTATTTAAGGTTGAATAAAACAAATTTTAAGATCTATTTATATTTTGAAAATAAAAACATAAATTAAAGGAAAATTTGTTTTACCACTACACGTTCGATTGGCAGATGTTGTCAGGCCATCATAACAAACACATTCATAACTGCCATTTAGATTTACACAGGTTGAGTACTCAGGACAGATCAGTGGGTCAAGTTGACATTCATTTATGTCTATAGAGCAGTCATTTGATGTCCAGCCAGGTTTGCATGTGCAGGTTCCATTGATGACATTACAACTTTTGGTGTTGTTCTGTGTACAGTTACAAGAGTAGGAACAGTTTTCTCCAAACCTGAAAGCTGGACAAACTGGAAAATATTGAGTTTTACATAGTTTAAAATTTATTTTAAAATATTTCTCAGTTTCAATCAGGAAATATTTACAGAAAATCAACAAGCGTTTGTAGGGAGGGTGGACTAGGTATATATAAACCATAGTGCAAGATTCTTAACAATTTGAACCCTGAGCTCTCTTTCAATAAAAATTGAAGACTGCAAGTATGTAAACCATAATGGCTTTATTTTTTCAATAAATATTTTTACACAAGTTCACCACCAGTACTCATGCTTAGGGAACGTAAAGGCGGCTGGGCATAGTGCTGACCATACTATCTCTTTATATGCCGAGGTCACAGAAACAAGTGAACTCTTGCCCCATAGACCGCGAGGTTTGAAAGGGAAAGTTTACTTTACTTTACTCATGCTTAGCATACCAGTCCTCCCAAAAGATAGACCCTTCTTCAGAGCCGGCGTTAGGGGGTGGCAAACGGGGCGGCCGCCCCAGGCCCCGCGCTTGAAGGGGCCCCGCGCTTCAGCAAGGCCATTGTTGCCTGAATTAGTTTGTAAACTTAAATAACCTTTGCTGAATTAAATTTAAAAAAAAAAAACTCAACTAAATGGCCGAAGTTGTTGGATGTTAAAACTGAGGCCACGGCTGATGTTAGTGAGTTTTCCTTTACATGGGCTGGGACAGACCGTTATTCTAAAGAAAGACATTAGTGTCACACATCGCTGGCACGGTCGACTCGCTATTGTCCTGAGGTGACTGGAGATGGCGGTCGCGAATTAGCCCCCGACCTGACATGGGAGGTAAAATCGGGAAAAATGTAAAAAGATACCCTATTGTTTGCGGACCGTTGAAGACGTTTTTTTAGTGAGCAGGCGGGGGTGCCTGTAGTAAACAGTCAGTGACCTGATGATGTCTTGCAGAGGAGGAGGGGGGGGTGTGAGCGGATGGGGACATGCCCCGGAATTCCAGAGTATTTATCACTAAAATCATAATTTATACACTGTATGAGCATCTTTTTTTGTAATTATGCATATTCACCACGATACGCTTGATAGGCATCCATACAGTAATTATGTTCATATTTATTTTATATATTGTCAGGTCATCTTTAAATACATTATACTTGTATTTATTTTTATATTTTTGAAGGGCATTTATACAGTAATTATGTCCATTTTCATTTTGGTAAACTTTAACGGTATTCGTAAAGTGATTAAGCACATGTTTATTTTAATTAATTGTAGGGACAGTGGCGTAGCGAGGTCGGGTGTCACCCGGTGCGGCACTTAATGGTGACACCCCCCTCCCCCAGAGGCGTAGCGACCCTTCCCGGGAAAAAAACTTTCAAATTTTCAATTTGCACCCCCCCCCTTAAACTTTCGATTTGCACCCTCCCTCAAGTTTTCGATTTGCACCCCCCCACCTCAAACTTTCGATGTGCACCCCCCTCAAGTTTTTCTCTATATATTTTGCTATTTTTTGCCTTGGTGTCACCCCCCTTAATAGTGTCACCCGGTGCGATCCGCACCCCCCTCGCTACGCCTCTGTGTAGGGATATTCAGTATAATAGTTAAGGCCATAGTGATTCTTGTTTTAAAATAGTGTGGGCACACTAAACAAATTATAAAGTCTGTACTGTTTGATACATCGGGCCGAGACTGTTTTATAGTAAAGTTCTCCTGATTTCTAAAACGTCTAAATTACCGGCAGTCCGAGCATGCCATCGCGAAACTCATAAATAACATGGTTCACTTTCTAATTATAGACACGGACCTTCTCTTGTGAGAACGCGGTCTTAACCTGTAATGTAATACGTGGACGCTCTATAAACACGCACCTTCTCTTGAATGGCTGCGGTCAGAGATCCAGTAACGTAGTACCCGAACTGATTTTTTTTTAGGGTTTGGCGTCCCATAGATTTAAATGTACAGTTATTCTTCACGGGCTTCACCTCACCCCACCAACTGTCACCCCCCCCCCCCCCCCAGTGTTCCACCTTACTGAGCGTCCGTGATTACATTTGAGAGGCATTTCATTTGGATATCTATAGCTGTAAACAGTTTTTTTTCACGATTCGAGCTTATTCCGAAATCTATCAATGTTTTGCTATTTTCCCCGGCATCCACACACTTTGAATGCCACTGTTAACCCTCGATAAATTGAGAAAATATCGATACTATCACCTGCCACTGTGGACCGATTTAACGTTGCTTCAAAGTGCCCGAAGGTATTAAGTCAGCCAAACAGTGCCTTCAGTACATTTGAAGTATTCGGGATTCCTTTCCCAATACGGCGATCGCCTACAGAATCTTGCAAACAGTTCGAGTCACAGTGGCAAGCGCCGAAAGAAGTTTCTCCAAACTGAAGTTGATAAAGAACTATTTGAGATCAACGATGTTCCAAGACAGGCTCTGCGGCCTGTCGATTCTGTCAATAGAAAAAGACATAGCCTCCAGTTTGGACTATGATGATATAATCATGGAATTTTCCTCACGAAAGGCAAGAGAAGTAGATCTTCGTTTGTGAACGTACTGGTAAGATTTTCATAAATAAACATTAATGTAAAAAAATCAGGTTTGAAGCTGACGTTCATCGTCTCTTTAATGCGTGTCTCAAACTTATATCTGTTTTATTTTTTACTTTTCAAACAAAAAGCCTTAACAGAAAAAAGCAACGTTTCAAAAGCACTTTTAAGTAAACAAATTATTTGTTAATCAGTGTCTTAATGTTAATACGACATTGATAAACAGCTTAAAAATACCATATATATCGTTATAAATATTAATTCGCTTTGAGAAGAAAAAAAAACGCCTCACTGTACATGTTTTTTTTAATTATACACCAATGAAAAAAATATAAGGCCCCGCGCGGATGGTTGGCCATAGGCCCCGCGTACCCCTAACGCCGGCTCTGCCCTTCTTTTAGACATAGGTAGATATGGCAAATTTTGCACCAATTATGTTTATTTTCATTTTTTGTATGGCCTGTCTTTTTATGTCATATCTGGGAACACACTGAGATTTGTGTTGTACTTGCAAACACAGACAGCACAGACTTTGTTCCCAGTAGCTTGTAGAGATATATGATGGTGATGTGAGCCTACATTTTGTAGGCATTATTAGATGCCCACATAAAAAAAAATTTCACTGGGAGTGAATGAGGCCAACAGAAACTTAGTCATTGACATGGCAGCCATCCATTAACTTAATGTGGTCAATACACAACTGTAGTGTTGAAACATCTATATTTGTGCCATTCTCATTTCTTCTTTTGAGAGTACCTATTGAAGTTGGATTGTGGTAACTGGATATTAAATGTATGGCATACAATTTCATCCTTTTTATACCGCATGTTTATACACCAAGCATCGATCTAGGGTAAGGTGTTTCAGACCAATAACTGCTGAGGTACAGAGATTAAAGACACAGACCAAAAAAGCGGTACCTCAGGTTCAAAGGGTTAAATCAAACTATGTGTGGGTGTTTTTAAATTCTCGAGGAATAGAATAATCAGATAAAATTTGTGCAATATTGGTGCTATTTTTCCTCAATCATTCACGTAACAAAACAATCATTCAATGAACAATGCTTGAAAATAATTACTTTATGAGTGCATAGAAGAAACCTATTAATTCAAAGGAAAAGTTAATATGTTTATATGTATTATACATTGAAAAATATCTTTTCCGGCTTACCATAAGATGTATATGTAGCACTAAATCCATTATATGAGACAATCCCATCTGTTACAAATGTAATGAACATTTGGTTTGATGTGGAAACAATTTGGTTGGGTATGCTGAAGCTGTTGCAGTATTTTCCAATTAACCGATCATTGGAACTTTTGCCATCAAATACTTGAACAAAATCATATGGACACCCTTCAACATTGTAGGTAGAAAACCTTTGGGGAATAAATGCAGTTTAACTAAATATTTACAAGGGCAAAAAATTATTTGTGAAAAAAGGTTTTTAAAATTTTTACTTAACACTATATTGAAAGAAAAGTCAGGTTTTATTAAATCTTAAAACAAGTATCTTTACACTAGCAAAAAAAAGCAAGTGTTTTCATGACAAAATCTATACATTTAAATTTTTTATTTAGCCTTTCAACTGCCATCTAGGTTTTTAAAAATACAAAATGAACAAGAGATTTGAAATTTATTTAAGCAAGGTTTTGAAATACAAAAATATATGATTCAATGAGGCTCATTTATATTTACCTCAAAGATATTATATGATCTAGTTCTACAATGATAGTCCACTTGCACTGGAGATTTGAGCCATAAGCATAAGGATAATTAGGACTCTGGATAATTCCTGTAGAACTGTTCAAAGTTTTTACGCAGCCTGTGTAGGAAAAAAATAATTTCTCATAATAAACAATTGAAAGTATATGTTAAATAAAACAGAAAGCATTTATAGTTCATTTACCTTCACGTATGCAATTCCCTGCATCACTTAAAATATATCCAGAATAACAAGAACACTTGTAGCTCCCTGGGGTGTTTGTGCAGTAACTATACAGCCCACAGCTAGTATAAAGACATTCATTAATATCAACAGAACAATTTTGTGATGTCCATCCAGGCAAACAATAGCAAGTTCCCATCCTGTTGTCACAGCTTGCTGTAGTATTTGATTTGCAGTTGCAACTTAATGCACAATTTTTTCCATGGGTTAAATTGCTGCATTTTGGAGAAAGAAAGTAAGTAGCAACAATTGAGTTGGCTTTCACATAATTAAACTGTGAGTTTACTTAAAGGTTTATTTGATTCACACTAAAGTTAATCTCACTTACCAATACAATCATCAAGTGTATGTATAGTTCACATATGTCTATTTGATTCACTTTAAAGCTGATCTTACTTACAAATACAATCATCAAGTGTATGTATAGTTCCCATATGTCTATTTGATTGACACTAAACCAACTCTCACTTACCAACACAAGTTGTATCACTGGCGTTGAGTAGTTTACTTCCTACAGGACAGAAACACAATTCCTGTTCTGGTTGACTTGCATTAACTCCACAAACATGGGAACAATTCTTTTGACATCCCACCTTACCTAAGATAGTATTGGGTTTTTGTGTTATTTGTTTTCACTTTTATAGTAATCAACTGTCTAATTACATCATGTAGTTAATGTTTTTAATTTTTATTTTTACATCTTATGACTGATAACTTTATATACATTGTTTTCACAGATAAGAAAATGGATAGACAAATATGTGTCCATATGACTAGAGAGGTTTTAAGTATTAGGACAAGTAAACAATGCTGAATACCTATTCAAAATTGAAAACTTAATAAGTCTAACTGATGAGCTACAATCGATTGTGTGAGAAAAGCCTAGCCACTTAGAAAAACAATTTATTATATTGTCTGATGTTAAATATATACTTACCAACACATAACCCTGTGTCATTTGCTGTTATTCCAGTTTCACATACGCACTCAAATGAACCAGGAAGATTTCTACATACACTGTATTCAGAGGGGCACACGCTGGTTGGTGACTCCACACATTCATTGATGTCTATTGTGCAGTCATCTCCTATCCAGCCTTGTTTACAAAAACAAGTACCATTAAAGTGATCACAGAAGGCTGTATTGTCTTTGTCACAACTGCAAGACACGTTGCATAGGTCAGTTCCATACTTCAAGGCTTCACATTCTGTAAATTAAAATAAATTTTATTTAAAAAAAAACATTTAACGAAGTATAGCATTTTTTAAAGTAAAGCACTATTTTATTAAACTATGATTAAATCAACTTTGGTTTTATTTTACGTGTAATTTAAAAAAAAATATCTTTGTCGCATGAAACATTTTCAAAATTGTTATAACAAAGTAGGTTTACACACCATGCTCCCAAAATACAGCAATAAAACCAGGTGCCGTGATTGAAAAATCTGTGTAGAATTCAACCCTCAATGAGTCTCCAGAAGATCTTATCATCAGGTTAGTCACATCGCTAGAGCCACATAGCTTGGCGATGGGGAGATAATCCACCAAGGCTCCATCATAGATGGCCACGTAATCTGGACATCCATAGGTTGAATCAATCCCTTCTAAGGCCAGGCGTTTAAATCTGGGAATTACGTAAAATATGTGTAAGCAGTCCTGTTTAGTTTTGTATTGCATCGTATATTTATAATCAGAGTATTTCTATAAATAAACCTTTACAAAATTCATACCATCCCGACAAATGGTTTATTTACCTGAGGTCAATTATTTTCCCATGATCTGCCTTGATGACCCATTGACAAAGCTGATTATTTTCGTAATTAAATGGGTAGTTAGGAGACATTATAGTTCCATAGCTCTGGTGAAGTGTGCCACCACATCCTGCAATAATAATTAATTAATTGTGCCAAATTTTAAGTAATTACTAATTAGACCTCGCTCTTGTTCAGAGGGGGTGGCGCGGGGGAGGGGGAGGGACATATGTCCCCGGGCGCCGACCTTATGGGGCGCCAAAATGGGTTGGAAAAAGCAAATTGAAAGTTTGAGGGGGGATGCAAATCGAAAGTTTGTCCCCGGGCGCCGGGAAGGGTCGCTACGCCTCTGCTCTTCCTTAGTCATGAATCTGTTGGTACAGTGGCGTAGCGAGGTCGGGTGTCACCCGGTGCGGCACTAAATGGTGTCACCCCCCCCCCCAAAGGCATAGCGACCCTTCCCGGGGACAAACTTTCAAATTTTCGATTTGCCCACCCCCCTAAAGTTTTTCTCTATATATTTTGCTATTTTTGCCTTGGTGCCACCCCCCTCCCCTTCATCACACATCGTCACAAAATTACGGACCCCCCCCCATCCCCTTTATGAGTGTGGCGTCCTTTATGGACGACCCCTAAAAGGAAAATACATAAAACAAAAAAAAAAACCTTTAAAAAATGTCATATAGATATCTTTTTAAAAAAGCAAACATTTAAAAAGTGTTCAAATTATTTCACTTTGTTCCTTTATTGTCAATTACTTCCATTGATGGATCACAAAAAGTATTACTTCCCCTTATTTAATACATTATATCAGGAGAATATGTACATTTTATTCGTTTGTTTTGGTATTGGATGAATTGTTAAAGTGCAACGTGGTAAGTAAAACACGGATATTTTAAATACTGCTTTTATTTATTTTATACACTGAACTAATAATCATTTTTAATTAGTAACAGTTTAGAAGCCGCTCCTAAATGTTCTATATGTTTACTTCTATCTTTTGGTTTGCGACAAGCTGGGGGTATTATAGTCCTTCATTAAATTGACTCAAGCACGTCCGCCGGGCCCCGGCATGGTTCGATTTGACGCCCCGGGCTATCCTGTGAGCGGTATGGCGCCTACGTTCGGTTTAGTTAGTATTATAGTCGTTTACTAAGATGCATCAGGCGGTTCAACCGGCGTCCCCGCTTTTATGTTTGCATTTAAATTTGTGTTTATGTTCTGCATTATTGTTTGCGTTTAGGTTTGCGTTTGTGTTTGTATTTGTGTTTGTTTTTGCATTTGAGTTTGTGTTGTGTTTGTGCTTATGCTTGCGTTTGTGTTTGCTTTTGTGTTTATTTTTTATTTTGAAATTGCGTTAGTGTTTGCGTTTTTGTTTGTGTTTACATTTGTGTTTCCTTTGGTGTTTACATTTTTGTTTGCGTTTATGTTTTTATTTGCGTTTTTTTTTCTGTTTGCGTTTGCTTTTGTGTTTGCGTTTTGAGAATTATCTTGTTTATAAAATGATTTTTCTGGGTTTGTTTTAAAGAAGGTAGCTCTGTCTCTTTTTTTAATTATTGCTGCACATACTAATTAAATCACTAAAACAATAACTAAATCAGTAGAACAATGACTAAATCAGCGGAACAATGACTAAATCAGTAGAGCAATGACTAAATCAGTTGAACGATGAATAAATCAGTAGAGCAATGACTAAATCAGTAGAGCAATGACTAAATCAGTAGAACAATGACTAATTCAGTACAGCAATGACTAAATCAGTAAACATCAACAAAATCAGCTTTACCTGAAGCTGGACGTGTAGTAGATGGGTAACGTGGTGTAGTTGATGTCAGCCAAGAGTTGAACGTTGGAGCAGTTGTGCCCCAAGTCAAGCTATTCTGTGTTGTCTGCATTGTTGCTGCTCTAGTCGTTTGTCCCATAAAGCTATTCTGTGTTGTCGGCATTGTGGTACCTCTAGGTGACGACGTAGTGGCTGCAGCACTCGTTTGCGTCTCACCTGACCTGTTGTATTGTGGGGACCCCGTGGTCCCTCCTGTTGTCCTGTTGTATTGAGGAGCCCCCGTGGTCCCTCCTGTTGTCCTGTTGTACACATTAATTGTTGTAGACAAAGGAGGACCTGTTGTATTAGCTGACCAGCCGTACCCACGGCTAGTTCCGTTGAATCTATCAGCCGTGACACTTGCAGAGGAAATAAGGTGGCTGCTGGTGCTCGCAAGAGTTGAGTTCATCACTAAACGGTTCTGTGTCGAGGTCTCCTTGACAGTCGTCCTTTGTGTGGTCGTGGTATTGACGGACTGCCCCGATATACCCGTCACACAAACTAGACATATCAAAGTAAGCTTCCACTTTGTGGACTTGACGGTTTTTGTTGCCATTGTCACCGCTGAAACATGACAATAAAATCACATAGGATTATATTCAGTTAATTATAGTTATTGTAAAATATTGAAGCTGCTAAAATTTTCCCACGTAATTTATGTCGAAACCTTTAGAGTGTTATGATCAATTTTATTTCTGATGTATCGGTTAATTTACTAATGTCAGTGACGCCGATTGGGAATTACGAACGCGCAATATACGTGAAAGAATTTAGAAACCGTCAATCGATAACAAATTGTGTTCCATGATCATTTCATACACACACCCACACACCCACAAATACACACAAAATACACAAAAAATACACACACAAATACACACACACAGTAAACATCGCACACCAAACATGACCCCCCCCCCCGGAGAATAATGCCTTAAAGAAGGGCTCTCGTCAAAACGGTTTTCGTCAATAGGGCTCTCAAAAATATAATATGCTTCAATCTATAAAGTTTCCGATATCACGGATTCCATCGATTAGACCCCGTCAATATGGCCGGAAACAAAACGGTTTTAGTTGTACACTAAATCTTGCCTGTACACTAAATCTTGCCTGTACACTAAATCTTGCCTGTACACTAAATCTTGCCTGTACACTAAATCTTGCCTGTACACTAAATCTTGCCTGTACACTAAATCTTGCCTGTACACTAAATCTTGCCTGTACACTAAATCTTGCCTGTACACTAAATCTTGCCTGTACACTAAATCTTGCCTGTACACTAAATCTTGCCTGTACACTAAATCTTGCCTGTACACTAAATCTTGCCTGTACACTAAATCTTGCCTGTACACTAAATCTTGCCTGTACACTAAATCTTGCCTGTACACTAAATCTTGCCTGTACACTAAATCTTGCCTGTACACTAAATCTTGCCATACGTCAAGCTCCTATGTTGTAAGTAGCTCCCATCGTAAATTAATGTCCTACTGCATATTAATTTGGCTGGTGCAGCTCTTGTAAAATTTTAAGCTCTTGGAGAACAATGTGCTCCAAATTGAAGCACTTGTCTTTTGACAGAAGCCATAATGTCGAGCCCTATTCTCTTCAGCCGATTTCTCGGTAACTTTCTGTTGGGGTCCATTTTTGCAAGCTTTTTTGAAGGATATATTTTCGTACGTATCATGTTTGTCTCACATCGTTTTGACGGGGGTACCGACACACATAACACATACGCACACGTATATTTAAAATTATGTTTCGAATTAATTAATTAATGTAATATATGATAGCGTAGAAATACACTGGTTTGAGAAACTATTTTAAAACTCTTATGTTAACGTAGAAAGAAAATGTTTATCAAAGTGACATGAGTTACTTATACGTTAATTAAATGAGATTGCACTTAACATCAGAAAAGTATGTCCACATCTACGTCGACTTCCCGATCGTGCTAAATTACCATCAACTATCAAGACGATAAAAATATTAGTGAGAAGAAAGATTTAATTTTTTAACACAATATAATAATGTTAGTCCTCTACTGCTAAAGCCATTTGGTTTAGTTTATAACCAGTTCTTTATTAATCTCACGCGAAATGTGTAGTTTTAGCATTAGCGGTATTAGGTGACAATTTCGATTTCAATGTACTGGTAACTAAAATATACAACACCGAGTTATTTCTGCACTATCGGATGCTATTTTATTGTCTGACATGATACGAAGAGAGAAAAAAACAAACCTACCTTCGGGTGGGAAACTCCGTCTGTCTAGTTCCTAGAACGGAGACGTTTTATATGGGGACACAATAAAGCTCTGTTTTCATCGGCGTCAGCAGTGTGGGACGAATATCCCCCCCCCCCCCTCCCCTTATCTCTTAAAAATACAAAACTGCTTTTTTTAAAGAATTAAGTAAAAAATACTACACATATAAAAATGCAAGTCATTAAGATTTAAATGAAAGTTATTTAATTACTAAGTCTATAAAACATGCCTGAGAATAGTCTACCCTATGATAATCTAGTAAAAGTGTCTCTGTTTCTATTATCCTCTTCTGAAGTCTTTACTGTCCGTTTTACAGGTGTCCTGTAGCTTTCTAACTTCGATTTTTGGAGGGGTTGGGGTGACACCTTATCTACCCTCCGGGTGACACACTCGACCTAGTGACGCCACTGTGTATGGCTATTCTTTCGCAAGATACTCATCAGGTTTTAAAGAACATTTCTCAGTCGTTTGGGTATCGAATTAAGAACAAAGGGAGCGGAAAGAACACATATGTTAATAAATAGGCCTATATTTTTATAATTTATTAATAATCACTACAATATTTCTTAAATTCTTAAATATTAAACTGTATAAAATAAATACTGTAGGTCTATTTTTTAAAAAAATAACAACATATTTTATCGACCAATGCTTTTACTAATAGGGCCTATGTCTAAAGAAAGAAAAATGTGTTTTCCACATATTTGAAAGCATTAGAAAGCTTGTTATTAGAAATGTTTTTAGTGTTTTAACATTAAGGCCCAACTGAAAATTGCACCCCACCCTCCCTTTCCCACACCAGAAAAAAGTTACACCACTTGCGGTGCCGCCTAATGGCGTAACCGAAATGTTGGCCTGTATCCAGAAGTCAAGACCTGCTGTAACTGGTCTAAGTCACGTTACCTACATACGTGTGCAGTCAAGCGTGATGACACTCCCTGCCAATACACTCTGGCTCCCTGCTGGTTAGCTAATCGTACAATGTTTTTCTGAATGTGAACGCCTTTCCAAAAATAAATCATGTAATTTATTTGCACTGCTATGGTGATGTATCATGTATTAATGTTGAGCCGCTATCTCCCTATAACGTCCTTCCAAAGAGCCCGAACTCCTGCTATACAGATGTCATTTGGTTTTTACTCACGGAGTGTGTACAGTGTTTCTTCCAGACTTTTTTCTCCGAGGGGGGGGGCACTTGAAATTTTCGGGGGGGGGGGGGGGCGGACACTGTTAAAAGTATATAATTTTATATAAATTATATAAATTTCATTTCGTTCGGGGGGGGGGGGGGGGGGGGGCGGGTAGAATTTTTGCGGGGGGGGGGGGGGGCAAAGCCCCCCGAAAAAATTTTTACCGCCCCCCCCCCCCCCCCCCCGAACGAAATGAAATTTATATAATTTATATAGAAAATATATACTTTTAACAGTGACCGCCCCCCAACCCCCAAAGAAAGTCTACCGCCCCCCCCCCCCCCCGAAAATTTCCAGTGCCCCCCCCCCCTTCCCCGGAGAAAAAAAGTCTGGAAGAAACACTGCCTGGAAGAAACTCTGAGTGTGTAAGAAGAGAATGCTGGGGTGGGGTGTCAACTTGAGTTAAATTTTGCTGCTATAAATACACCGTAACACTAGAAACAATGGGAACAAATAAGAATGAATAAAGTACAGCTAAATAATTTAAACAAATTGTAAGTTGTTTTAGTTTGGGTTGCACCTGTTTAAAAATAAATTACTTCCTCATTAAAGTCTTGAATACAATAGGCGATATGATACGAGGTCGCTGAAGCGATTCACAAAGCAATATTTCTCGTTCTTTATAAACCTCTATTTCTCGTTTTCTATAAACCTTTATTTCTCGTTGTTTATAAACCACTATTTCTCGTTCTTTATAAACCACTATTTCTCGTTCTTTATAAACCACTATTTCTCGTTCTTTATAAACCTCTACTTCTCGTTCTTATAAACCTCTCTTTTTGGTTCTTTATAAACCACTATTGCTGCTTCTTTATAAACCTCTATTTCTCCATTTTTTATAAACCTTTATTTCTCGTTGTTTATAAACCACTATTTCTCGTTCTTTATAAACCACTATTTCTCGTTCTTTATAAACCACTATTTATCGTTCTTTATAAACCTCTATTTCTCATTCTTTATAAATCACTATTTCCCGTTCTTTATAACCCACTATTTCCCGTTCATTATAAACCACTGTTTCTCGTTCTTTATAAACCACTATTTCTCGTTCTTTATAAACCACTATTTCCCGTTCTTTATAAACCACTATTTCCCGTTCTTTATAAACCACTGTAGCTCGTTCACTGGCTACTTCCATGGAGAAACAGGAATTTGTGCCTATTATATGTGTCTTTCTATGGATGTAGTGATTAAAAGCCAGGTCATAGTTCAATTCACATCATATTCCGTCGCCCCCCCCCCACACACACGAACACACACACACATTCACGTCTGCCAAATGTGTTGTGAAAGCAAGGAGTGGTGTTTTATAAAGGTGGCGTACTTTGTCTACAATATGGCGAGACACTAGATTTAAAGTTCGGTGATTAATCTTTTCAAGGCCAACTATGAAACAAATTGTATTTAAACCAAACAAATCAACAAAACAACTATTCTGTTTTGCCATTTCGTATTAGCAGTGGCGTGCAGAGGGGAGGGGGGGGGGGGGGTAGGTGCAGAGAAAGCCTAAAGAAACTCTTGACACTGACGGTGCAGTTTCTTAGGTTAACGTTGCAATGTAGACCTAATGATGGTGTGCATTATGTTTTATATTACTGTATGTATCATACGAGTGCTGCATGTTGCAGACTAGGTATGGGAAGTAGGCCTATCTTATTTAGATTACTTGTGTGTATTATTCCTGCTAGTGCTGCGTGTTGCGGACTAGTTGGGTTAAGTATTTATCATTGTAATACTTGTTGGCAGTATTGTGTACTGGCCGTAACCTATTTTATGACACCCGTGTATTTATGTAGCCTACACGTGGTAGTATCTTCAGAGATGTAATCTATTGTTGTTTACATATGTTTTAGGGCTACATAGCCGTTTATGGCTTGAATGTTCACGACTAGCCGTACACGGAATTGCAGTAAAGTCAGTATCTAACAACCAAAGCGTCATGTCGTTGTGTGTTTTCTCTCAGGGTCAGCCCTTTTAAACACTACACCTCAGTTTGATATCATCCCTACTGAGGAAGTGTTACTATATATATATATATATATATATATATATATATATATATATATATATATATATATATATATATATATAATGTATGGGGGCATCT